GAATATATATAAGTTGTTTTTTTTTCTGCAGGATATCATATGTTGCTGGAATAGCTTGTTGTTCTGTGTATTTTCACATGATTGGGTGTGTGTGTGAATGAGAGTAAATGTGTTGAACTGAATATACCTCACAGGCCTCTTGTCAGTGTGAAATGCAGACAAACAAAGACGACACTCTGTGAAGAGGTTAAATATTCCCTGGTGACGTGAGCCACAACGCTGTGTTAAAATGTCAGAGAAACTCATCTGACTGGAGTGTTAAGCTGTTAAAAATAATTAGTTTTTTTTTTTTTTTACACTTTCTCTGCTGTTATGCTGAGTCCTGATTTCACACAAAACAGAGCAGCAGCCACAGCTCTCAGTTAGAGCCCATCCTGGCTTCTGCTTCATTCATTCTAACTATGCTGACATGTGGCAACTTTTATCAGGCTGCTTAACAGCTTTACGTTTTACAATGGAAAAAATAAATGTGTAGGGAAAACACTTATTCTGGGCATAATGTGGGTATTTACTAAATACCTATCAGCAGGTTTTTACGACTTTTTCTCTTTGCTTTATTCACTGTGGGAAATACAAATGTGTTTGTGAAACAAATTGACTGCTTGACCTAAAAAATGTCAATAAATATAATTTTTAAGAGGCATGTCATGTTTTTAGAAAATGAAGAAAAGCACCCTCCTGGGAAAAAAAGGTATAAATGCCTTCACAAATGGCAGACTTCAGTGTAAAAAAGCAAAATAATAAGAAGAATCTTGTTGAAAAAGGCTTTAAAAACTTTGTTTATTCTGGCTGCACCTTGGAAAAGAATGAGGACCAATCCTTCCAAAAACATGCCAAAAATAAAACATTTGTTTGCATAATTAGTTCATGTTTACTCAAAATTTCACAATTCATTTTTCAAAGTAAACGCTTTTTTTCTTCTTTTTTTCCAGGAAAAAACTATTTTTTTTCTTTGCATGTCTGAACATAGTCTGTTTAAAACTTCTAAATGCTCCTTGGGTCCAATAAAAACCTCTTAAACATGTCTAATGTATGATTCACGCCACAGTCTCACATTCATGCATCAAACAATGTAAGCCTATTATTCGTAACATGCATATATGGGCTGTTGGCACATACTGTAGATGAGGACCCAGGGGCCTAATACCGACCCTTCTAACCTCTTCATACCGCTCCATGCTGGACTGTGCCCATCTCTATCAACATACTACCCAGTCATGAGAAGAGAGTAAGTGGTCAGCTGGTCTGAGGCTGCTGCCCACCGCACATCACATTCAGCTGTTGCAAAGTGGACACTCTAGACATGTAACCCAATACCTAAAATTGACCCCATTCAGTCTCAGCCAGTTAAAGTCAAAGCTGACAGGATTTCCTTCAAGAGTGCTGGCAGACAGGCTGACAGTAGGGTCTGTCTAACGCCTGTGAGGCAAAGTGCCAGAAGCTTCTACCCCACAAAGGATAGCCGCAGCTGGCAGCAGAGGAAACTGTCAGTGGTGTGTGAGGTTTTATTGATTTGAAAACAGAGACAGTCCATCAAAAGATGAAACTGATACTGTCCAAGGCAACTTTTTTCACCACAGGACGGATGAATGTGTGTCAGTAAGTAAGTAAGTGCAGAAGGGGAGGGAAAAGGGCATGCATGTACAATATGTTTGAGATATCAAGGGTTTTGGGCAACATGTCTGCAGTAAACCAGAACATTTAAACTAAAGGGTTTCAGAGACAAAACACCCTGTCAGATTACACAAACAGCTGAGAAAACTCTAACAATTATTCCACAGTGTGTTTTTGGTCATAGTTGATGGTGTGCAGGGAAAAAGGGACAGTGTTGTGTGAGGCTGCACTGCCATCTGCAGGTCATACACAAACATGCACGGCAATCAGCACCGAGAAGTAGTTCAGTGCATGACAGTAGCCCAGTTTTAAAGTAAGGTGAATATAAACCTTCAGCTGAGTCCACCTGCAGCATCTGTCAGGAAAAATATGCCGAACTCCACTTGAACAAAACAAAAGAAATCTGCACTGTCATTGTCTAACTAAAGCCTCTGCAAGTAACATATGACTGCTTCCACCTGCAGTCTCTACCATAAGTATCAGCCTCTAGCTCCATCTCTGTAAAATGAAAGACTGGTCTTTTGATTGAAGCCTCTGCCAGTGAACAGGGGGAACCTCCACCTGCATTTGTGGTTGCAGATGCAGTCCATGCTTCAAACATAAGGCTCGATCAAACAGTTGCAACCAGAGCCTATAACTGCAGCTGCCACAAGCAAACAGACGTGCTAACACCACCATCAGTTGACTGCAGCTGCAGCTTCTACCACTTACAGCTAATGCCTCCACTTGCCACCTCTAAAATCAAATTGTACAAGTGAATCCACCTCCTGCAGCCACTTCAGCCTGCAGTTTGTGGCTTTGAGGAGTTACCCTCACTTCAAACTGCAGTGCTGCAACCACCACATAACTAAAGCCTCTGCTACCCATTATGATAACACCCATTTTCAGTAGTTTGCAAAAAGCTGAAACTCTTACCTCCAACTGCCAACTGCATTTTTTCTACCTTCAGTGCAAGTTTGTTTTCTGAAACCTGCAAGCACCCCATCCTCGGTTTGCAACTCACGATAGCGACCTTATCACCAAGAGCTTCTGTTTCCATTGAACAGTCAATGCCATCTTCTTCCTCTGGTAGTTACTATCAGTCTAAGATCTTGCCATGACCTTTGGATACTTTTATCTAGATCCACCTGCTGTTTGCGACTGACAGATACATCTAATGTAGGGCTGGGCGATATGGCCTCAAATCAATATCACGATATATTGAGCAGTTCACCTCGATAACGATAAATGGACGATAACTACTCCACAACCTGCTCACCTCCTCCTACATTAACTTTATCTACTTCCGCTGCTGCTCCAGCCACTACAACTTTTAAACCGTCCTCTATCTCCTCACCTGTTTTCCCCTCTTTGTTCTTTGGAGTCACGTCCATAGCCTACCTACACACATCCAAAACCAACTCTTATTTATTTAATTTTTTGACACCAAATATACTGATCTGGGCAAAATATATTGTCGCAAATTTCAGTGTAGGTAAGTTTTTGGTTTATCGCCCAGCCCTAATCTAATGCCTCAAGTTCAACTCTCTGTCAGCCATCAATAGTTGCAACAAAATGCAAAAGGTTGCAATCTGCAGTTGTGCGCATTCCTGTTAGTGTCAGAAAGATTCATTCTATTAACAGTATATGATCACAACGCACTCTACAACTACCATACATTGACCTGTTTTTCCTTCATTATGTTAAATATGCCTTTAATGCAATATTTTTGTCCTTCACAATACCGAACATTTTTCCTTTGAGCACTACACACCTCCTTAAAGTTTCTCCATTGTCATTTCTGCTCAGTTTCAGTCTCCCACAGGGACATGGGTTGTAGGATCTATTTTAATACAACAGGGGTCACTGTTGATCCAGTGTGGGGAAACAGGTTTCTTTGGGAAACTAGTTTTATACCTTCAAAGATATACTTAAAATATGCTGGTGATCTGATATGCTGGATGTCTGTAAATTAGCCTTTACCTGGAAAATGAGTGGAGTCATTGTTCATTTTTGATACCAGTAATGATCTCGCCTTGCAATCTGTCACCAACACATAAAAGCCTCTGGGGTGTAAATTTTCAAAAGCCACAACATGCCAACCACAAAGAGTGAGATCAAAATTATATCCCTGCTGTGAGATAGAGTACATTTGTTAAGTGGGCCAGGGCAGACCATTCCAGAGATGGTTTGCGGCTCTGTGGTCTTGCGAGCAGGTTGCAGCTGCAGAAAGCACCGGCGTGTTTGTGCTGTTACCTCAAAGCAGACTGCTCTTCATGGTAAACATCAATCATTAGTCTCTTTTATGAGGATTCTCAGAGCAGGTTTGTGTTCTGCAGCTCAGTCATTAAAAGATGTCTGGTTAATGCTTACAGCAGGCAGGCCAGAGAAGCGTTTTTTTTCTCCCTTTTCCGCAGCCTCAAGAGTTCCTATGTTTCCCTGGAAAACTGCTTTTGAGGGGGGGATGTTGTCATGCTCCAGGACTCCTCCAAATCCTTAGATTAGATTTTAGGAAACAAGGCAGGCTTTTGGCATGAAATCAAAGCAGTTCTTGAGGGACCACCAGATCTGTTTTCAGTTAATGTATAAAGCTATCTCCATGCAATGAGCCTTGGAAAAGTGGCTTTGGTATAAACAGTTTGCTTTTTAGAGAAGTACCTGCACCTTTAATACTGATTCAAGTTGGTGACATAATTCCTTAAAAACAAATCAGTACCTTCTCCTGCCTGGTGAACATTTTTCAAAAGCTTTTTGGAAATGACTTCATTCTTTGATTTGACATAACACTTTAATGAGTCATGGGGAGGCCGACAGCTTCGGCTGTTTCCACAGCTTGAGAATATGTGTACTTCAGTGAGAAATGGATTTAAAGGCATTTGCTCTGTTTATGTGTCCGCTAAGTGGATCTGAACTGTAGAGAGTCATGTTGTGGAAATGCAACCTGCGCTACTAAGTGGAACCACATGGAGCCACGATGTGGAGAGTGTGAGCGCACAGCCGGCGCTGACCTGCTGCCCTTCTTCATTAACACATCGGCTTTCTGTAACGTAGAGAAACTTTGCTTTGGTGATAAAAAAAGAAGAAAAAGACCAACATTTTGATTTAATCTTAAACAGTGCCTGTGTAACAAATTCCCTCTATTGATGTTTGTCTTATATTACATCATTCACACGTTTGACCCTCTGTCTGCAGAATGATGTATGTGCAGAGTGTGGATGTACAAAGGGGCTTCTTTCATCTAGTGAAGGGGTTAAATTTATTTGCACTATCCAGGAGAAATGCTTATGATTTAACACACGTATGAACATAATGAACATAATGTAATGACATCACTTAAAATATGTCACTTTTTCACATGTAATGAAGGGATTTGAAAGGGAAACATGAGCTTTGCGTTGAGTTGTCTTGCACTTTGCAGTTTATGCATCACTTTGTTAAAATTTAATTTGAATATGATAGACAAGCAAAAGGATATTTTTAAATCTCATTTTAGGGTTTTTTCATAGGTGGACTTTTATTAAAATTGATGCCTTGCCAGTCAAATTGATAACCTGCATGCTATTAACTAGGACTGCTTTTTTCTTACATTATATTACACATTACATTTCTCAGAGGTACTGCTTTGTCCACAGGGGGGCACACAAATCAAAACAAACTGAACAATCCTCACTGGAACGCCAAAAGTTTTAAAGATGTACAACACTTAAAGGTGAGCTCAGACTGAATTGTGACAACCGATATATTAAGAATTTACTGTGTTCTCAGTCAGATCCTAAGACACTTTCTAACAGTTGGTGCAACGAGATGAACTGATATTTGCACCAAATTTCACAGGGATCTATTTAACTGTTGAGATATTTCCCAAAAGAAAAAAAAAGGAAAAAAAAAATAGACGTAAAATTCATCCACTGTTTCAGAGCATCACAGCAATGACAGCTTACAATCACTTCTTTAAAAAAATTGATAAAAACTGATAAATTCAAAGGAAACAACAACTAAGAAATGAGTTCATGAGTCAGCTGAGAAGCATTTTTTTTATTATAACATATATTTTTACAGTGTTAGTGTAGTAGCATGACACACAGTATTGGTACGATTAGTAACCATAGCACCAGAATCAGTCATTCATTTCTTTATACAGGCTACAAACATACATACTGTAAGGTACATATGATTCTTAAAAACATCTTTGGATAAGCCTGGCAAACAAGCACACTGTCTCTCTACTCAGTACCAATCCCCAGTCCATATTTAGCACTCTGTTTACAATTCAAGTATGAATATTAAAAATACACATATATCATAAGTTACAACTCTTAACGGTTATTACAAAACACAAAACAAAAAGAAAAAACAAACAGGATTACATTTCTACAAAATTTATGGCACATAGTGCATCAAGTATTCTTTAACTTTCTGATACAGACCTCATAGAACAATTGACCATCATAAAATAAAATAAATGACGGACAAAGGTTTTCTAGCTGCTCAATGACTTATTATATTTATTTTTCAGCCATTCTTTTTTTAATCAAAAGTAGCTGCATTGGCTGAGAAGAAAAAAATATCTGCATCTACCTTCTAACTTTGGTTAAAGCATAACATCAGAGCATGTTAGGTTGCGTGGTAGTCGTAGCAGTGGTCATGATGAGAGTCATTTAGGATGAGTTTAGCACTACCCAAGAGCAGATTTCCTCATGCAGTGGCTTGTCTGATTTCTGCAGCTAGATTTTCAGCAACATAATAAGAGGACTTTAACATGCTTTATGTGCAGATCTTCCATCTGCTTCATAAACAAAAGCCAGTGTTTTCCTTCTCGAGATTAGAGGTAATTCCAGTAGTTCAAAAGCACCATTCAAAGGATCCTCATTAAGGTTAGTGGTTATACACTTCTAATAGTGGTGAGCTAATATCTCTTTTAGCAAAGCAGGCAGAGGACAAAAACATCTGACATTGTCCTCTGCATTGGTAGTAGTCATTGTACCCTTAAAACACAGAACATATCTACAGTTATTACAGAATAAATATGGTCAAAAGTGAATATATTACAACACATATCTCAGAAGAGTATGGATGCTTATGAGAGGTAGGGGTTGCAGGTACCCACAGTAGGCCCAAGGAAGGGTGTGAGGTGAGACAACACACCTGATACTGTGTCACGGTGTAACAGATGAGAACTTAATGTGGCGTGATTTAAAAGAACAAAAAAAACCCACAAAATTGTTAAAACAAACAATCCTCATGACAACAGAAACATTTTAAACTCTGCTAAAACACTTAACGGTATTTCATTGATGTCCACACAGCACCAGAGTAAATTCTGTCTCTCTGTGATGGTGAAATGTTAGGTTTGGACCATCTGTGTAGGCTGAGAAGTTTTGTTGAAACAGCTAAAAGCAGACAGGCTTTTCTAAACTTTGCCCTCTGACATAAGGCGGGTCTGAAAGGATATAAGAGGTTAGATGTTACAGAAATCATTCAGTAAGTCTTTGAAATCAAGGGAACAATTTGACATAACGCTGTCCAGTTCGCAGCCAGTTAGCTTAGCTTTGTTGAAAGATTAGATAAAGGGGGATACAGACAATCTGACTCTGTGCTAAACTGAAGATGCCAGACTGAGGTGCAGTCCTTTTTTTGCACATCAACCTAAGTAGTAATGTCAAGACTCAAGACGTAAATGTGATTATACATTCCCCGTCCCTGTATGAACATTTTTCTTTGTACACTTTGGTTTTTGTGTCACACAGATGGAAAATGATAAGATGTTGTCACCTTCAGGCAGAGTCTGAATGGCAGTTTTCCCCCTGTTCAAAGCTAAGCTAACCGCTGGCGTCAGCTTCAAATAAATCAAACCTAAGACACGAGTAAACGTCAAAATGTCGAGTATTTTCTCTTAATGTGTGAAAGGCTTACATGATTCATGACTGTCTTGTTGAATTGCTATTATTATGTATGTTTGCAATCATTTTACAATACATGTGTTTTTATTCCAATGATTTCAAGTCAGCGAGATGATTTAAATGCCTACAATGACAGTGACTGTGAATGAAAATCTCTCAATACTGTGGGAGATACCATTTAACAAGATTGGATCCAGATACTTCATGATTTAAATCCAGACTATATTTCACTTCGAGGAATGCCAAAAGACATTTATTTTGTAAAGATGAGTGTTCGTGTCCTGAAGAAAGGGAAGAGTCTAGTCGGTTGTGTTTGTAGTTGAGTGTTTCCAGTGTTTTTTGAGTGTTGTATCCCTTTGTTTAATACTTGAAAAATGCAAAACAGTGTCAGTAGAAAAAGGCATTTCAGGTTCTGAAGCACAGATGTGTTTGATGTCATGCAACACTGTTGGCAAGCAAATATTGCCGGCTCTTCTTCAGGATAAGCAATTTAGGACCTGATGAAGGACCTGACAGAAGCCCCCGCAGTACTGCACAGGACATAGTGTCTTGAGTGTTTTAGCTGCCACTTGGGAAATGGGGGTTGTCACTGTAGGATGACTACTGTTAAAAGTTTCTCCACCACACTTACAGATGTCTACAGGGTCCAACAAATCAACGTTAATGTATGTTCCCGGGCTTCTGCCTTGAGTGTTGAGTTCAGGGTTTGGTCTCTGCATACATGGCCCTCAGTGGACTTGGAGGAGTAGGCCGTTATGAGCCTGGGGAATGCACTTCCCGCAGAAACCACCACAGCGCCCATAGATTCTTGTTCCATCCTACAGACAGAGACAAATTCGAGGGAGGAGAAAGTGGGCAAAGGGCAGCTTTCTACACAGAGAATGGAAGTTTCCTAAATGTCAGAGGGGATTCCTCATAAATGAATCAGACAAAAACATAACAGGGGAAAATCAGATGGCATTTCAGAGCAACAATATCACTCTAGTTCTCCAAGACCCAACATGCAGCACAATTATATATGACTCATTCAGAAGCTACTGTTGCCTCTTACCTCAGATCTGTGGACTTTGACAGAAACGTAGTTGCCCTGAGATGTCCACTTGGTGGCCTCAGACACTTTGAGGCCAGTCCCAATCAGGTTAATACTGAACTGGCCCTGAAAACACAAAACAATTGAGTTCTCTATGAGTTGTGTGGACAAGTGTGAAAATAATATCTGCAGAAGGAGGGGTCTAAACTAGGGCTGTGCGATAAACTGAAAATTTACCGATACCAAAATTTACGACAATTACTGACGTCATTTTGCCCATATCGGTAGACTATCGGTATAGTCGGTGTCAAAAAATAAATAAATAAAAGTTGGTTTGGGATTTTTGTAGGTAGGCTGTGGTCTCATGTCCCTTTAAGACGCTGTCCTACGTCGGAGACACGTGAGGAGATGGAGGACGGTTCAATAATTGTGGATGCTGAAAGTTTGGAAAGTAGAGAAAGTTTGGGCAGCTTGTGGAGTAGTTGTCGTCCATTTATCGCTCAATAAATCGTGATATTGATTTGAGGCCATATCGCCCAGCCCTAGTCCAAACTGTTTACTTTGTCCAAAGCCCTTCATCGTGGAATATCAGGATTAATTAAAGTGGATTCCTTGGTCAATATATTCAGCATTTTTTTGTTGTTGTGACAAAGTAGAGTGTAATACCAACCTGCGGGCACTTGGCTGCGCTGTAACAATCCCCAGCTGTAGCAAAAGGCACGGGTCGGCCAAGGAGAGTCTGGGAAAACTGGAGGTCTGTGACTGTAAACGGCAAAGACAGAGCTAAAAAGGAACTGCTGAAGTAAACACAGACTACAGACAGCTGCTCTAAGGTAAACAGAACCACAAACTCTACTGGCAAGAACAGCTTATGCAACAAAACAGGGTTGATGTCACTATCCTCAAGCTGGGGAGTAGATATAGTCAACTGCTATCACTAATTTTCACAACTTTTTACCTACATCCAACATCAAATCAACAACTAAAGATTTGTGAGTATGATGGTGATCATCAATTCTGATGTGAATGACTCAGACTGAGTGTTGTTCCCTTGACCCTCTTGTTCATTCTAATTGAAATGCCACACATGACAGCCATGACCGGTACCTTTTTCCTGCTACGTCTTCATGCTTCCTGCATAAAATGACGATAAAGTTCACAATACGCTTCCCTCCACCTTGAACTAATTAACCCCCCACCCCTCCTCCCGTCAGCTCACTTCAGACTGCCTGAAGGCTAAATCAGTACCATCCAGAGAGGTGGGAACATGTGCTGTCAGGAAACAGACAAGAGGAAGAGGATGGGAGGATGATGCCGTGGGTTCTAATCCAACATCCCTTCCACAGACACACATACACACTGTACACTAATCCCTGTTCTCTAATCAAAGGCATACTTGGACCCAACAGAGAAGGTGGAGCTGTCTGTAATAACGAGCAGAGGAATATGGCCTGAAGATGAGTGCGTGTGTCTGAATTTTGAATTGCGTGCATGCAAAGGGTGTATGATGTTGATGTACGACGCATGCATGGACGTGTGCGCTTGTATTTCCAGGTTTTATCACGTGTGCTTGCCAAAGGACAGATGTGCGAGGAAAAAGCACAGACTGTCTGTACTTGAGTTTGGGTGTGCACGCATGCCTTCCATTATTTCACTGCTCACGTTTGTACTAGAAGTCCTCGCCTAGGTGATGTGAATAATGAGCGCTCAAAGGTCATTATTTTGATTCCAGAAGAGAGAGTGTGGAGTAGGTTGCACATATTACATTTGGACACCCTGGGCGATATATAAAGCACATTAGCACAAGGCGTCCGTGGGTTAAAACAACACCAGTGTGTGGTCTCATTATGGCAGACAGTGTTAGAAGATCATTTAGTAATTACGCACTTATTATCCGCAGGGAGCTGAGATCCAGACGAACTTTGTGGAAGAGTGTGTATCCTGCTGCTGAGTAGTCGTTTCTGCAGTCACAGTCTTGTCTTCTGCTGCCGTTATATGGGCACTCAAAGGGATTCAGCAACCTTTCATATAAAGGAAAGAAGTGTGAGGGGAGAAACAACCCACTGAGCGTTTTTTGGTCTAAAAGAGGTCTAATAGACGTCTAAATGTAGTCTAGACAACTGGTCGAAAATAAGGCTACCACAGGTCTAAATATGAACGTTTTTTAGACTTAAGGCCCTTACACACCGGACGCTTATTTTTTTTAACCCGTATCCTGTCAATACAAACGTTCACATCAGCGACGATTTCCCATCATGTGACATTGCAGCATTTATTTTTTTGGATCACGGTCAAATTTTCTAAATTTTCACATACTCTGTGTTCACTTCTGACCAATCAGATTTCGTGTTGTTGCAACGTCAGATTCACCGGTATATCCAACATGGCCAACCGGCTGATTGTTTACGTGTCGGCGAACAGAGTACTTTTTGATAAAAAAACACAAACATTACAAAGATAACGACCTGAAGGACAACTTGTAGAGAGTCATAGCGTCGTATCTCTCATATGACGATGGTTTGTGTGCTTTAACAGTTTGCTAAACGTCTTTGTTTTAACTTTCATCTGTGCTAAGTAACTTTAGCTCGTAAGCTAACCTGTTCAGATACAACATACCGTATGTATTTTCACTGTCTCAAACTCAATCACGTTGCTGTCACAGCACCTTTAGGTCTCGGTTGTTACCTTACGTTTATGGATTATAGTTTAATGTTCTTATCTGGTACTGGCCCCGACTCAGTACATGCTATCATGACAGAAAGACATCTCAACACTAGTGTCTAATCAGAACTGAAAAACAGTCAGTCTGCTGTTGTGTCATTCTTCTCGCTTCCACCCGGGCGTCTTTTTTTCCCTCATTGTGCTTGATGTGTATAGTCAGGCACATTGAAATTCGCCTCTGAATATTTCGTAATTTCGCGTCATATATTTGTGAAAGGACCTTAAGTTTAGACTAAATCTTAAATCTGGGCTATATCTATACTCCACTGTATATTGCTCAACAGCTATCATAATTATTTTGGTTAAGTACTTGGAGATCAGTTATGCAACTCACAGTTGCTTTTTGAAATAGATAGTTATCGAATAATGGGTTAAAGTGCAACGTCTAAGTTCCGTCTAAAAATATACAGAATCTAGATGTTGAAAGTAGGTCTAAAAAGAACTAGACATCCAATAGCCGTCTTTTGCTCAGTGGGAAACTTTTTAAAAACTAACATTCAGCACAGTGTACGTTGGATACATTACATAACCCTTTTTAAACACTAACACTGTGTCCCATCTGCCAGTGCTGCATCATTGTACAAACCTCTGCCCAAACACCTCAGAGTAATTGTCAGTCTGCCCGCTGCGCAAGGTCACATACTCCTTTGGGAAATCAGTCTGCATCTCAGCACAGTAAATCTGGGGCCAAACACAAGAAAACAGCAGATGAGGGCCTGTGGAGAAGCTGTGGGTCATGATGTGTGCAGATGCATTCCTGACACCACACACACACACACACACACACACACACACACACACACACACACCTGTAGGATCCGTGACTTGACTTTCAGATAGTACTCCCCATCTATCTTCACACCCTGTCTCATCTGGACCTCTCTGCAGGAAGTGAACAATTGGCCTGGGGAAAGAAATATGCCTCAGTGAATGGCAGGTTTTAATGCAACAGCGTGGATATGGGACACTTTGACCGCCACCACCTTTGAAAGTTCAGCTGATTTATTTGTACAGACCAGACTATAAATCTGTTGCCAACATTGACTGAAGATTGCATGAGCTGGAAATGAAACACCAGAGTGAGAAAGAATCCAACCTGGCTCTTGTCTTCTTAAATGAGAACTGTTGGGTCTCAATGTTTGTGTTGCCTCCCCTGTTTTGCTGCATATCACACTGATTGGCTGATTAGCTGATTAGCATTTATACTTGGCTGTCACCCAAGTATGTCATTTTAATTCCACCAGTGCCTGACTTGGCAGAAGCCAAGTTGGGAATGAACAGCCCAGTGCGCCGGCACTGAAACGTCTAAAATGTGGGAGAGCAGATCAACAAACTTTGGCCTGCTGCCGGGTTAAACAGTGCTTGAGAGTTCACAGCGAAGTCTGCATCACCCTCAGGCGTTTTAACAGATTGTCCGTATCACGCTTTGCAGAGAAATGCTGACTTTCTATTTATTGTTCCAGAAAGTAATCATTTCAACAGACGCGAAGCAGAGGTTTCTGTTCTGCCTAATGTGTTAAAACAAAGCAAAAACTTCAGCTTCTATAAACACAATCAGATACGGTGTTGGTTGCCATGCAGAGTACAGTCGATTTAATACCACAGCTTTGCACATTCTTGGTGGGGGGTAAGAACTACAGGGATGAAAAAAAAGTTTAATTTATATGTTGAGTTTTCACGAGCTAGAAACCCCCACTGGAGCCTGAGGAGAAAATGTAAACGAGGAGAGAAGAGGAGCTAGGAAAGGAGGAGAAGGAGTCAGCTCACATTCTCTGTCTTGACATGCAGCTTGTGACTCTGGTCTTTCCGAAGGATGGCAGTGCTTCGACGGTTGGCCTTTTGAGGTCACACACTCCACTCTCCGCTCCATCACTCCTGCCCCACAGGTCTGTGAACACTGTTTTACACACACACAAAGATCCCTTCTGTAATCAAACAGCCACTTAACAATAAGCTCAATGAATAAGAGTCCAGTCAGATCCAAATCCATAAATAAGATTTAGCAGCAAAGCAAAAAAAAAAATGCACCATTCAACAAAATGTTTTGTGAAAACAATAATTAGCTGGAGAGGATTTCGTGCTGCCTAACAAGCGTTTTCTGCCTCACCTTACTCCACGGGCCAACTTTCCAGTAGGTCGTGTGCGGGCAGTCCCTGAGGAGGCAGGGCCGCGTGCCAGGAGGGTGGGGCTGGGGGCACTGGGTGCTGGCAGAGGAGGACTGGGCTGCAGCATACGGGCGCAGAGCCTGAGACGGGGGCATCACTGAGCAAGAGACGATGCGCTGCTGATAACCGACACTGCAGCTGGCTGAACACTGTGGCACACACAAATGCACAATGTATGGAAAATATAAGCCTTTGAGGAAGTGCAAGACAACTGCAGTTGCTGAAAGTGTCCACTAGGGGCTGGCTTTAAAAGCACAGGGAACCCCATCAGGTACTGTGTTCAAACACCAAGTTATATAGTTGAAATGAACATGGTTCAACATGGTTCTAGACAGTTTTGCTCTATGTAGTCAATCTTAGATAATCCAAACTCTGAGATTTATGCAAAAATGGGAATATTTAGGGGCTGAGTTGACAGAAAAAAGGAGCAGCTGTAGCTGTTTGCCTACAAATTAATGGCACACTTCAGCTCAATGTCTTTACCTGTTTCTTGGTTGACAGAAAGTTAGCTGGTATCAGCTTTTCCAATATAGCAAATGTTACAGTTTGGCATCAGAACACCTTCAAAACCAGTAACTAAAGTCACAAGCTCATGTCCACATTTTCTATCCTATATGGTAATGCAGAGGCAGATTTTTTCATCTTGACCTTAAAGTCCCACTCCAGTTGTCTTTTTTTACTACTTAAAGTGTTTCTTAGTGGTCTTTAAATTGTGATTGTGAAGTTTTTAGCCAAAATCACCTAACCAGTGTCATTTTCTGCAGAGCTCCAGTAGCTCATTAGCAATTCCCCTCTGAGTCTTGCACAGAGACAGCGCTGCTCTGCACACTACTTCATGCTAGCTTGTAGCACAACATTGCCGGTGTAGTAGAAGTGTCATGTAATATAAGAGCTATTCAGCTTTCTAACTAGCATTGCAATCCGCTAATGTAGACGCTTGTTCCATGATCATCCTCTCTACTTCTCGAGGTCTGGCCTGCAAAGCAGGGCTCCATGGGTGGAGCTTGAATTTGCTACATAGGAAATCTCTGAATCTGAACCTGCTGTTTGGGTCTTCCAGAGATTCACAGAGATGTGAATGCAGAAATACTCAGAAATGCAATTTTGCACTTACTTTTCCCTTGATATGTCCTGTAGCAACAGAAAAATGACATATAAATATGTAGACAACAAGAAAAGAAGATTTTCTTGTTGTCTACATCGGTGTGGGTCTTTAAGTAGTACCACTGTAAAATTAAAAGGTATCCATATAATTTTTATGATGTGCACTCTTTTTCTAATTTTGCTGATTTTGACAGATATGTTAAGAAAAATACAAAGATTTGTAAATTAATTTTAAAAAATTGTGTGAAGCAGAAATATTGTGCTTCTTTTGGGCTCTAGAAAGTCTAGAAAGTATAATTTTGAGTTTTTTTCTGTTTTTTTTTTTTTTGTGTTTGGAAATATTCTGATCTCTATGTCTTCTTTTATTTGTACCTGTGACCATTCCCCTGTAATCCACATGTAGTGGCAGGGAGCTCCTTTGCAGAGTTGGTGTGATGGAGGCTGTGACGAAGGCTCGCAGTAATCATCCTGGATGGGTGTCATTCCTGGGCCCATGCACCCAACCTTCCTACTCCTCATGCCTTCTCCACAGGTCGCGTTACACTGCAGGGAAAATACAACACATGGAGAAATCAGTGAGCGAAGAAGAGTTGGCAGAGGGGGGGCAGTGTTGTTCTTTGAGCAGCAACTTCACAGACTTCTGGACCCTCCTTGTTATGTAAAGGTTTACACAAGTCGAGAGATTCAGTGTTGTGTGACAATAGCAACATTAGCTCTTGAGGAGGGAAATCCCAAACATGTGCTGTGGTTGACATAAAAGATAAAAGTGAAGCTGCTTTCCCTCAAGCCCAGGAATAGTTTATGTGAGCTTTTAAATATAATGACATGGACCAGAATCTTCAGATTAATTTAGGTTAAAAAAGAGCAGCTGTGTGCGTGGATTTTACGACAATCTCTTTGTGTTTCACGAGTACTGAAACGACTCGAGGGCCAAACTGTGGAAGACACGAGGCTGTAAGTTCTCAAAGAAACACAGACAGGAATCTGAAACAGTTCAAACATTCCTGCAGCAGGAGGATCCAGTGTTGTGTCCCTACATGGTGCCCCTCTTTTATGCTTCTCTCTGAGGGACAAAGCTCGGGACATTAAAGAAAAATGAGCAAGTCTGCTAGCGTGACAGAGCAGAGATATTCAGAGGGACAAAAGGGGATGATGGCCATCAGTACTTGGAGGTTTGGTTTGATTTACCGACTGATGGCTATCAGCAAAGCCCTCACAGCTGATGCAAGAAAGGAAGGGAACCTGCAGGTTGTCTTTTTATTGGTGCAGAAGAAGAGAGGAAGAGTGGAGATCTTAGCCAATAAAACCTTAATAAGATGGTTCAACATCTGCTCATGTGTCGAACACCAAGAGAGGAAGGGCGAAGGAAGTGATGGATTTAGGAGAGGAGCGGAAGAATAAATCTGTTCTTACATCTTCCCATTCGCCGGCAACCCAAGTGTAATGTGTGCACTCCGCAGTTTGACACGGCCGGACGATGGCGGGACGAGTGTGAGAATCGCAGAGATCCTGTCTGACCCGTCCAGTGCCTTTATGTCTGCAGAATACATCTCTGTTCTGAACTCCGACTCCACAGGTGACTGAGCACTGGAAAGAGAAGAGAGAGAAAGAGGACACACTAAATCAAGAAAACAGCAACTTCTGTGGCACTAAGACTAGTTCTGTTCTTTATTGTACTGTGCAGCAAAGGATAATAATAATAATAAGAATAATAATAATAGACCAAAAGCAGGAGCCTCCCAAATCTGGCACATGTGAACTCACTGATAAAAGGGTTATCTGCACTCAGGTATAGAAACTTTGAGTCTAAATGATATAACTGAGGAGTGGGGTTTATAGAAATAGGTGAGTTGTATTATTAAAGCAGTGCTTTGGGAGTTAAATTAAAACTATAGAAGGAAAATATGTTTCTTAAAGCTCCTTAGAGTTCAGAAAATACTAATATTAACATTAATGCATCTGTATAAACCTACGAAAAAGGATTAGGGCCACATGAAGAGAAAAAAATAATTACAGGAGGGGATTTTTTAAAATTTTCATTTTGAGATTAAAGTCTAAATTTAAAAAATTTGAAATTTCGACTTTATTCATGTGAACTTTAATCTTGAAAATTTCAAATTAATCTCAAAATTTTAATTTTTCGAATCCTAAAATTTCAACATTATTCGCAACATTTCAACATTTTTTAACCTCAAAATTTTGACCTGAATCTTAAGATGTCAATCTTAATCTCAAAATTTTTATTTAATTGACAAAATTTTGATTTTTTAATCTTCAAATTTCAAATTAAATCTCGAAATATCGACTTTAATCTCCTTCCTGTAATTATTTTTATTTCTCTTCATGTGGCCCTAATACACTTTCATAATAGACCAGACCATCAGCAACAAGATTCACAATTTATTAATCTTGAAAAGTAGATAGGGAGAGTTATTTTTGTCAGAAAACCCTACTTAGGGGTCCACAGGGGGCGCCAAAATCACCACAAATTGAATAAAAACTAGCATGCTCTGAATTATCTTCATCTTGGACCAAACAGTCTTGTACAATAAATAGAGGTGGATGGGTGAACTGAACTATACACTTACTGGATAGCAGAATATGAAAGCAAAGCTAATTACACACATGATTAAGCACTGAGGAGATATTGTGGGGTATGCTAATCTCAGATTACGGACGAGAGAGACGCTAAAAGAGTTCAAAGTTGTTGCAAAACAAAACAACAAAGTCAGAGGAAAAGAGTGGAAAGAGAAATTTTACAGGTAGTATTAAAGTATTCTGTTATATTGGGACTCTGGGAATTAAAGACAATACTGATGCCGACTTAATTTCCCCAGATTCTCTTGTGTCAATGTCTTTAAACACATCCTCGTTGAAGTACCTGGCTGTGAGCGATTCAGAGTAATGTGGTATTAACTGCAGATTTGTTCCCGTGACTGACTTCATTCCTGTTAGAGGGAAACTCCTCTGTGGCCCCAAAAACCATGTTTCTCATATAAAACCATTATGAAGACATATCTGTAAAAGTGATGACAGGACATCCTGAACTTCTCGTAAGTTCAAGTATTACTCTTTGTGTTTTAAATTAAAAGTTATAAGGTCTGGAGCTGGAGGGCTCAGAGGGACAGGAAACATGAATCTGCATTAGTACTTGGCTGCAGGACAGAGAAGAAAACCAAAAGAGGAAAGTCTTTTGGCGAACTGAACGTGCTGGAGGACGGTCATGAATGGATGACAGCTTAAAATAACCAGCTCTTCCGGATATATATCCATGCTGGAATGACACATCTGGCACATCTTAACACACGTGTTCTTGTGAATCTTTGAAATACTATTTGAGACACTCTGAAATAAAACGACAGATAAGAACGCATAAAAACAGCAAATTACAGAACAACTGTGGTAAAACACCAACATATACCTGATATTAATTTTCCCAAAGCAGATATTTTTTGTGTCTTATGTTATCTATGAGATTAGATTTCATTCGCAAGGAGGGAATTGTGTTATTTCTGCTCTTTAGAAACATAGGACCCACTTTCATGTGACATTCAATATTTGTTTTGGCTGCAGTTGTGCTGTCCTCTCATGCTCTTAAACAGTGTTCCTGATCAAACCAAAGGCAGTTTGGGGGCTTCTTTAGTCAGACATGTATCTGAGGTCACACAGAGGTCTATCTCTAACATCTCTTTGATGTGCTTTGGGAAGCATACCTGCATACTGAGGAAGCACTCTGTAAGGCTTGAGCTGATCTGCCTGATTTCTCTCTAACTCTTCCATAGCAGACCTCAAAGAGCATTTTAAAGCCTCAATGACTTCACACAGTCAGAAAATGTGTGCAATATACAGCCAGTATCCCATTTTCCAAAAGACAGAAAAGAAACCGTTCACATTTTTTCATTTTGTGATCATTTTTACAGCAATTGTTTGTTATCACTGCAGTATCTGTGAATGAATGTGAGGGGTCAAACCCTTGAGTTTGAAAAGAGAACAAAAGGTACCTGAGAAAATCTGACCTCCAGGTCAATGATTTTTATTTATTTATTACAGAACATAAAAATGAAACCTGCTGTTAAAAGATTGTAGTTACTGTCGACTGCCACATTTGAACAAATCCTGACTCTGTTTAAGACTTGTGTCTCTTATCTGAGATGACCCTCACATAATTATTTTTAACACAAATTAGTTGTATGACTTTCCTGTTCAGATGCAAATTTACACGATGCCCCATTTTCCAAAATTACCCCTCAAAAACATTAAAGCTCCTGTTAGGATCTTTCACTTTGTTCCAAATTTGGTTCCCTAAAAATGGAAAAAGAGGTATCTTTAATTTCTTTGCTGAAAAATCTCCCCTTGTTCCAAGTCCAATTTTGTTGGACATCTCTGTTATAGAAAATTTTAAGTAGAGGCTGTTAGAGTATACCTACCCAAGGCCAGCAGTTTTAATGTCACAAACAACTATTTGTCTACTTTTGTTGGTCTAAAGGAGGCTTCTGCATCTATTTTGATGTGTTTTGTAACCAGATAAAAACTCCTCACTGAAGCTTTAACTAACCAGGATAAAGACCAGAGCAGATACAAAGACCAGCCCATGTGCTGTAACATTAATCTCCTCGCCATGTTGTCATACGCTTAACGTGGCTACAGGACTTCAAAACGGAGACTTGAAGAGACAGTGAACATGTATGCAAACAAGAAAAAAACAGGTGCTGTCTAGTGCACAGAGTAAGTCGTTCATTGTCTCTAATCCATTGGCAGTGCTGGTTGGTTTATTGTACGCTTTTGTGCTCGTGTTGGACTGTGTGGCAACATCTGGATTGAATTGTGCAAATTGAAAGCATAGCTGAGTGAGCCGTGGACCTACGTTTGCATGGTAATGCTGTGTAGTGGTGTGCAGGATGAGCTGGACGGGCTCAGGTAATTTGGGTGGGGCAGCAGGGGTGGATCCAAGGGGCAGTCAGGGTGGATGTGGCCCTACTTGAACTCTGATCAGCCACCTCAAAATCCTACATGAGCTAACTGGACTGTGTGAAGACAGAATGCTTTAGATTCTAGGGGAATTTACGTTTTTGAAATCTTTTCACATTTTGAAAGTAAAAACTCTTTACTTTAATTGTAATTAATCACTGTAAGCAAAAAATGTAGAACCTCATTTTAATGGATCGACAGTACTAGTTTTACGAGTTATCTTGGTGTATGTAGCAGTTGCTTTATTTTGAAGGGGAAGTTAACCCCATCACTAAAAATTCACAAAACAACATTTTTTTTACCATTTTTTTGGTAACATCAAAAATGCAGTTTTTTTTTTTAATCTTTACTTGTAAAATAAGTATGCATTTTAGATTTTTTGCAGTGATACATATACTACAGATGCAAAATAAACTATAATAATCTGGAATAATCTACCAAACACAGTAATTTTCTTTCTGCTAAAGGTTAATTTCTTCTGTTGAGACATATCGTAACAACTACTCACAGACTAATTTTAGGATTAGTCGGTAAAACAGGGATAATATTTCCAGAACTAGAAATTACTGGTAAAATTTTGGTTGTATTTTAGATGCTCTGTAAGGAGACACATTTTAGTACTTTTTTTATGGAAGAACCAACATGTGAAAATATTTGAGCCGTTTCATTGAAAATAATTGTACACGTCATCATAAAAAACCTGGTAATACTTTTGTGTCCTTGGTTCAATGGGCACTTCACAACCCCCTCCCTCTCAGTTTCTCCTGCATGCTGCCCATCACCCCCCCTCAGTCAGAGGTGAGTGAGAGGGCTGGGTAGCGGTGGAATAACTCAAACAGAGGGTGCTGAGGTTTCAAAGTTGTCACATGCATGGATATTAAGATATAAAACATGTCTTTATACTCTGGTTGAGGATTTCATGGTTGCTGGTGGTATGTGGAGGAAGATGATTGCTTCCAGACATGGGCAGGAGAACGAGTGAGAGAGAGAGAGAAAGAAAGAAAGAGGAGGAGGAGGAGGAGGAGGAGGTACTCCTCAAAGGCTGCAGAGTGGGGGATGAAGGAAGGTGGACGTAGGTCTTCATGGATGTTTGAGGATTTTACAGTTATTTGAGAGAGGAGGAAGTGTTTGTTGGATTTTAAAACAGGCGATAAAAAGATATTGATGTCAGTGTTAAGAGAGTTTGCAGGTTTAAGTGACACTAAATGCAAACTTTTCGTATTTATTGTGTGTTTTGAACATGCAGAGATCTTGTCCTTCTGGGTGATCTGTCACAGTATGATAGAGAGTATGACAGAACATTCCTCCTTTCAGTCCGCTCTGCTAACTTGTGATAAATTTGGTTTTGAACATTTTCCGCCCTGCAGGAGCTCAACATGCCTCTGAGCCAAAAGTGTGTTGCGGCCATATGCATTATTCTCTTGGCTGTAGTTATCACGGCTGTGTGGTCGGCTCCACCATGACTGTGACCTCAACCCCCCCCCCGGGTGACTCCTCCATGCACAGCCTTTGCCCCGCCAGTGTCTGGTTGCACTAGTGAACAATGGTGCAGAAGCCTGCTGTGCTCCAGGATTTATGTTGTTCTTAGCATCATCCTTTTATCTGTATGGGAGGCCGTGCAAAGTAACATCAGCTGTGCCTAAGCTAACAAACAAGCTCTTGATAAGATTTTGAGTATGAAATGAGGTTTTTATGCACTACCTTCTCAGTGTTGTGAAACCAGCAATGCTCTCAAATGTACAGTTTGTTGTTTGGTCTGCAAGAAAAAAGCTTCAAAGACGGCCTGCAGCATAAACTCCTACTTGAGATTGCACTACACACCAATTTCAACACTTTGTTAGAAAACCTAACATCTAAATGTCAAGTGCACCACATAAACAGTGTTTCAGATCCAGTCTGTGGTGTTTAGTTCCCACTTGAGGAAACCACACATTACTCTTCAACAAGGATAAACTGAGCAGTGATTGGACAGGTGCTCTGTGTGTACATGTCCTACATCTGCAAACCCCTTGGAAGTCCTCGGCCGTGTTTGTGCTTGTATCTCAGCTGCTAGCGGCGGTTACTATCACTAAAGTTCTCAAGAGACTGTTTTGTGAGAGAAGGAATAGGGCAAACATACCTCCGTCCATTTGTTGGCCTTCCAGCTGGGGCATCCCCGCGCACGACAGGCCTTTTGTGTCCGTGGCCGGGGCAGATGACTGCAGTGTTCTTCCTCTATTTCGGTTTGGTTCTGATAAACACAGTTTATCTCCCGCTGCTTGGTCCCCCGACCGCAACTCACTGAACACTGAGGAGGGGTGGGGAGAGAGGGGGATGGGAGAATGAGAGAGATGTTAGCGAAGTTCTGAGAAGATGGTAGCAGCCGATTTCATGATGATCAACTGTGGCAATGAACAGAAAACATTTAATCCTCCTTTGAGTTTTTATAGTTGGCTTGTTTAAGGTTTTTTCAATCTTTCAAAACATTATGGAGATTGATCAGAGTTAGTGAGATGCATTTTTTGTCTGGTTTGACGTATCTGGCCATTAAAAGCACAAATATGGTTGAAGATGCTTCCAGAAGAAGTAGACACATAGGTTCTCTTTGACCTACATACACACCATTGAAGTCTCAACAAAAGTTCGCCCAGTGCACCCAGCTTCCTTGTTGCATTTCATGGCCAAGTGAACACACTGCAAACAAATTTAGCCAAACAACTTAAATGGATTTCGCCAAAAACCTTTTCTGTCTCACGCTGATGGAATGCAGCCAGCTATTCAACCTGTAAACAGAGGAATTACTTTAAGAGCTGCTGTGGACAGGCGGAGGCTGGGGCAGGAGGTGGAAAAGACGCAGAGCGAAACATTGATGCATGCACGCGGCGAGACGGTCATCTGGTATGAATAAGGTACTTAGAAATACTTCTGTACAGCTAGAGAGACGATGACGACTGAGAAAGGGGGAAAAAACATGATGAATAAAAACCAGACGCCCTGATGAAAGCTCTGTAAAAGAGACTGGAGATGAAAATATTCAAAAGTCTTTGGCCCCCATGAGGCCAGACGGCAATTAGCGTGCCCGCTATTTCTGCTTGACGAGTGAGCGCCCCCATTCAAAGCTGCTCCAAAATTGGGGTGCTGGAATCAAATACACAAGACGAGGAGAGTTACGTTTCTTTCTTAGTGTATTTTCCACTCCAGATAATACACATAATATTGCATTGTCCTCGAACTATGATGCCAGAAATGTTGCATAACACCAAACACATTTTTTTCCGAGTGGTCATGGTACTGATTGTACAGCAGATGACAGATTATGAAAAGAGACAGATTATGCATCGGATTATTCCTTTTTTTCCAGTTTCTGGGAGCCAATAAGATCTTTTCCTGTTCCAAAATCCACTGATAACTATTTGGATATCCGTTCAATCCCCTTAAACAAAGCCACCTCTAGCCTTTTCTTTGAAAGTGTGGTGCAGGCTGTGGTTGACACTGCACACACATGCATCATATGCATTGTAATTATGGAGGCATTTTAAACACAGGGCTGGCTCAGCTGACGGAGGACATCAAAGCTGAGGGCCGGAGCTGAGTGAGTAGTCCTGAGCACGGCAGATTCACATACCCGCTGCACACTCACTCAAAAATGATAACAGAAGTGCCTCTACCTCAGACGAGAGCAGAGACAGGCAAACATGTTGGAAGAGGGGGGGTGAGTCGAGGGATAGCCCCTCCTTACTGCTGTAAAAGCAGGAGGAAAAAAAAAAGAAAGAGGAGGAAAAAAAAGGGAGGAAGAAAGGAAATCGCAGCCATACGGGCTGTGCTCCCCCAGCTGAACTGTATCTGCATTTTAACGGTGGGAAGAAGAGACGCTATATGGCAATGTGCTCCTCCCTCCGCCCTGCCAGCCTCATCTGTCAGCCATTAGTTAATCAGGGCTGGTAATGCAGAGCGCACAGAGAGCTGGCACCGCTCATGGGACCAGAGGACAGCTTCACCTCTGAGAGCAAAGAGAGGGCAAGGACTCGGGGACCTCTGTTGCACCGAGCTACAGCTTGGCGACTTCAATCACCAGCACCCACTCAGGTAAGACTCCTCCACTTCTCACTTGTTTTCAGCAGCTTTAAGTGTGAGAAGTTAGCATCAAGCTACTTCATTCTTTGGGAAAAAAGAGGGTCAAGTGTGTTTGGAGGGCTTTAAAAAGAAAGTTTTCATGTCTCTCTTGTATTTTGATAGGATTACATGTTCTTTAATTGAACTTTCACATGTTATACAAGCTACATTGGCACCCTGATGGTATGCTAATTTGTTGCAGAGCTGTGAGAGTGTTTTAAATAAAGTGGGGGGAAAAAACTCCCTTTAAAGGGTCTCTTTAACATGCAGGGGAAGAACAACTCCTTGTGAAAAAAAATCAATGGGTCACATGGGAAATGAAACACCCTTGAGACAGGTTTGCCCTCCCACGTTGTCCCAGCAATTAATTACACATGATTAGGTGGGCTAAATCTAGCATAATCCAACAAGGTTCATGTTAGGCATAATGTGGATTACTTTAAAATGGAATGACTGAACCGCTTTGGATTTGGCACAGAGTTGAAAACCAGCCAAGTACAACAGCTTTTGTGGAACAGGGGTTGCTGTTTCCAAGCTGAACAGGGTTTCTGCACAAAAGGGCGTATTTTTCATATTGGAAAGCCAGGCGTAATAAACACCCGGCTCTTAATTCTCTTACCAAATGGTTTCAAAGTGGGGCTCTTAATTTGAAAGAGTGTCACAGTTCTGGAAGAAATCACATAATTGAGTGCAAAACCAGCCTCAGCTAATTTATGCCTTTTTATATGTGTCAAACCAAAAAATAAAACAGTGTTTTAAAAGTAGATGACTGACTTTTAATACAGTTAACACAATCTGAATGTGTGCAAGCAAACAACTATAGCGAAAAATGTGTATCAGATGCTGTTTTTGAACATCAATGTCTTTGTATAGGAACTGGCAGCAGGTAACTTCAAGATGACTCCACCCACTGCTTTGCTGTGAACAGGTGAGCAAATAGGACACATGGAAATTCTTTGAGGCATCTAAGAGGGACTCGATTTGCATTTTAAGATCTGTTACTCAGCCAATATTGCAATCAAAGCTGCTAAAACAGCACAGAACCTCAGAGAGAGAGAGGGTAAATTCCACCAAACCAACACTTTGGTTCAGATTAGATCCGCTTTGTCTGTATACATGAATGTACTTGATCAGTAATCACTTTAGCCCCAAGCAGTGTATGAAAACATTCATTACTGCTGGAGCTATAATTATGCTGTAAAAGTCTTTTTGTTCAGGGATAAAAACAGAGCTGAGTGTTTGGAAAACAACAGTTTATGCTTCACATCAAAAGGATCCTCACTAATGTCATAATAAAAGCTCAAGTAAGGAGTTTTTAAGCTAGCAGATTGAAAATGATATTAATGCCTCTTTATGAGCAACAAAAACAAGAACATCAGCATGAAGTCTGTTTGTAATGCATGAAACTGGTGGTTCAGGGTAGGTGTTGAACAATATTATTTGCTTCACGCTGCAGCCATTTTCACTATGAGTAACAGATTTGGCTGATAAACGACACGAAAATGTGATATTTCGTAAGAAAAATCTAAAAACTCGTCTGAGAGAGCGCCAAAATCAACACAAACAACAAGTTCCTAACAGGAGCTTTAAGTTTTGATAGATGACAGAATTTGCAAGATCAGTGATAACACATATATCTAAATATATGTGTCTATATGTATAAATATACATATTTATATTTTTCTTAACCTGACCTTCTACTTTTACTAAAATACTCAGCAGAACAAAGCAAAACCTGCAACCAAACAAGAATTATAGAGAAGAGGCTCCACTGCCATGTCTAGATCAAAGTCTTCTTTTATTGAAAGTACAAATTACAAATATTTGTTGTATATTTTCCACACACTTTGGTTCTAACCGAGGCCATATCTCAAAATGTGAGAGCCAAGGTCGAATTCCGATCGCATTGCAGCACGTTTGCAATGCAAGACGATGGTAATACCAAGCATATGGTAACTGTAGCTACATGGACTCTTCAAAGGAGCTCCGTGCTGACCTGGAGCAAGAACAAACTTGCAAGAGTGTGAAGGGAGTGTAGACTTATACCCTTGGCTGCATGTTGTCAAAGCTGGGAGATACAGAGCCTTCAACAAAGATAGCTGCTATTAAAAGTTAGCGATGCTGATGCAAAATATACTCCGTTATCTGTGGACCAAATCCAGCACCAGCAAAAGGGATATTTAGGAACTGAATGCACTTTCTGATAACTTCATGTCTTATCTTTTTTATGGCATCTCTAGTATCACCATTGGCTCTAGTGCAAAGATTAAAGTGCAAATCAGAGAAAGAGAGAGGATGACGAAGCATCAGGGAACATTCAGGCTGCTTTTCTGTTCATGGTCTTGTTTTGCAGGGAGGTTTCAAAGACAGAAGTCAAAACAACACATGTTGTCAACATGGGAGCAGCTGGTAAGAGCGGCGTCATGGGGCAGAGGAATGTCAAGAGTCATAGATCTTTTATCCACCAGGCTGAAATAACCACCCAGAGACCAGGCATTCAGGGAGCAATGAAATCTGAATAGTTGTATACTAACTTGGTAACTTCATCCAGACAATAGAAAGTGATGCGCACAATATAAGTGCAGTCATCAAATACAATGATTGATTTTAGATGCAACAGGTTGGCTTTGTTGTATTAATCACTGATTGTAAGATGTGGAAATAATTTCCTGTCTCTGTCATTGCAGTTCTTCACAGACAGACAGGCATTCCTGATTGGCTATAACTACACAGCATATTCTCCACTCCATGCCAGAGTATGACTTTGCCATCTTTAAAAGAGTTAAATAAACAGAGGGTTGAGTAGGCATATACAGTTTCCCCGACAGGGTTTCCTTTTTAAGTCAACACCACTCAGTAAAGATACACCGAGCAACCATAAGTCAAAACCAAATGACAAAACAGACGAGTTCCTTTTTTTTCCGCCTGTGTAAACATTCCACTGAGAGCTTTTTCCATTGCTGCGCTACCCTGAAAATCCAGGCGCTGTTTGCATCCACACTCTACTGCAGGTGGAGAAAATCAGGCACAAGTATAGGTAAGATAGAAAAAAAGCAAATTCTCCATGACAAAAGTTGGTAAATACAAACAGCACTTTGAGCTGTAAAGTTATAAAGTATTGACCTTTGACACAGGACATTCAAACCTAACTCCCTTCTTCCTGCCCAACGTTAAACAGCTGCTTTTCTAATCTGTCATAGCAAACAGCTCGCCACATCTTGAATACAGGGAGGTATGGAAAAGCTCAGAGAGTAGAAGATCATGACCTTGCATTTAATTTGATAAAAAACTAAAGCAGAGAACTGTAAAGTATGCGATGTAAGAGAGCGAGACAATAGTTTTTGCGGTGGAAAAAAAAGTAAAAGGAGGAAAACCCACATCTGCTATGCATGTATCTCATTACTTAAAATCCACAAGCAGGGAACTCATGTTAATGTAACACAAACACACAGATGAATATAAATTTGACTCTTTTTGGTTTCTACAAATCATATTTAGTTCGCCTAATAAAATGAACATTTCTTGCAGATGTTACAGCTGCTTTAAACAATAAAATGACACATTGATCTATAAACTTAATTTTTTACAGACTCAAAAGAATTTGTTTGTCTACAATAACATTTCAAAGTGTTTAAGACTGCAAGCAAACTTCTTAACACTATCTATCAAAATATATATTTATTGGAAGTAGGGGTGTCCCGATCCGATAATGACATCAGATATCAGTCCGATATCAGCAAAAATTCAAATACTGGATTATATCGGCCTGCCCGTGTGATCACAAGAACAGTGTGTACCAAAGTACCAAGGAGTAGGAGTGATGTCTGCCCTGTGGCAGTATTTTTCATTCAAATCCAAAAAAGACATTGCAGCTGAGTGCAAAAATAAAGCATAGCAGCGGTAGTTCAGGCAGGACAAGGAGTCAAGCTAAAGGCTACAGTCAGCTGATCTTAAACCAGTCCTCAGTCAGCTGACAGCTCAGGTGATCACCCTCTACACATCCTGTTGGCTAATGTCAAAATGGCGCCCTGTTTAAACTGCTTCTCCTGTCTACTCTGCCTGCTGCAACCACTCTGCAACCCACCTCCACCCCAACTCCTCTTGTTTATGTTGTGTCTGATCTGACCAGTGTCATTTGTATTGTCACTGATGCTTGCTCTGTTCTGTCAGGGCATTCTAATTTTTTTAATCTTAATCGTATTTATTTGCTGCTGCTTTCTCCGCCTCGGCTTTTCATGTATGCACATAAAGGGAGGGGAGGGGCCCTCCCCTCTTACAGCCGTGGCATTCCATGCAAGCACATGGAAGGGCAGGGAACTCTCAGAACAGAGCCATACCACCAATGTATAAATTTTTGCTTGTAATAAATAATTAATTGTGACTAAAGTGGTCCTGACTGAACTTGTCATGCACAAGTTTTTGCTAATATCGGATCGATATCGGTATCCGCCAATATCAAAGGCTACGATAACGGTATCGTATCGTATCGGGACACCCCTGTTTGGAAGCGTTTCAATACTGACTGAGTGCAAGGTGTTTTTCTACAACATAAAGTACCTCCAAAAGAAAATGTGCCATGTTTAAATGTAAAGAAAGTTTCAAACAATCCTTTCTGAGAAATTCCATACCATAGTTTAGTGGCACCTAGCCTAAGGGGGTTTCATGCCACCCTTGGCTACCCATTTGGACTCGGCCCTGAATGTTGATGCGGAGAGCGCACTGTCAAAATCATTTCCAACATACTGGTATTTTCTTACATTTTTGGACCAGTAGCTCTGCTAACACATAACAATGACTAAAGACACATAACATATATGTGGATTAGTTCTGTAGAAAGCACAACAGAGGCACTCCAATACAAGAATAGAGTGAGGCTAAATCTGTAACCCAGTGCGTCGTCTCTTAACATCATACTCTCTTATATGTTGCATAAATGAATGAATACATTAATACTCACAGCCAATTTATCACTCTTATCCAGAGGAGAGAGAAAAAGCTTTCCTACTTAGATGTCAAGTCCCGCAAACTCTATTTCACTCCATCAACTCGATAGCATTGACAGGCCCAAGCATGCACAGGCCCCTTCAAGTCTGACACCCTTCATGTGAAGGAAAAATACACTTGGGAGTCTAAGAAGCGACTCCTAGAGGCTTAAAACCACTTTATAATACTTGACCGACAAGTTGAGGGAAAGCAGACGCACTTTACCTGAGTCAAAGTGAGGCCACGCTCGCCATCATTAGATAAAACCACGGTAAATGCTTCCAGACTTTCGCGCTCTGTCACCTCCTATTTCATCTCACTGCATCTGCAACCTGCATATGCGCCCTGATAGTAACATCTGCAATTACAAGATGGGCTCCACTATCATTTTCTTCCATTACTCCAATGAAATAACTCTTCAGTACTGTGGTTGGGCCTCAATAATCAATTGGGTCCAAACGGGTCAATCATCCTCAGACTTGGTCAGAGTAAAAAGATGGTATATTTTCCAGCTCTAGCAGGATTCGGCCTTGAACTGTCATTTTTCACCAGCAGCATGAAACAGCAAGTTTTGATTCAACAGCTCAGGATAGTCAAACAGCAACAAAACCTGGTGCAGGGGATTTCTTTAAATTGAATTCTACATTTGGGGTTTGAGCTAAATAAGAAATAAAAAAAAGCTCTCAGTATGTTTGCCTTTATTTAATGACGCAATTTGGGTGCCAAATGTATCATGTGGTGTTCTACAAACCCAACAGTGAGTGTGGAAAATTGAATTTCTCATAAGAATCAATGCAGTTTTTGGACATTCATGATGCTCAGTTTTATATCCTGTCCACTTTGAATTTGGTTTGCTCCAATGAAAATGTTTAAATGTTTCGAAAGATGTTAAAAGTTTCGAGGATTGGTTTGTTCGTTGCCTTTAAAGACAATAAATGTTACAGTGTCTTATATCATTGTCATCCCCGAGAGAGATTTCCATGGCCAATGCGAAAAGCGTGCTTTAATCCGGATATTTTGAATCTTCAGATAACATCTCACAGCATCTGGTTTTCTGCTTTCCAAGTCTCAATGCCTTGCCAAACTCTGTGGGCCACAGTGCTTGACTTTAACCAGCAAATCATCATCTCAACTATTTTGCTTTTTTCTCAAAGGCCAAAATGAAACATTATCTCCTGACTCAGGTTTGAATTAAAGCCATGACAAGAACCATGCTTGTGAGGACCAGCGCGGGGGGAAGGGAGGGGACCTTCCAGCCACCCTCGACTGGCATACGGGCAGAATCAGGAAACACAAGCCCAATGATGTCACGACCAAATGACCTTAGGGTGACAGGTTTGGAGAATGTTCTTGCCCAGTGCCCTCAGGCCAAAGTCAAATATATCAATGTGTGCATGTGGATTTCATTTGAAGCAGCATGATTAGTTCACAGACGCTCAACTGAGATCCCCCTCCATGGGAAACCCTCTCTTCCCAGGAAACAGTTTGTTTTTGTTAGCAAAAAACAGGCATAAATTACTTAAATGGTGCCTCAGTCGCCAATTTATCACACACAGCCTTATTGTCGCTGCTTGTTCACATTTGACATCAACATGCTTTCCAGGAAATCGCTATTAGTTAATGATGTTTACATACCTGACAGTTTGTGTTGAAATGTGGGCTTGCTGTGCTAAATATCTGCAATAAATCTGGTAATTGTTTTGTGTCTTCTCTTTAATAAAATGTGTTTTGGTGAACTGTTTTTGAAAAAAAAATGTATATAGTACAAGGAATGATGAAGAGTTGATGTCAATCAAATATTGGAAATGATTGACGGTTTAATGACAAAGCACATGCAGGTAATGAAGTCATGATTTGTATGAAGTTTGTGAAAAGTATGAATCTCATAATAAAAAGGTTACTCTTCCTGAACCAATGCTTATCAGACAAAAGGCAAATTCAGTCAACGTGGATGTAGACATGACAAAACTACAAATCTAATAAACTAATGGTAGAATCCGTGCTTGATAGATGTGTAAACTAGACTTTTAAATTGAGATGAAACTGTATAGATATGGGGTAATATAGATCAGTTTTGAGATATGACTTTCTAGATACGACTTGTACTTTCTAAAGAATATATCAGATATGGTAAAAGAAAAAAATCAGTGAATTTCATTCATAAGGTTACATTTCCAAATTATGTGAATGATATTACTACTGCAAGCATACAGATATAATCCATTTGGGACACTACCAGCAGAAGGAGCCACTACATGAGGTAAGACAATATCTGAGGAGAAATGATGAATATTTTGATATTGAGATGTAATACAAGAACCCCGAGGCCTATTTAACTCAATCTAAGGGCACAGATCTGGATCTAAGGGCGCCCAGGTCCTCAACAGGTTGAATCATTACACTACTTAATGATGAGCTCTATGACAAGATAATCATAATCAGAGTAGTTGTAATCTAATGGTTGTTTCATGCTGATCTGAACAGATTTGAACAGTATTTGGACATGCTTGCAGTAATTAGTCAGCTAATTAAAGATTTATTATTGTACTAGCTAAAGCTGGGCTCTATTATGAGTTGAATCACATGGATTAGTGTTTGCTTTAATGACTACGCATGAAGATACTGCCTGATATTGTTGCTTTATGAACTATGTATGTGTTTTCCCTCAACGACAGAAAGCAGATGATTTCAACCACACAATTTAACAACCTTTTTTCCCTAAATATTGGCCTTACAAGGACAGATTTTGGCTCTCCTCATCCATACAAGCCATTCCAGCATGAATTAAATCCAATTATTGTTGTAGTAAAAGTAAAACTCTGGCAGTCTCCCGCCTAACACTTTACAGAGAGCTCTATTAATGCAATGGTAAACAGATGTGCCACCCAGTGTTTTAGTTTGATTTGGGCCGTTAGTGTTTTCTCCAGGGAGATTACAAAATAAATGTTTCAACTGCCTGCAGGGTTTTTTACACTACACTGTGCTGAGGTATGTGAGTACAATAGATATACTACACAAACAGGCTTCAAGTGTGCCTCAAAATAGTGAATTATTACAAGAGGTACTGAATAAGCAGTTTAAAAGAGTCAATTGAGGGTCAAATACCTAAACACAAAATAATGACCCACAAGTCAAGTCTTTTCTCTAAGCTGTCCGCAGTGACTCACATACTGTAACAGCCTATGAAACTATATTGATACACAATTAGCTGGAATAAAGGATATTTCTGTCTGAACAAAAACATTGTGTTAATAAAATAAACTTCATACCAAGTTTCACTACTTCAGTGTCCGGAGTTTTTTCTTGTTTGCCTGTTTTATCAGACTTTAACCAAGCGAAGGGTTTATGCAGGTTTTGGTTGTGTCTAGCATGAATGATGTTTTTCTAAGAATAAAGCAGTCGCCAAAGTTGTTTTGTTTGTTGGTAAAATACTGCATGGAGAAACAACACAAATGTCACAGTTATTTTTTCTTTAATCATCTTTACAATGAGAAAAAGCTAATTCAACATATTTATGTTTTTTTTTTCTTCTTTTTTTGCATATGAATGAAATAAATAGCAAAAAGAAACAACAATGAACCAAAATATGCAAAATAAAGTCGAGTTGCTCCCTTGAGTTTGGCAACTTTGTACCACAGGATTAAAAACCAAAGTGAAGGAGTGTGAATGAAACTGTCATGGCTGAGGAGTCTTGTTGTGGTGGAAGTCTTGTTTGAGAATGACACTCAGCAAGAGAAGCAAAGAAACAGCGAAGGAGGAGGAGGCTGCACCGAAGACACGGATCTAAATACAGACCCATCTGCAACACTTCACCTGAAATATGTGTCATCATATTTTTAACGCTGCCTTGACCGAAATGTTCATCAGCCCGCTGCTGCTGCTGCTGCTGACCTGTCGCATTTTGAACTGGTTACAGTTTAGGAGTGGGACTCACCAGTGACCCCACGATATGATATTATCACGATACTTGGGCCACGATGCGATATTATTGCGATTTTTAACATTTTGCAACACAGTGAATATTGCGATAGAATATATTGCGATTTATACAATTTTTACAACTGTTTAGCTGATTTAGCATTTGTCTTTACTTTATGTTTGTCTTATTTACGTAGTATTTTATTTTCATGTAGCACTTCTTGCAAACCTTCGATATATTTGTTGCACTAACTTTCTCCTGCTCTATATCAACTCTGCTAACTTCTCTGGATAAACAGTTGATTTTATTTTTCTAATATCATAGATTTGACTTCATATTAGCAACTGATTTAAAAAATTGACACTTGGTAAATGAGACGATACGATATATCACCAGACAAAATATTGCGATGCTATGCTGTATCGATTTTTTTTTCCCACCCCTATTACAGTTTATGGCTGCCAGAATCTGACTCAGAGTTCAACACATACAGGTATAAAACACAAACTACTGCGGATCCTACGCTGAGAAAGGAGGCTCTGTTTTCTAGAGATGTTGTGTACGTAGTTATCAACATTTTCTCATACTATGCAGCTACCTCAAAAAATAACTGAACACAGGACTGAGCAGCAGTATTTATCTGCACCTCTTCAAAGGTTTCAAGTCTGATGCACACCTCAACGTTAGGTGTCGTCAGTCTAATTCCACCTGTAACTACGTCCGTTGAGTTATATGATTATTATTATTTTTTATTACCTTCTACCTGCTGACAGTCGTGTAGGTAAAGATTGGGTGAAAAAAAACGAGCCTACATTCTGAAAATGCACTTGTCTATACTGACAGGTTTTTTATCAACCAGTTATGCTCTGCTAATGCGTGTGCATAATGACAAATAATTCAAGTAAAGTGTTACATCAACCTGAACTGGATCAAATCATTAAAGCTGCAATATTTAAAAAAAAAAAATCTATTGTAAACAAATAAATAAGTTTAATTTGAAAGAAAAAAAAAATCCTTCAGAAACACAAAAACTGGCCAAAGGAAAACAGACACAGCAACAAATAAGGCAGAGGTATCTGTGTGCTTTTGTTGGTTTTACGGACAGAAGGATGAAAGCTGATGAAGAACAGCTCAATGTTCACCTTGAGTTGTAAAATGAACAGTTAGTGGTTGATAAGCTGCATGATGCTGCCTACTACAAACAGAATAAATAAAAGTTTTCTAAGCCTGAAAAAAAGAAATCTCTGTCTTCATGATACCGACTATGCACCATTATTATGTTACTGAATAGCACCTTAACAGTCCATGCCAAACTGTCTTTGAAAGTGACAAATTTTGCTCATCTGGCTGTTGGAGAAAACATGAAATGAACTGCTCCTTCCCAGTGACTTGATTGTATGACTTCCAGGCAAAGGAAGATGTACCGATGGCAATTACAGTGAAGTTTGTGATCATTTTATGCCCTCTTCCTTTTTAACGTACACCAACATACATGACTGAAACGTTTTAGAGATGTATATTTTAAGAGAAAAATTTCCTATGAGTCTTTTATTTCAATCATTCTGCATTTCAAGGCAGTTTGCTTTAATTGGGCATCATCTTTTACAATTTTTCTGTTTCTTTTTTTTTTTTTTAAGACAATTTATCCGCTTTGAAAAAACTGAACCTAAAGAGGATCAGTTCAGTCTTCACTGCATTTAGACTTAAGTAAAAAACAACAACATATCATTATGAATGAAAAAATGGTTTGAAAATATTTTCCTCTGTACAAACTGTATTTACTTACAGAGAAATACAAGAGGTCTGACTGAGAGCACCATCAGAAATATTAAATATCATAATCAGAAACTGGCTACTTAAAAAACAAACTCATACTGTACAAAGATACATATACAACATACACTGACAGCCATTCCAGCTGTTCAATAAAGGTCATAATATTAACTCTTATACACAAATATACACTTGTGTACTGGGGATACAGGGTGAAGACAGCAATAACAAAAAAGAACATTTACTTCACGCCTCATATATGAAATAAATATTTCTAGAGTTATGCCTCTGCATTTATATGGCATTGTTGGACAACACTGTCCTGATTTATAGGTTTTGTTCAGAGCCTTGGCTTCAGAATAGGAGCCATGTGTTTTTAATGATTCCCTCAGTGGAGCAGCATTGTGTTTTTGTGTATTTTTTTTTTTACTCTTGATTCTAATCAGCACCATGCCACTGCAGGGCCCAACTGGGTGGGCTAGAGCTGGCCAGCCAAGAGTGGCGCGAGACACCCAGCGTTCACTTCAGAATCTCCCGCAGTTTTGGGCTCAAAACACACTCAGTGCACAGGTCTAGAGTAATTTTAGCACACACCATGTCTACTCACAGTGACTTGTCCTCAGTAAGGAAGGTAAGTGTTGGAGGAAAACAACTGAGTACTATCGTACCGGCTTCCAAGGGCGGCGGTGCCACGAGGCAGAGCCTGGGCATGGCTGCAGGTTGCACTGCTCCATATCTGGTGGTTTGTCCAGGACGTCACAGTTGTATTCGTTGAGCCTCTGACCATTGGGTCTTTGACAAACCACCAGGCGAGTCCTCCTTCCTCCACCGCAGGTCTGGGTGCACTGAGATAAGCAAAGAAATCTGATTTAATACATTATGGTCATGCATCTCGAAATATAACAATCCTAAACCTTCTTTAAGTCACAGTTCTTTCGCTTCAGTACTTCAGTACAACCTCGGTTCAAACTAAGGTGGTGGAGGACTATGATATAATCTCACCTCTCCCCAGACACCGTAGTTCCACAGAGGGCAAGGCCCAGAGTCGCAGCTCTTTGACTCAGCAGGTTTGACCCTTTCTTCACAGTAGCTGTTGCTGCGTCCATCAGCGTCCTGACAGACCACCACTCGTCTCTGGAAGCCTCCTGCACAGGTACTGGAACACTGCAAAGCACACACAGTGTACTAGTGAGGACTACCAGATGGATTGTTTGGATTACTGCATGGCACCAGCAAACATTTAACGGATATGTTATCATATATTTAATCAATTACTTTTTAAATATGTTTTTCTGAGCAGGTTTATAAATTTCACTACCATTCGATCCTTTTAAACATAAATCCAACTCGTAATTCAACTCGTAAGTAAAGTGCAAACAACTTTAAAATATTTGGCCAATAATTTTTCCCCCTGGTTTGACAAGGATAAATAGATTTTTGTGAGATAAAATCTTTTTAGATCCCACCAATGATTTCACTCAGTGTTTACAAGATAGTATATGTCGGCATAGCAAAACACACGCAAAATATTCACACACAGTACACATCCTGTTTTGCTCGATTTACCTGAGTCTTACCAAGAGTAAAGCCAGCTGCACTGTTCAAAAAATACAAGATGGAAAGATCCAAAGATGGAAAACAGCAGTCCAAGAAGGACAACCTCAAACACTGAACAACACAGCCTTGAACAGAGCAGTTGGTACACCCTGCATCCAATTAAAATGACACATCCCCACTGTCAAGAGGAGTGAGTACATTCAGAGCTTCTACATGTAAGGGAGGACAGCACAGAGTGAGACTGAACAGCGGTGCTTCCAGTCAAGCACACTGTGTGAGACTAAGCAGTCTACTGGGATAAAACTTCACTGAAGGGAAATTAAAAAACAGATATTTTCTTCAAAGATTAAGTCCCACAACACACTAACATCCTTTCAATTTTCAGTATATGGATTTCTGCAATAGTTAACGAATAAAATCTACTCCTTCTGATGGACTACCATCCAATCTAATAATATCACGATATATTGAGCAGTTCACCTCGATAACAATAAATGCACGATAACTACTCCACAAGCTGCTCACCCCCTCCCACATTAACTTCGTCTACTCCAGACGCTACAACTTTTGCACCGTCCTCCATCTCCTCACCTGTCTTTTTCTCTTTGTTACAGACTGGATGGGGTGGAGTCACGTCTCTGATGTTGGACAGCGTCTTAAAAGGACATGAGACCATAGCCTACCTACACACAACCAAAACCAACTTCTTTTTAAATACACAAATATGTCGACATGGGCAAAATGATGTTATTGTCGAAAATGTCGATATCCATAAATTTTCGGTTTATCGCCCAGCCCTACTTGTAAGCCCCAAAAAAGGGGGCACTTGGATCAACTATTTCCTTGCAGGTCTTCCCTTTAAACACCTTAGCAGGTTTCTCTTGTAAAAGGTCATAGTCGGCAAGAAAAAAAACCACTGTCACTAATGTGCGACCTTTAAACTGCTGTAAGAATCTAGTTTCATCTCCACCATGCAAAGCCAAAATAAGCTCTTTATGCCACTGCTTGCAGTTACATTGAATTGATCATGCTAAGGCATTTCCAAGGAAAGTTATGCAAAAGTAACTTCAATGCAAACAAACCATCTGTGCAAGTAACACAACCTCGACTGCATCAATGCAATTTGGCACAAGCTGATCTTCCCCCAAACCACTTTGGAGTCAGTATTTCTTCACACACATGAAACACCATACATACTTGTGCGGTCCTCGGCATGCATTGTAATCTGTCCCTTGGTGCTGTCTGTAAAGCCCTTTTCCATGTATGGCTCTCTACCCTGAGAAATGAAAACATCTGCTACCTACGAGTTAATGATTTCACAAAAATGTGTTTACACACTTACACGACAATATGTTGTACAACTGTATATGCTAGTTAACATTCAGGCCATACGTTAAAAAAAACGTGCCTGCTTCATGGTCTGGAGAGAAAGTATTTTTATAAGAGCAGAAAATCTGTTCTGTGAGATCTTCATAAGTTGATTTCTGGTGAACAGGACAACGGGATAATCATTTAAGTCCCGAGTAAGATTTTTCAAACAAATCTGCACATTTCCCCATAGATCACATGCTGAACATACTGCGCCCCAGGGTCCAGTCCTCCACTGGTTGTCTGCTGAGGGTACGTTCCAGCTGCTGTGTCCAGGATGACGTCCGGGGTCCTGGGGGTATCCGTAGGGTTGGTCATTGATGCGCTGACGGTGGTAGATGGAAGAGCAGGCTGCAGAGGTGCATTCCTGCTCTGTTGCAGGCTTCTCATCTGGGTCACAGAAAGCCTGATCCACTGGCTGATGGTAGTTGGAACAAACGACTTGTCTGGTGGCTCTTCCTGCACCACAAGTCACTGAACACTGTGGACAAGAGGAGGAGAGTGAGTTTATTTTGACCAATTATCAATTCCTGAGAAAAAAAAAAGTTATTTTGGTTTAATTTTTCTCATTTCATCTGAGTGCTTAATTTCTTCTGGAGGTTGAAACCAGATTTAAGTGGGCAGTGAGTTTGAAAACCACTTCCTCAGAGTTGCTTGTCTGAACTAGCTCACCGGTTTCTCTATTCAAGGGATATTCCAGTCAGCAAAGTCATCTCTCGAGGGGGTGTCTAACTCTGTGTTATGGTGTGTTTGACATAACTTAAATTTATGTCAGAATATCCCTTTAAATCTTGTTAAGTCTGTAGTTGGATGGTGAATTGATCCTTTACTTTTCTAAACATCACAGTAAACAGAAATGTATGTTTTTTAAATCCTCTCACAAATTTCCTCCAAAGATCAAGTGAGTTTATCTCCCTTATGAGTTTTTCAAGATTTACACCAGCCCTGAGTCTATGGAGAGTTATTCTCATTTATTGATCCCATGTATTTTCCATTAGATGAGGCCTGGTGGTGATGGGAAGCACTATAATTTCTAAATATGAAAACAACGACAGTAGAAATCAACTTATGGTGACATGAATTTAATGAATTGAAGATTTTGTCCTCGTTGAACTTTCATTCGGGCTTTTTTATTAAAAAAAAAACTTAATTTCACATGAATGTATGATTAAAAGTTTGTCACAGAATCACAGTAAATTATCCCCGGCTCCTTGTGTGTTGTCTTTTATTGACATCCTCCAGAGTTTTGGCTGTCATGCCATGCAAACATTCACAAATCAATGATTAACTGTCCAAGATCACAGCAGTACCAAATTCCCAGTTTGTTTCAGGGCGATTGTAACATTGTTTTGAACTGAGTGATTACTGGCTCGGGAGTGGAAAACATCTGTATTGATTGGACACAGTGTTGCATGCTTTACTCACAGGAGACCACTCCCCGGCACGCCATTGGCCACAGGGGCTGAAGCAGGCAGAGGCCTCTGGGGGGCGGGGCAGGTGGGCGCAGTATGATTCATCAGCCACGCCTCCTTGGGCATCTCTGCAGCTGACATAACGTGCTCGCTTTCCCTTTCCACAGGACACGGAGCACTGCAGGACAGGCAGATACAAGCGGAGCCGGGATGAATGTTGATCATATGTGAAATTTAAGACACGTTGATGTGGTTCTCTCAATGATTTAGTGCTTTCTAGTAATGTATATCACGCAGCCATGTAGGTCGCCTAAGTCTGTAGTAGACCATACAGTTACAAAGACATTAGATACTGGTGACCTTGGCGACCTTAAGAAGAAGAAGCAGTTATGATTGATTTCAGGCGACATTTATGAGCTTCAGTTTTAACAAGGATACAAAAAGATGATTCTGATCACCTCTTGAGATGAAAAAACGTTTCCAACCATTACAAAACAGTGTTTTCTGTTTGTTTTGTTCATAAAAGTCAAATAATTAAAGGTGTAATTTTCTGCTTGACTGTAATAACACGATGGATCATACAGGTACTGTGAGCAACATAAAAAATAAATCAGCTGCTCTGATTGTAATGGAAAATTTAACCTTTGATTACTCTGATTTGATTTTGAACACTTTGCAAGTTTTCCAAAACGTACAGTATCATGTTTCTTAAGGATAAACTGAATGGTAACACCTGCATCCCAGTATGTAAGATATCACAACATACCAATACTCTGCAAAGTGAGTTTTTTGTTTATATAGTAGTTCCAAAGCTCCTGACAGGAGTTTTATTATTTGCATGTTATGACATTGACTGATAAAGCTCACTGCTGTACTCCGTTACTTTTTGAGGTGCACACATAGTATGAGACATCTATGATAACTACATAACATCTCTAGAAAACTGAGGCTGTTTTCTCAGTGTGGGATCTGCAGTAGTTTATTAATATACCTGTTTGTGTTGAACTCTGAGTCAGACATGCAGCAGCTTTGTAGAGTCTGGCTCCTACAGACTGTTAGTAACCAGTTTAAAAATGTGACATTTAAAGCAGCGGCTTAAACCAAACAAAATCAAGAGCTCCAAGATTTATTATGCCAATACTGGTTTTATTTATGCCTGAAATAGCTGCTGCAGTGTAGGTGTCATTTAACTTTAAACTGGGTTCACACAACAGGATAACTGAACCACTTTCCCCTCTCTACGAGAAGTCAGTGAAGGCCTGATTTAATGATGGTTTTTAGGATTATCTTGCCAGATTGAGGTGTGTTACATCATCTTATGTCTCTTAATCTGTTGAGAGGATGTATTCAATGAGAGATTTTGCTAGATTGTACACTTGAGAGAGTGGACACTAAGAATAAAACTGTTAAATCTTTCATTTTTATTTTGTCTTTTTAAGTCAGGGTCTCTCTTGTGTCCTCTCAAGACTGTAAAAAATCCCATCGTGCAGGCTAGCCTTCACTCTACCTGTTGCTTCCGTCCTTAAATGACTCCCTGATCAGCTTTCACCTGCGTAAACTCTACAGCTGTACCTCTGTAGTCTCAGTGGGACCTCATGGTTAACATTTCTGAGGGGATGAATACCTAATGCAATCAAAAGGCTCCAGCTTGAAAAGGCACGTTAATATCCCTCTCATATCAATGACACTCAGAGGATCGCAGTTCCGCTGTCGGGGGGGGGGGGATGTATACATGTGTATTTGTGTATATCATATGTGTGTGTATTAAGACCACACTGGCGCTGGCCTCTCTGACATGCGAGCTAACACCGACTCTCAGATTGACAGACCAGGTTCAATCCTCGAAACCGTAGACTCGTGTTTAGATGAAATCTGGTTTTCATTTGCGACAAGCAACAATGCGAAGTATCAGAGACACAGAGGGGCCTCACAGCACAGACAGTGGAGCCTGTGTGAGTGTGTGTGTCTGTATACATGTGTATGTGTGTGTGTGTATGTAGATACAGCAGGGGGTAAAAGAGACAATGCCAAAGAGGATCATGGAGCTGTATCTGGAGGAATGTTGAGGCATACAATCAAGTTTAATGAGTTAACCTTATATTTGCAAACACACACGCATTACTTGAGTGTGGTTTTCCTCTTTTATACACATAGAAACACACTCATATGTACACAATCCTTGTCTTCAGTATTCTCATTTTTCAGCAGATCATTTTACCTCTGGCTACACGGAGAGAAATGAATGAAACATTGTAAGAAGTTGTTTACAATCCAACAAAAAACGTTGCTTTTCTGTTTTATTTGGACTGCATAAGTAAACCTACAGACTGTTATGCACACTGATAGACCCAATCAACCTTATTTGTTTTCTTACCGCAGTCCAGGAGCCGTATCTCCACTGAGTCAGGAGCTGGGCTGAGTTGTCGGGACGAGGTGTGCTTTGTACCGGAGAAGCCCAAGGACATGCAGGCATCTCACAATCCTACGAAAGATAACACAAAAACACAGCACAATGGGTAATTATTGAGAGTCTTTCATAAATTACATTTAAGGGTGGGGTTGAAATATGCCAAAAGTACTTGTTTCAGAGATTCTTTGGATGGAAAAATCAAGCACATGTGGTGCGTTAATAACTGAAGTTGTCCTAAAGGAAAAGGTCGAAAAGCATGGTCTGAAAACAGCTGTGAAAAGATCTACTTTAGTTCAGTTCTGCACTCGCAGCTCACCAAAAAGGAAGTAGTGTCCTTAATTTCAACAACCATGACTGATCACCTATTCAGAAACTGAGAGGTCATCCCTTCAACACTCCCGGAGTCCATTAAGAACCTTCTTTAAACACTCAACCAGTTGAAGTGATCTGCATTTTGGTTGCCTTTATCCACATCAGCATGGACTTAAATTCAAAGCAAGCAAAACAGTTGTCAGGGTTATCTTCTTGATGGAGCATCGTCATGACAGAGTGAAGATTAACGGCAGTATACAGACCAGCAGATCTGCTTTTAACTCATCAGCAGATGGTTGACATGATCTTTCCCAGGACACTAGTCTGTGTCTCATCCCTTTACCCCAAAATAGACTCTGAGTGACCCTGAAACAAAAAAGGAGCTACGCAGTTGTTGAGTCATGCTTGACTGAAAGCCCACACCACCTAGTTTAAGTCAGCGATCACTGATTGATTGATCATCGTTGAAAGTAGAGGAGCAATGACTTTGCTCTGTTTGTCTTCCTAATCATCAAAGACACTTAGACTGTTGATAGGTCTGTCTTTGTTTAGGCTAGCTCAGTCTTCGGAAGATAATTTCAGGATCAAATTTCACTGTAAAAATCAAGTTGATGAGATTCAAAGCAGCACATGACAGTATGACATAGGGCTGGGCGAAATGACCTTAAATCAATATCACAATATATTGAATATTGATATATTTTGAACCATCCTCCATCTCTTCACTTGTCTTTCCCTATTTGTTACGTACTGGATGGGGTGAAGTCATGTCTTTGATGTAGGACAGCATCTTAAAGGGACATGAGACCATAGCCTACCTACACACATCCAAAACTAACTTTGTTTTTTTATTTTTGAATTCATTGACATGGACAAAATGATGTTTATTATTGTTGAAATGTTGGTATCTGTAAATTTTCAGTTTACCTCCCAGCCCTAGTATGACATGGAAAGAGTTAATACCACTGAGGAATGCATTATATATTTATATTAAAACTATAAAGTGATACCTGTCCAGCATAAACAGTTGAGAGTTGGCAAAGTTAGCAGGTAGCTTATGAAGATGGTGCTTTACCCAGCGTGTGGAGAACTAAAAACAAGCTCAGTACTGGACAGCCAGTATATTGTTATTTATAGAGAAACCCTCTAACTTTAAAGGAATACTTATGTTGCTCTGACCTGGACTTTCAAACAGGGACTTATTTCCTTAAGTGATAAAATGAAGAACCTAAAGTCGCTGTCAAGTAAGACCTTTTATCTTGTCGCTGATTTTGACCTGTGAATTCGTAAGTTGTGTTTTCTGATTAGAATCTTTACTGCATGAAGCCAAAACAAAGTCTGTTTCCGCAGCAACTTGACTGATCTAACACCAACCTAATAGAAGTGGTTACAAGCTTTAAAAAAACTGGTGCAAAGTAATAACTAGTCCTGGCATCGGTGGTCTTGTTTGTTTTTGTAGCTCATAAGGAGGTGTCAGCATTATTCTGGTCTTTTTCAGACATTTCACTTTCTCAATTAAAAGTTAAAATAGTACAAGACCTCTTAAGTTCTTGGCTCAACATTGATTTTTTTATGGCATATCTGGTTATTAGATTTACAATGATGGTAAAAATCCTTTATAATAATAGAAGCATACTTTCCAACTAATTGTATAATTAGAGATAAATACACCGTTTTAGATGTTGTATGAAAACTTGGCAGTAAAATCCCTTTAAAATAAGGATTATAATGAGCTTTAACTAATCTTTGCAGTGTGTCCTAATGATGTGTATAACATCTGCATTCAATTCCACGGGCAGCGTTCAATGCTGCTCATGTTTTGTGTTTTATTTGTTTACCCCGAGAACAAACCACCAAATAAGGGGCAAAGTTTTAGTGCTACATCTTTAACTTTTTATTCTTTACCTGGCTGTCTCTGGGCCTGGCCGCAGCGTTGCACTCTCTGTCATCAACGGTGTTACCATAGTCCCCTGACACGCACCTAACAGCCCTCATCTGGTAGCCATGGCCACAGGTCACTGCACACTGAAAGACAAAAATCACACACGTACATAAACACGCACAAACACGAGGAAAGAGAAGCCCAGTCGACCGCTAGCAATCTCAAACTCTATCTAAGTATGTCAAGGTTGATAGCTTAGATGGGGCCTCAGTCAAGGTTCACCTCAGCAGAGTCTGGGTTCGACACTGACACACATACACACACATACACACACACACACACACACACACACACACACATGCGTGGACATATGTGTTCGCAGTCTTAACTCGACCCTTTACCCAATTCTTGAGTGACATACTCGGTGATCTGACCACATTCAGGTACAACATGGGAGCAGAGGAAGTTCCACGGGAAAGGTTTATTTGAGCAGCAAATTATAATTACACAGCCATTAATGAGCCAATGCACTCCAGCTCTGTAAATACAACTACCTGACTTCATACAAACGTGTGTGGGAGAGCTCGAGATCTGCATGTTTAAACCAGACCATGAATGACCAGAGACGTCGAGTCTTTTTTCATGTTTCATTCATATAATGACATAACAAACAGAGCTAAATCTATAGAGAAACACTGAGAGGCTTAGACATTTAAATGCATTGGGAGATGTGTATATGTGAGTATATTTATGTCTGTGTGTGTTTGCACTGTGGGTCAGGTTTAGTCTGACAGGATATGAGAGCAAAGTGAAAGCACCACAGAGGAAATGGCAGCTGGAGTCAGAGCACACTCCTCTGTAACTTGCCTGCATATCATGTTACACACACACACACACACACTTGAAATATACTCTGTCACTCAGTCCTACACAAAGCATTCTGTCTCTCTGACCACACACACATGCACACACACACTGACAGGGTAACAGATACCAAGACAGCAAGCCACACATGAAACCTATTTCCTCAGTCAAACACTGCGTCAAGTCACCTCGACCCAGTGTGTCATATCTGTGTGTAAATGTGTGTGTGTGCGTAAAGGACTTACCGCTCCCCAGACCCCAACCTGCCAGGATGCACATTCTGGCAGCTCGCAGCTCCCCACAGCAGCAGGTTTGCTGGATGGGTCGCAGAAGTGCTCACTCAGCTTCTCCTCCCCTGCTCCCATCCTGCAGGACACTTGCCTGTGCCGCATCCCCTTCCCACAAGTTACCAAGCACTGGGAGAGGAAGGTGGGTGCAGGAAGGTGTCACACAACAAGGGGAAAAGTGGAAAGACAGTCAGTTAAATTAAGGTGGGATGAGCTGTTACATTGGCTTTAGTTCAATTGGCCAGTCACAAAGTTTTCCATCTTATTTTCTGGAGATTCATTTTACTGACTCATTCATGTTTATTTTACATTCTGCAGACTTAACCGTCTCTTTAAGGATTGTGTGATTATCAACACTCATTTGTTGAGTGCACTTGTTTTAAAAGTTAAAGGCTGGCAATTGTTTTGGTACTGGGGTTTGGATGTTCAAGTTTGGCATCACAAAACTTCAAAAAATACCACTTTCAGGCTTTTTAATGAACCTTTTTCCATTTCTGGATACATCTCTACGAAAGAGGATTAGTGCCACATGAAGAGAAAAAAACAAATACAGGAAGGAGATTAAAGTCAAAATTTTGAGATTACAAAATGTCGAAATGTTGTGAATAATGTCCAAATTTCAAGATTTAAAAAGTTAAAATTTCGGTATGAAAGTCAAAATTTCGAGATTAAAAATTTAAAGTTATGTCAATAAAGTCAAAATTTTGAGATCAAAAATAAAAATTTCGAGATTTAAGTTGAGTTTCAAAATTACAAAATGTTGAAATGTTGTGAATAAAGTCGGAATTTTGAGATTAAAAAATTAAAATTTTGAGAATAAAGCGGAAATTTTTACTTTTTAAATTTTTGACCTTAATCTCAAAATTTCGACTTTAATTTCGAAATGGAAATAAAAAAAATCGCCCTCCTATAATTATTTTTTTCTTCTTCTTGTGGCTCTAATCCTCTTTACCACATCATTTGTAAACCCACTGAATGGACAACAAAACACATTTTTGTATTTTTTCAAAAAGGATCCTAAATTGAAGCTGTTCCTCCTAAGACTATCACCTTTTAATCTGTTATAAAACAAAAGATGTTTGCTTTGCAGAACTTCTATCAAAATAAGTGCATTGTTTTGTGCATGTCAAGGTTCCCACCTCACTCCACTCGCTGACAGTCCACTTTGGACACGCCTGATCATTGCAGGTTTCAGTGACTGCTCTCTGGTGTTCGTTGCACTCTCTGTCCACCAGACGTCGGCCCAGGTTGTTCATACAGTACGATTCTCTGCTGCGACTCCCACGCCCACATGTTTTAGAGCACTGTGTTGAAAAATTTGAAGAACAATTGCAGTCCAATGCTACAATTAAACAGTTAAGTGTGAATGAAATTATCAGACATAAATTCATGTTCATTTCCAGGGAATGACAGGCTGCATATGATACTATCCCTCAGGTGTTTGTTCTGTACCTGTGACCAGGCACTGTACTGCCAGCTCTTCAGCAGACAGTCTCCATGGCAGGGCTCTCTCGTCTGAGGTTTGGGGATGTCTCTGCAGGTGCTGGCCTCAATCCTCTCACTCTGCCTCTTCACTCTGCTGTACTTCATGCACTGAACATCCAGGCTGCGGTAGCCGGGGCCACACTTAGCCGAACATTCGCTCTTTCCAGCAATATGCCACCTGTATAAGAGGCGATGAAGGAAAACAATGAGCTGCGTCCATGCCCTTAAGGAATTGGTTTTGTGTGTTTGCCCCTGTGCACTACCTGACTTCACAGTCTGTGTTGCACGGCTCAGTAACAGCAACAGGACGGGGTAAATGTTCACAGCGTTGGTCCGATACCTCGAGGTGATCACTCTTACGCACACAGACTGCCTTTCGCCTTCTCTCACCTGCACACACATGGAGGGAAAGCAGGGTCCGATCAGACAACATCTGGCAGAAAGTTCACCTGCCAAACGATCACATTTCTTCACCTTTAACAAGTCTGACCATCTGTCTGAAATGCAGGCCTTCATCACACAGCCTGAGGGGTCCATGGTGGTATTAGACCTCACAAATACATCTCTTTACTCAATCCTACTGTGCACTCTGACCCTCTGGGAGTCTGATCAGCTTGCTTTTGAAGGAAAAATTTGAGGGGCTTAAACAGGTCAAGTCCCAGGCTGAGGGGAAGGTGTCAGGCGATGCGATTACCCTGGGTCAACTTGTGGTTGCCACGAGGGGGGATACACAGAAGTGGAAATGAGAAAATAAGTTTTGCATGCTAATGTTCACTGACACTTGGATTTATGTTCATTTAAAAACAATTTACACTATTGGGGCACTTTTGGTTCCTGCGAATTTCACTCATTTTTCAGATTTTTTGTATTAAATCTTGATCATTTTTAATCAAAAGTACAGGAATACTATCCATAATGTGGATCCCAAATCTTTTAACAGTTAAACAACCACAAATAGTGACTTTTAAAATAGTTTCAGCCTAAACTACTGTAACTTATGCTTTTAAATCTGTAAAAATTGCTCAAATACTAAAGCTTATATTCACAGGACCAAATCAGAATGATCAAACTGGTCATGTTTGGAGATTTGTAGGCGAAGCTCACCCTGGCAGATGCGGTTGCACTCAAGCCAGGAGCCTAAGGGATCCCATACAAACTGCTCCCTGTGTTCCTCAATGGGTATGTTAAAGGAGTAACGGACATCTGGGTTGTAGAGGTTTCCCACACATAAGACCTGCAGAGACAATGGTGGGAAAGGCAAGGTCAAAAGACTCAACAGTACTTCTGTTATTATGTCTAAGTTCATGCAGCCTTATCACCCTGTTAAAGAGAGATTGAACCCAGCTTGTGTGAGGTTAGAAGAGGGCAAATGTAAAGAAGAAAAAGAGGAGGAGGAGAAGGAGAAGGAGAAGGAGTAAGCTTCCCCCTTGCACCTGTAGAATTAGCTCCTCCTCGATCCGCTCGGTGCAGTTGATCCGTTCTACTTTTGTGTCTGAGCCGCTGTACTCGATGACGGTTCCCTTGAAGGTGATTTCCCTTTTGAACATGGCCACCACAAAGTTCCCATTCAGGAGAAAGTTGGACTGGCTATCGGATAATGCTGGAAGTAGAAGTAAACACAGATTATCACAAAAGAAAAAGGACAGAACCAAAATTCCTGAAAGGAGCTGGCTCTTACAGAATTGAGGTTTTGGGAGTGTTTACAGGTTGAAGCACTCATCCTTTGAGGCTATATGTTATATAAACAGTCCCTGAGTTGCTTAACTATTGTTCTGCAGAGCCAGCATTGCAGGGGAAGTATGTTGAAACACTAGTGGCACTAAATTGCTGTTATTTGGAGTTAGACTGTGTGACTCGGCATGGCAATCCAAACAATGCAGCCCCACTGACTGCAAATACAAACAAGTACATAAACATACACATGCAAACAACATGCAGGAATACATGGATAGACAGTCACGCTTGGTAATTTACCACATAAACCCAAAAATGAATACCAACCACCTTATACTTAAACTCAGACGTTATGGTTCAGAGAAAATTGCAGCTAATTACGATCAGAGTGTGAATGCCAGAACAATGTATGTGATTAGGTCTCGAAGTGTGACTTTGTTTACGTTAAAGTCTGCACACAGTTCAATGCCAGTTAGTTATTAGACCTAAAATAACTCTGGGGTCTGACAATGATCTACAGACTCTCTGTTATCATTGAGGCTTTTCACAAATGGAAAAAAAAAGAACAGTTCACAAAGAGAAGGATGAAAACATTCATTATTATTGAAGATTTTCCTAAGTAAGCTGCAAAAGATTCCTTTAAAAAAAAACTTTAAACCGCTATCTGTTAGTCTCAAAAAGTGATACATGTAAAAAGACAGAAAAATCAGATCTTTGTCATTACTTCATGTAGAAAATGGAAAATATCCTAGACAGTAGGGCTGGACGATAAACGGAAAATTTACTGATACCGAAATTTATGACAATAACCAACGTTATTTTGCCCATTTCAATATATTCATTGTCAAAAACATAAATAAATAAAAGTTGGTTTTGGATGTGTGTAGGTAGGCTATGGTTTCATGTCCCTTTAAGACGCTGTCCTACGTCAGAGACGTGACTCCACCCCATACAGTTTGTAACAAAGATGGAAAGACAGGTGAGGAGATGGAGGACGGTTCAAAAGTTGTAGTGGCTGGAGTAGATGAAGTTAATGTGGGAGGGAGTGAGGAGCTTGTGGAGTAGTTATCGTCCATTTCTGTTATTGAGGTGAACTGCTCAATATAAAGTGATATTGATTTGAGGCCATATCGCCCAGCCCTACTAGGCAGCATTGGGTGCTTATAAAGACATATTCTGATCATGATACCAAACTCAGTTACATAATAGCAGAACAATTTTCTGCATTTTATTTAATTTCTTTTATACAAAATAAAAAAAAAAACCTCTACCTCAGCTTTGATGTGTCTCTTATTTGAGTTGTTGTATTGGTGAAGACCACTACCAAATACCACTCCAAAAGAGAGAGTAGAAAAATGGAAAATAAACTCACTAAAATGGCACACTTAGGACAAATACTTGTGACCTTGAAGAAAAAAAAACTATATTCCATTGATCTAGTGTAAATCTTGTTCTCTATGTGTACTTCCTTCCCTCCACATCTGCGTATCTTATGTAATTCTAACTTTGTTTACTGAGCTACAACTGTGGACTGCACTTGTGGAGTGTACTTGACAAAGCACAGATGTGCTCTCTTTGAGGTGTTTGTAAGTTCAAGGATTCCCTTGGTAAAGATTTCCCCTGAAAAGGTCATGAGATACTTTCACTGGCCCCAAGTCTGCAGAGACTCTTATATCTCAGTTTTGGGAGTAGGAGAGTAAAAGTTGTACAAACAGTGTCTTTTTAGACCCGATTTTCAAACATACTTCACATTTAGACATAATATAAATGTTTTATACAAAATGGTGATCAAAAAATGTATAGAACTGGTAGGACGTTCGAATGATGCATTAAGTTGTCCACAGTGTCCCGCAGTAAAACAGCTTTAAAGTTAAGGAGCCCCAAAAGTGCGGACCCCCTTTTACTTCACGATGAGTGGAGTGATCCTAAAAACTTTTCCACACACTGTAACAGTTAGAGTAACAACACTGACGGGGCATGGAAAATCCTATCCACGTTGAATACACACTCTGCTTGCTCGGTGTGCGGCTGTGACACTCAGACAACAGCAGGAATCGACATCGCCAGATGTGTTTCCTGACAATCTGACTAAAAACATCTTGAACCTGACTTGAACCATCTGAGAGTGGACGCCCGCCTTTACAACACAGACACAACCGCTTTTCTCTGTCTGTCTCTCTTTCACATGCAATAACACGCACACACATACACACCTCGAGTCTGGTGGGTCCATCTAACCTTATCCCCCTATATCCACTTTCATGCAGCCTGGACTCCACATGCCTCTAATTAGCACCTATTGCTGCCTCATTTATCTTTCTCAGGGTTTGACACTCCATTTGCTTTCCCAACTGAGCACTCTCTGTCGTAACCAGATGGACCAACGCCCCTCCACGTTTCCCCCATATGCACTCTGTGCAAATGACAGCTTCCTTTACTTTGTAAAAATGCTTTGACAACAGTTTGGCCCATGTCTCCTTCACTAAAAGCCTCTCATACAACTCCAGGTCACCAAGTCTGGGTGGTTTATGGTCCTGTTAAGGGATAATGACATTGACCTATGAGTTGAGAACTGAAGGAGGGGGTAATATATACATCTTATTAAGTTGAACTGCTTCCACTTTGCATTTATTCTTCCAAGAAAACCTGAAATTCGATACGGTGTTGCTTCAAAGCATATCAGTGCACTGACAGACGAAGAACACACACACATGCACTCACCGAGGTAGTTGTCGTCTTCTGGCTTTCCAGAGTAGCTGACCTGTTTGATATCGATATTTGTGGCTCCGGCTGGGATTCGCACCACTGTGTTATACCCTGAAATAGAAGAAAATAGAGATATTTATATATATAGAGAGAGAGCACAGGGAAAGGTACACAAGTTTTAAGGAGTCTCAAAAGGCAGAGAAGCCGTCACAACAACAGCACTGAGCAGTCCCACCTTGATTTCATAATAGCTTCACTATGCTTCAGCAAACCTCAGCCAGGGAAGTCCACTTCCAGCCACCAGGGATTTCAATGTCACACTTGGAAAAATACGACAGAAAGGGTCTAGTCCTCTCAAATAACCTGCGAGAGGCCTTGTTTTAGTCTCAGAGGCCCAACCATGAAATGATATGTAATTATTCCCTGGACCTACCTTTGGCCTGTAATTACTACGCCAGGTCCTGTTGTCCCATGATAAACCAACACAGAAAATGAGAGAGCGAGCGAAAGAGAGAGAGAGAGAGAGAGACAGCACGTGAAAACCAAGAGGAGAAACGATTGAGGAGAAAAATGGAAAAGGCAGCTATGAGAGGAAGTAAGGAAACGGTCAAGAAATAGCAACCAACTGAAATTTATCTGCACCAGATAACGAAAAATTTAGTTTAGCCAAAGTAACGCTATATAACTTGTTAAAAGGAGCATTTACGAGACCTTACAGTGGATCATATTAGGATGTATCTGAAGAACCCAAGAAATGAGGGAGGTTGTTTGACATTTTAATAAGCAGAACGAACATAAGATTAATAACAAATGCTACTTTTTACAGTTTGCTAAGCTAAATGAGTAGATGATAAACAACTTTAAATCAGTATTTAAACAGATGAGTGAGAAGATTTTATGTTTATGGCAACATTTGTGGGCGTTTGATCTAGAATAAACTTACAACTCTCAGCTGTTTGGTGTGAACACAATTTGGCATTTTTGGCCACAAGTTACGTAAAAAAAACACTCAAGTACAAACAGATAAAGAAGGTGCTCTTTATGATGATTCTGGAGTCAGACTTTCCACCCTTTCAAAAAATAACTGAGCGGAATAAGGAGGAGTGCAGAAAGGTGTGGGTTAGTGGGATCCGATGGTTATCCTGACACCTTGAGCCACTCGGGGGCAGCACTTGGTTTACATATCTCACTCTCATCAGCAATGTGGATCTTTCATACACGCAATCCCGACTGTAATCCCACTCAAACTCACATCTATTGTAATCTACATAAGCCATTTATCCATTTATAGATACACAAATACCAGAATGAAGTCCTCCCATCAAAGGTAACACAAACTAAACACAGTTTCTCTTTAATTTCACTGTCAAGTTTTCTAATTGTCATGTCTTGTCCCTCCCTGAACACTCCAGTGAGAATGAGCTCAAGAGGAAAAAAATACGGTGCATGAGGTTTAGAAACCGCCGACACCCCCCGCCCCTCCCCTCTGAGGAAACACTGTATCCACAAGCCACCAGAGGCCTCGGGGATCCCCTAGCTTAGCCACTGACCACACACACAATCCTCCACAACCACACAGTGACCCAGGGTTGAACAGTAAACACAGCACCCCGGGGGAAAGAAAACACAACCATACTGCACTTAGGGGCCGCCTGGGTTTACCTCAAACATGCCTTTTTTTTTTTTTTTTTTCACCAGCCAGATTTAAAACTATGTACTTCAAGCCTGCAGAGGGAAATTAGATGGCTTCAAAATTAAAAGATTATAGAGGACAACAGAAGAGAGGCTGGTTAACATTTGCAATCACTGTTTTAACCTCAAGCGAAGAAAGTTTCTGTAGAGTTGAGAGAGACTCAAGTTAATGCAGAAATGAAGCTATCCAATGACATGTTCCTGGACTCTGACTCTGGATGAATAAAAAAGTAAATCTCGTATGAACTGGATTTAGTTGACACAAACAATATTTTCAATTGCAACCATTTTTTAAGTATTAAAACTATAATTCAATTGCAGAAATTTGGGTTCAGATTTCCTTGAGCTCTCGTGAAACAGACATGATATTCTCTGTAATGGATGAAAAAAGAAACCTTAAAGCTCTTATGAGGAGTTTTTTACCTTTATGAAACAGACTGAAAGTCATATATTTTTAACAATTATTACATAAATATTCACAATGATTGATATATTTGATTATAAAAAGTAAGCAGGGTGAGATTTTATTGTCAAAAGACACTACTTAGGCATGTGAAGGATAAGTAAAGACTGATTTGTTCCTAACAGGAGCTTTAAATTTAAGACGCCGGAATCAGGAGTCTTTTCACATCTTTAGGTTGAAGGATTGAAAAGGAATTTAAAAAAGTCAAGAGTTGACTAGAAAAACAAAGGTTTGATACAGACACAGAAAACACAGAGACATCACACAGTAGAGGACAAAAGGATGACAGAGAGAGACACACACATAAAGTCCTGCCTGAGCTGTACTCTCACTTGTGTCTTTTGGTTTGGTTCATTATAACAATCCCTCTCTCAAAGACTGCACCTCCAGCCCATAAAGAAACAGAAAGAAAGTGGATGGATGGAGATATGAAAGCTCAGCGCCAAACTAATGCAGAGTGAACATAGCAGAAGCCACACCCTGGACTTTTATGCTAATGCTCGTGTTGTTTTCCTGCCCAGAACTAAAAGGGATTGGATGCAATCAGCAGTTGGCTCACATCAGAGCACCACAATAATGACAGTTCAAAGGGGTGACGTCAGATTTGTATTTGCTATCAAAAGACCTGACACAGGGGGATCTCTGAGTTAATCAGTTTCTGAGGCTTTTGAGGAGATTGTTGTTCTGCGTTTTTCCTTAATTTGGCTGAAGCACGCATTGTTGTTGAAAACCCAGTTTGATAAATTCAAGCTTTGCCAGACATGACATCAGAGCGTAAATGGAGCATACAGCGTGTCAGCGATACAGTCACATGGAGCTGAGGTCTTTCTTTGGTCTTCTATGTTTACTTTGAGTCGGATATATCATCTGCAGAGGCGGCTGACGTGCCGTGTGTCGAATAGCAACACTTTTTTTGTGTGGACAGTTATCTATTAGTGTACCTTACATGTAATGTGAGCAGCGGTACTTACCATACTGAGCGTCATTGAAGGTCCCTGCCAGGGTTTTACACGATGAGTTGTCCCCACCACACACGCCGCATTTGTCATTCCTGGCCTTCGAGTTGAGAACGTGGTCGCAGCCTGCTTGCTGAGGAGACACAGAATGAAGACATGGAGTGTAAAAGTACTTTTCTTAATTAAGACTTTATTTTCATGTCACAATTTTAGCGGTGGAATGCCGTTATCATCTGTCTGTTTTTTCATCAGGATAATAACCTTATATGACGGCTCTTTTTGGTATATATCTTTATAACATTCTTAAAAAAAAAACTACCAGAATATACTTCATGTCCTTTTTTTCCGACCTTTTTTTGTCACAATTTTAGCGGTAGAATGCCGTTATCATAAATTTGTTCCTTTTTATCCGGATAATAACCTTCTCTGTTGGCTCTTTTTGGTATATGACTTTAAAATTCTTTACCAAAAAACTACAAGAATATATTTCAAACCCTTTTTTCCAACCTTTTTTTGTCACAATTTTAGCGGTAGAATGCCGTTATCATAAATTTGTTCGTTTTCATCAGGATAAGAACCTTCTCTGTTGGCTCTTTTCGGGGTATAAATTTATAACTCTTATCCAAAAAACTACCAGAATATATGTTTCATTTTCCAGCACTAAGGCAGCTGCTTTTACTCATCTGGAAAGGGAGTTCATTGGTTCATTGGCATCTTGGCTGATTCCTCAGCAGAGGTTTGGACAGCCTTGCATCTCACACACATTTAAGCAGCTCTAAATATTGCTGTTGTCCATCAATTTACTTCAAAAGCTTATTTCTAAAATCTTTTTTGCCATTGTTATGTTATATCCTGAAAAACAAACTGTTTAAAAAAATAAGTAAGCATGATTTAACTGCATATTTTCCATCTTGTATAATGTGGTCTTGGCAACTGCAAGTGTTTATGATTGTGACCTACAAACACTTCACTAAAAACTAAAGCTTCACTCTTTTTTTCTGTGTTTACAAAACATGAATCATTTGAAAAAGTTTAAGTGAGGTTGATTGTGTTTAGTTGTAAGCCAAATTGTGTCTTTGGCGCACATAAACACATGATATGCACCATCATGATAGCGTGAGAATGAGCCCTGATAAAGCTGACGCTGATGTTGAGGCTTGTTTGTGTGAGTCTGCATGAGTTCATTGTAAAACAGGAAGATATACCCTGCAGAGGCCTTGAACACAGATGTCGTAAGTGTCTGTCCCGCAAGGCGTGCCATCAATGACGCGGTCCTTCAGTTGATAATATGCCGTAGTCCCAGCAACCCGGCAGAAGAGCTTACAGCGATCCTTCATTAGTACTGGATAGGGAAAGAAAACAAAGTATGGAAAAGATTGGACTGAGGCTCATTCAATTTATGAGGTTTCTATAATCTAAATCCTGCTGAAGATCGAGATGAACCTGCCCAGCGCTGATAAAAGAAAACAAACTTCACACGCTGCTCTCATTTTTTGGTGAAACTCAGCACACTCTTCCTAGAAAACAGTCAAATGTTCATCCTCTGTTTAAAAAAATCACTTTGTATCTGACAGCACACACTGGCTCCAGGGTTTTGGCCTGTTTGCTTGAACAGCATCAATTAGATGAATGAATCACTTGCAGTAACTTAGACATGGTGGTCTTTGCCAGATGGTAATCGCATGTAGCTGGGCAGGCCTCCTCAGAAAAGAAAAAAAAAGGCGTCTGCGTGATGAAAAGCTGCCAGTAGGTTTTTAAGGAAGGTCTGAGATGTTAATGAGACTGATTTTTACTGTTAACTTAAGATTTAACGCAACGTTTGACAAAAGTAATGCACACGCAAAGATGGTTAAAATCAAATAATTTGTTTTCTTCACACATTATCTATTACTTTTGGTAAATATAGCCAACATCGTCAAATGTTCAAGTGTTGGCTTCTCTATCCTCAAGCTAAGTTGTGCAGTTGGATGTAAACAGTATCTTTTTGTCATGTTGCAGCTTAGATGACTGAAGACGTTATACGCCATGTACTCACTGCCACTGTACTTTGGGACCCAGCGGACGGTGGGAGGTAGACCGTTGATGTTGAAGTGCTTGCCGTCAAACTGAGAGCACTGCTCTTCCCGGAAATCTTTCCGTCCTCGTGGACATGGCTCAGTGTTGCAGGAGCGGAACTTCATCCTGCGACCCACACAGAACTTCCCTCCATTTCTGGGCCTAAAGTGAGGTGATGTGTATCACATGAAGAGTACGGTCAGTGAAAAAGGTGACCCTGTCTGCTCTTGTTGGACTGGTACCTCAAGCTAACTTTGTTCACATTGACAAACATGTTCCCTCTGACTGGACTGGACTGGACTGGTCTGAACAAGTCTGTTTCAGCTTTGACTATCATAAACTTTCTTACTCTGGCTTGTTGCAGTCCCTGTGGGTGCTCCGAGTTCCTCCACCACAAGACCTGGAGCAGGCACTGTAGGGTCCCCAGGGACCCCACTCCCCATGGACAGGCTGAAGGTCCAGCTCCTTGTTAACGCACATCCCGTGTCTGCAGTACTGCACATGGACAGGCAGAAACACACATGTAGGTCATGTTTAAAACCATGACTGTGGCCTAGTCCTGAGGACAAACACAGACGTGGCTCTACAAGGTAAAATTAGTGCATGCACAGCTGGGAGTGGTGTTCCTCTTTGCCGTCCTAATCCTCTGTTTAGATCCCAGACTAAATTTAAAAAGAAATCCTAATTCTGCTTTTGTTTACCCTCCTGGAAGTCGTCCAACACCTCCAGCTGTCCAAAGAGAAATGGGAGAGGGAGGAAACAACTTGGATAGGGACAGAAATAGAGTTGAGGGAAGACAGTAACAGGCAAGACGTGCCAATGGGTGAAGCAAAGGGCTGCAATACTTTCAGTCAATCTGAAATATAAATCGTTCCAAAGTGTTCTTTTCTTATTTCTAATAATATTACCAAAGAGGAGAAAAAATTCATAAAGTATTGGTGATACGAAACCCAACAGAAGAAATCCAGATTGGGTTTTATACACAACACTTCATACAGAAGACCCTGGGCCAGGTAGAGGAGAAGGCGCCTGGTATCAAACTGTGTGTACCTGCTAACCAACCTTTGCCAAGAAGTGCTAACACTGCTTTCATAAGCAAAGCACAGCAGGCTCATTTCCCTTTGTGAGTAACTAAATCCTCCTCTCAGCGACTAAGATATGGTAGGGTCCTGTTCGCGGAAAGAATGCGGGACAAGACGGCGTCTGTCTGGGTACGTAGCCTAGCCGTCCGGGCACACAGGCACGGGGGAGCAGTGGCACTGTGATAAGGAAACTCTAGAGTCATGATAACAGGAGGAACTAAGTTCATTACTGGCTTCACATCAGGAAATCCCTCCTCCTTGTTCCCATTTTATCTACTCAGGTACACAGATTTAAACTTACAACCACGATGGGAGGATGCTCTTCTGGGACACCTTGACATGCAATATTTTGATTTTAGAGTTTGGTCAGTAAGGGTGCAAAAGTTCCTGCTCTTACCAAACCAGGACATGCAATCCCCTACAATAGATAAAAGTATCTGAGTCAGATCCTTCCAAAGAGTCATGAAAACTGAGAACAACACTGAGTGAGATCTGCTCCAGTGAATTTTCATAATTACGTGAATATCAACCAAAGCCATCTCCACAACAGGAGCTTAACCTTTCCAGTTTCTGCATTTAAATAAATTCACAACTCGCAGCCATTCTCTCAAGAGAACACCTGCAAAAGTGCAAAGTCCTACACACAAACACATGTAAGCGTACATGGAATTTGGCACCAATGCCTTTTCTATCCTGGCCTAGCTTGCGTGTGTGTTTTACACACTTGTGAGTCTAATGATGGAGTGTAAAGCCTGTGCACAATGACAGACAGGTGTTAACAGCTGCAGGGTACAAACTAAACAAGCCACAAACATTTCTGTAATCCAGACCTGGTTTCAGTAATGGTCCAGGTCTGACTCCACTGTAAGTGAAAACTGAAGGCACTGATAATGTTGTGCAACGGTTTTAGAGAGCAATTCAAATTAAAAGCACTAAAAGGATTGTGATAAAACATCCACAAAAGTAGAAATGGTCTTCTCATGAGGAAAAGGCAAACATGTGCTGGTTTATGTTGGTTGAGCAACATCCTCACTTTAGAGGGAAAGAAACAAAAGAAAAGCTGTTTGCAGAAACTCATTTTTCCTTTGAAGTCCGACTCTGATCATTTATTTTACTAAGTGTTCTCAGTGGTCTTTAAATTGTGATTATGAAGTTTTTAGCCTAAACCACGTTACCTGTGTCATTTTTAAGGGCTTTTAGTTTAGTTAGTTTGAAGTTTATTTCGATCTGGTCATTTCCATTCAATATATACAGTAAATTACAGTAAATTGCAGAGCTCCAGTAGATCATTAACAATTCTGCACACGTCTCTTCACGTTAGCTTGTAGCCTAACATTGTCGTTGTTGTAGAAGAAGCAGGTAACATAGGAGCTATTCAGCTTTCAGACACTAATGTCTTTGGGGATGTGATGAAAGTTAATATCATAGTTAGCTTTCTTACAAGCATTGCAATCTGCTAACACACAAGCTTGTTCCGCGATAGTCCTATTTCTCAGATTGTGGTCTGCATAGCAGGGCTCTGGGGGCGGAGCTTGGATTTGCTAGGTAGGAAATCTCACTGAATCTGAACCTGCCGTTAGGGTCTGTCAGATATTCACAGCGATTTGAATGCAGAAATACTCAGAAATGCAATTTTGCTCTTTTTTTCTCATGATTTGTCCCCTAGTATCAGAAAAATGCCAAATGAACACATAGAAAACAAGGAAAACATGATTGTCATCAGAGTGGGTATTTAAGATGCCTTTAAGTGACTTTTCCCCAAGTATCGAGGACAAAAGATTTTCTCCCTATGCAGCCCACCCAGTGTAAGAACTGTCAACCCATGCCTGATCATCCCCTCCATACATCCTCTCCTCTGCCACCCATCCCCCTTATCCCCTTATGGAGAGCTGCACGGGACATGCAGAGACCACCGCAGTGTGACCAGGCATCAGGACCCAAGGAAGTGTCAAACACAAGGCAGACTGTCTGTCAGAGAGGACCAAAGCCCGTGTAAGCCTCTGAGGCATTCCACTCCCCCCACTGGCACCCTGTGTTTACAACCGTTTTGTTTGGCTTGAAAAGGTGATGTGGGTGAAAAGAAGAAAGAAGGAAGGAGGGGGGGAGTGGAAGGAAAAAAACATCTGTGTGAGATGATGTATGTGTGTGAGTGAGTGTGTGTTAGCATGCTCACGACTCTGTGTGGAAGTGTGTGTGTGCACATGTGCGAATGTGTGTCAAGTGTGAGAGTGATTGCTTAGAGTCTGGAGGCATCTGGGGGCCACGCTCAATTCCAATTAGCCTCTCTTTCCAAAGTGCACAAACACACCCTTAGGTGAGGTGAGAGTCAGGCTTGGCAAAGCTCAAACGAGCATTAGGGACACGGGCAAAGTCTTTCCTAGAAGGATTGTCAGAATCTGAACTCAATTGGGAATGTGGTGAGACATTTGAAGGTCTTGTGAGAGAAACCTGTCCAGCTGTGACAAGCATGTGCTTCAAATTAGGAATTCTGCAAAGACACACGCTGACTCACCAACTCGTACCAGGATGTGTGCATACTCATATATCAAATACATTTTTTTAGTCAATGATGCAAACACATAAATAAGACAGAAAAACTCTTCTACATGCTCGAGTTTTGCCTCTCAAACAAACCAAATCAAGTTTGAGGAGTCACTGAACAGTCGCAGTGGGAACGGTGTCTAAGAACGGCAGCATCTGCTCTGAGCTCCTCAGCTGCCTGCTTTTGGAAGTAAGCGCCCTGTAATTGCCAGGAAACTGTTGCAGAGAGCACCTCATTTCTGAACCCAAGCCATACATCACAGCACGAATGAGAAGGCAGAGGCGCGATTTAAAAAGCCCTTTCATTTTAACACGGCCATTTCCAAAAGGCATCACCTTTCATCTTGCACTGTCTTTCTCATGGCTCTGGGTTCAGAGTTCATTTAGACCTCGGCCTGGTGGGTGTTAAGGTTTTTACTTTTAATGAGCCTTCTATCCTCTCTGCTGTGTATTTTGATAAACATGTTGGAATCCATATAAAGCTCAATATGGACTTCCACAGTTGATTTGGAGATTATATCTCTGATGGATTCCTGCAGCTCAATATAAAAGGAGAAATCAAATGACAGTGTTTATAGTAAACTGAATTTACACTAAGAATTTTTTCAGTGAAGGCATGCATTCCAAATGTTCTTCCTTCTCAAGTGTGTAAAGATGGGAGGAAGAGAAATGACAAGAAGGAGGGGACGCAAATAAGACATCGAGGAAGAAAATATGATGCAACCGTGACCCCAACCAACCTCTGTTCTTACTCGCCCAACTCTGTTTCCTTTGCAGTTTTTCCACCGTCTGTGAACCCTCCTGCCTGTATATCTTTCCACAAAGTGTAAAGGTTGTCATTACAGAGAATGAGTAGTTTGGCCCCATCAGCTGTTCTATTCATGTGCACTTCAGAGACACTTTTACTGTCAGTCTGTCTTCCTTTTCATAGACTGTACAGCCTAGACACATTTAACTCTTCGTGTTCTCACACTTATTTTACAGTGGGAAATGATTGTTATTTTCAACTTAAAAAAATGTGCTAAAAATTAAAAGAATTCACTGTATTATTGGATTTTTGGCCCATTTATTCAACAATGTTGGCCACTTGGGGGCAGCACAACACGTTAACATCGTAAACTTAAAACAGCAAATGACACTGCACATTTTGTTGATTTAGCAACCAAACATCATCTCCCTTGCTAGTCAGAACTATACTTAATACTCCCATAAAGAAATGATTAGTATCGTTATTACTGTAAGCCTAAAATACCTGTAGCTCTAGTTAAAAGCTAGTCTAGTTACAATTCTCTATTGACCAAATGTGAACAAGTATGGATGACAGAGGGCTCATATCTCATAGCACAGCACAGTATGGCGGGATTTTATCAAGAACACAGAGATTAAGTTTTGGGGAGCTGTTCCTGGTTAAATTAGCTCTCAACCAAAGAAATCTGTGAACAGCACAAATATGTGGATCTTAGCATGCAAGGTAGGGCTGGGCGATATGGCCTCAAACCAATATCACGATACATCACAATATATAACGATATATGTGGAGTGACATCTCTGATGTAGGACAGCGTCTTAAAGGGACATGAGACCATAGCCTATCTACACACGTCCAAAACCAACTTTTATTTATTTATTTTTTTGACACTGAAGATACCGATATGTGCGAAATGACGTCAGTTATTGTCGTAAATTTCAGTATCTGTAAATTTTCGGTTTTATCGCCCAGCCCTAATGCAAGGAGGACTGAAGGCTGGTGCTCTGCTTACAGTGCCGAAACTTGGAAAACCAATTTGACATGGTTTACTACAGACTTTGTGATCCCTTGTTTAGCAGAGTTAAATACACTGCACTTAATTTGACTATTTTTATGCCTTGTTTTTAGACTAGTAAGCTAACCAAAAAGAAAATTTCTTGCTACAGCATAAGGATCAGGCACTATTACACTACTATTACACTACTACAGTATTTTTTTTCACATTTGTTACTCTTTTTGTTAAATAAGTCAGTACACATCTGCTACTTGCTATCCCCTACCCTCCTTTTTGCTAATCCATGTTTAGCTGTTAGCTGTAACAACCTAACAAGGCTTGTACTTGTGAGAAATTTTAAGCTACTTGGCAGTTTCTGTTCATTTTTAAAACATTTTTACATGATAATATGGTTTTATGAAATGTGTATTAGGGCTTACTTTTATATCTTTAAGTACAGACAAAAACTATAATCATGCAAATACTTCCTCCTTCCTCATAACAAGCACAGAAAGCTTCCCTCGCTGGCAACCGGATACAGTAATTCCATCAGCAAACTATGTGAATGCGATAACAACAATCCTCTTGTTAGCCTGAATCCACAGATATGTGTGTGATGATGGCGAATCAAAGTGGCAACATCCTGCAAATATCCTAAGATTAGCTAAGAGTGACACCGATACCAGTCACACAACCCCGAGTTCCAGAGGCACACCGAGCATACAAACACACACAGACACACACTTACACACACACACCCCAGCATCGTACGACAAGCCTGTCAGGCTGCCAAGGGGTTCCAGCCAACACTCACCGCCTCCGCCAACAGACTCCATTCTGCCCTGGCTTCACTTTTCAAGACCTCACTATCTCACTCTAATTGGCTGAAACCAGAGCAGGTCGTCATTCTTTTCCGAAGGAATTTTCTGGAAATCAGAAGCAAGTTCCCATTTATTCACTTACACTAACCACTCAATTAAGCCCCTATTAAGAGTATCTGGGGGGCCTTTAGGGGGATTTTACAGGTACTTAAAGAAAAGCTCAGTCAAAAGTAAGTATGTTGAATAGAATCACAACGCTCAAATGCTTTTGTTCGTCATTTGGCGACAAATTCTTGAAAAGGGGTTTTCTAGGGAGCTTTCAGTCATGCTTATTTTCAAATTGGCAATAAAATGAACAAAATAAGAAACAATAAAAACAGAAAAGTCGATTCAAGTTCTGTCGCTGCTCTCCTTAACTGCCACACACTGATCAATGACATGGTGTGACACAGCACAAAATAAACACAGACAAGTTTTCCATGGGTTTGACTTATCTCTTTTAACACTATACTAGCTGAACCAAATCCTCACACAAATACATAACATGCATATACTGTATGTACGTTACATGTAATACTGAAAATAATTTAAACGCAACTACAAGTACAACAAGCATCTTTGCGACACATTTAAACACGCACAAACAACAGGACATGCAAGCACACATAGGGAGGTCTCCTTTTTAAGTGTGAGAGGGACTCTAGGGGAGGAAACAGGGTGAGGAAAAAAGAGCAGGAGAGGAGAAGATGGAGAGGAGGGAGGGGGGAGGGTGGTGGCGGTATTTATAGACAACAAGTGATGGGATGCCCTCGTTAGTGCACGGCCCACTGAGCCAGATGACAGACGCGCCGCCAAGAGGTCATGTGACCGCATTACTCACTCCTGCGCCCTGTGAGAGGGCCCATTGAGCAACAGAGAGGAAAGGGAGCAAGGGAGGGAGAAAGAGAGAGAGAGAGGCAGAGGCAGAGGGAGAGGGAGAGCAAAGCAGAGAGGGTTTGAGGAGAAAGGGACAGAGGGGGAGAAAAACTACCCATGAACCCTGCAGTGCCTGTTGCCCTATTTTAACTCACTTGTATACAAACAAACATTTTTCACTCTTCATTTCGTGGACGTGCTTGCCTCCCACTTTTTCGGGCACTGACCTCAATTACCCGATGTGGTCACAACTTTGTTTCATAACCCTCTGGAACAAAAACCTCTTTCCAAGACAGGAGGTTATGGCAATGCATTCAGAGTGTTTATCTTCTGTGTTTTGTAAATGTTGTTTTCCCTTCGACTCAGCGGGCATGGGAAGTTTTGGTTCCAATCGCAGGTTACAAACAAGATCTTTAAAGTGGAGCTGTGGTTGCTTAGACAATACCCTTTTCTAGTTTCTCCCTATAGAGGCCATGGATGTAATCCTCAAGATCAGACACCTCCCCTAGAGACACACACACACTCCGCCCCTCGGGGCTTCTCAGACACCTCAGAGCCAAGATCTCGACCCAAGACCCTGGAAAGTCTTAGACCTGAACCTCATGACTTCTTTGTAGAAAGAATGAGAAATGAGTCAAGAGAAGATATGAGAAGGTGTGACAGAAAAAGCACATTAAGATTGTCAGTAGAAAGAGATAGAGGCTGGAAAAATACACGAGATATAGTCTGGAAATCTATATGACGCAGACACAAAAGGATCAAGAAGAGTCATCTGGGTTTGCAGATTATCAGACTTTTGAGGATGAACACAAACACACTCTTGCACACACAAACACACCATACCAAAATACCACATAAAAGAGCTCTTGTGTGGGCAGGTGAGTGTCAGGGCAGGGTCCCCGTCTCTTTCAACTCGTGCTACTTCAAACAGCCCCCTCCATGTAGATGAAACTGGGCCTGCCATACTACAAACAAAGGTGGTACCTCTACTCTCACACCACAAGAAATGAAAGAAACTGTCTTTCTAGGTTTTCACAAAGGAAGTTAATTTAATTTTGACCAAAAAGGTGGAATTTTTAATGCTCTTAGCTAACTTTTGTATGAACTGACGATTTGCTAAATGGGAAACACATCGGTGTACAAACATGCTAAGCTAAAGCTGTTACAAGGTGAAGCTTCAAAGCGTAGTAAGCATGCCAGCTTTGCCAAAATCAATCAATTATTCCATTCAATCTAGTACATGAAAAATGAAAAAACAAGTCAATATTTTGTTTATTTGTTTTTCTGTATAACCAAAAATAAAAAATTAGTTTGTTTTTGTATTTTCAGCTCAAAACAGAATATATAATAGAGAAGGAAACAAAAATGAAATAATAAATCTTATTTACAATTATTGATTTTGAGTGCGCCTGTTTTGAGCATACATGCATGGAGGCTACATTGGCCTTCCCATGATCCTCAGCAACAGTTACCATGGCGAAAAATGCGACAGAGCGGTTCGAGCGCCAAAATCTTATGTTGTAACAGCGCTCTGGTTGTAAGACATATCTTCCTCCTTCAGCGTGACCCTCCTGGTGGGTTTGTATAATAGGTAGGATGCGTCAATCTCCAAGACAGCAGGTTAGCCTTTCTCTACCGCTCTGACCTGGAGTTTTTGGTCCACGTTGTTGGCTACTTTGTTGTGCAATGCGTATGTGCTTTTCCATCTCTATTATATATTCTGTTTTGCACTGAAAATATGAACACTAATCTTTTATTTTTTGGTCATATAGAAAAACAAATAAACAAAATATTGACTCGTTTTTTCGTTTTTCGTTTACTAGACTGAATGGAATAATTGAATAGACGGATAATACACGGACCCTGAAAACATGCAAAGCTTGTCTTGCAATGATAAGCCTTCAGACAACAGTATTGTTTTGTCTAATGCATGTAGGCTACTTAGCTTTTTGGTTTTATTTTAAACCAAACATTTATCCTTGGCTGAACTTTATATTTACAGCTGATGTAGCGTTTAGCCGACATTGTTGCTTTGACCCAAAACAAGCTTAAACCAGACTTCAGCTGATCTAGCTACGTCATCTTTAACTGGTCTAAGGTTTTGAAGCTTATTAAAGTTTATCACCACTTTATGTATATAAACTTACACTCCCTAAAGGTTTCTCCGTGTGAGCAGTATGGGAACTCACAGGGCTATTACTATTTGGTCTGGTTGTTGTAGTTGGATTAAGATGTTAGCTATCCCCTGTTAACCTTTCCTCACTAGACAGGGCCGATCCAGGACCTGACATGGTGAGGAGGGAGATGGAGCCAGATGAAAGGATATAAGGGGTATGAGACATACATGGACCCACACTGCAGAAGACCCCTGAGGGCCCAAAGGTTAAGAAGAGGAGAGAAACCGCCCTTTCTCTCTCGAGCGTGCTCACTCTTCTTCCCTCTTCTTCTCTTTTTCTCTCCCTCTGATGCGTATACCGAATTTTTAACACCGCCCTCCTCATCCTTACCACCCTCTACTCCTCCTCACTCCTTCCCCCTCCTCGAATCACTGATGTGAGGCCTTTTGTGAATGCACTGGCTGGTTTGAGCCTGGGCTCTGTTACGGCCTGACCACTGACCCACTCACCCGCCTTTTAAAGAGGTTTTGGGGTCATGGGTTCACAACAAGGTGACTCAACTGTGAACGGCGGGCGGCATCCACTTTCAAAGCGCCCACGTCTTCACCTTTTCCCTCTCTTGACTCTCTCTCTCTCTTCCCACCCCCTCTGTATCCCTTTTCTTTCCTCTTTCTCCCCCCCCCTCCTCTCCTGCAGCCCCTCTTCCCCCGTATCCTCAGTGACTGACCCGCCGTCTCAGCCCTAATTAGCATAGCATCCCAGAGCGAGGAGAACATGAAGGCTAATGGGGGTTGGGGCCCCGTAACAACACTGAGGGTAAAGCTTCAAGTTTCTAACTAGAGCCATCACCTGACCACATTTACATGGGTTTGTGCAAGTAGAATGCAGGCGGGAGAGTAATGGATGATAAATTATTCCTGTTTCTTGGTAGAGGGAGTAAACTAAAAGGAAAAGGCATCAACATTCAAAGGGGCGCTGCCTGGGTGGTTTGGGTTGTGTCACTAATGTATTTTGTCTAAATGCAGCAAGGCAAGCTAAAAAATCATTCCGAATAAGAAGTAGCAGAAATACATTCAGTGTTGCAATATGGTGATGCAAAACAATTTCTGGATTTAATGCTAGCTTAATCTGGTGTCATGGTAGCTGCAAACACTCATATTTTTATTTTTCTACCCTGCATCACATACCAGATGGGAAGGCTCCTCTGAATCAATTCAGTATGTCAATCCAACAACAAACTGCTCCATAAAAACAGGATTTTGTTTTTCTAGTGAAACACAGCCACAATTCTTTCCAACATAACAAGTTATGACATTTTGATTTTAAAATTAAAGACAGAGGAGTTAGAGGATTTGCTCCATATTCTCTTTAACATATTATTATAGGGGTAGCAGCGATGCAGTTTCCAATAGATGTCAGATGTCGTAATACAACGGCACTCCCTAAAATATGTGAGTGAATGCAATTCAACTTGGGGGAAATATGACTAAATTTACCATTCCATGTCCGCAGTCAGTCCCATCAGCCAGTGGCATGTGCTGTGTGCGACACCCTTTATGGTCCCCCTCTGCACTTGTGCACCACAGCCTCTTGCACTGTTTCTATGGAGGGGAAAATGAGAGGAGGATAAATCATCTGGGCAGACTGGGAGTAGAGCTCAACTCCCCAACATATGCAAAACACACTCATGTTTAATTAATTCCATATATTCTGATTTATCTGCTTTCTTTTTGATTGCAGATTGAAATGCGTCTCTTTTCCAGACATGTGTGGTTGTAAATAGCAGAGCATCAGTTTTTAATTTGTCTGTGCATTTAACAATAAACAAGTTGGACTTCTTATGTCTGTGTAATAAAAATACATGTTAAACATTACGCGTGGGAATTAACTGATTAAATGTATTTACAATGGAAGAGCTCATAAAAACAACATATGATGAACCGACTACAATGTCAAATCTGTTGGCCTATGAGGAAAACCACTCAGCGGAAAATCTTTTTCTGTATTTCATAGGAGGCATCAACAGATTTCCATTATCTGCTTCCACCTCAAGTCCTCACTTCTTTACTTTTCAGTGTGGTTTGCCTGCTTTGATAGTGAGCCAACTTACCATGTAAGGGCAGATTTGGGAACCAGGTCCAAACATCAGTTCACACTGTCTGTTGGCATTGTAGATTTGACCAGGGAGGAGGGTGGGCAGCTCATACGTTCTTCCTACAGGTTCATCAAGGAGGCACTCCCCATAGCCCGTGCTGAAAGAAAAGAACAGCAACATAGTATTAAATGAACGGGAAGCTGCAAAAATATGCAGAAATGTGCATAAACAGAAAATTAAACACACATACACAAACTTCCACGACACAAAAAAACTCAGTATTTTCTGTTCTGACCCCCACGAGTATCAACATGTGTCATCATCCGTCATAAGAGCAAAGTAAACATTTCTGTGTCATTGTGTGTGATCATCCTCTCATGTGTTTTCCCCTGTGGGTGGTCTGTAAAGTTACCTAACGGAGAGACTGATACCACTTCCCCTCAATGGCCTGTTAGTAAATGCTGTCACAGGGAAACTGGAGTCAGGCGCCACAAGGCTACATAAAACAGCATTTTGATACACACTGAAAAGAATCTGCAAGCTGAAAACATTTTTTAATCCTGCCTGTATTTCTCTGTAAACTGAAGAATTTAGGGTCATAAAGCACCTCAAATTAGGTTACATAAATCAGCGCAAGCAGCGACATTGCAGTATCGTGACAGATAGCGCTGTAAATCAGCCACACCCTGAGCCGTGACGCGAAACAGGGGCAACAAAAGCACAGCTGGGCTGAGTGTGTGCATATAAAATCATCACCTTTACGGTTGTGAAAAGACACAAGTCAAACATGTTAGCAGAGTGAGCTGGACCTCAAAGGAACTCTTCTTTTGTTCTGTTTATCTTAAGAATAAAAGAAACCATCAGAAGAGACGTGTGTAGATGTGTAATTACATGACATGTCTGCATCTCTTTGACAAATCTAATCCAGGGTTGAGCTGCTAAAACACCTGCTCCATAATGTAACAGCTGATGTGACAGGCCAATAATTACACAGGATTACCACCAAGTTACCATCACTTTGTTTCTCTCCTCTTTCATTTCCATTCATAATGTTAAGAAAATGCAACACACGGCAGGAGGATGACAGGAGGAGGGTTGCATGAGATCAGGGGAAGAGCAGGCTGTCAAAGAATCATACTCAGTCATATATTGCAGCATCTTTCAGCAGCTGGTCATCTGTCTCATCATGAAGCTGAAAACTAATGGAATGATTATTAAAACCACAACACAGAGACAGACAGACAGTAGGGGTGAAGGGGTCAGTCAGTGCGGACATTTTGAATTAAACATCTACTTTTTCTAAGAATGTCATCCATAAGGCCTCGAGACCTCTTTTATGGCACAGTGGAGATTCCACATCTGGCAACCATTGGGGATCTTGAATGTGAGTTTATTTATCAGACGACTTATAGTTGGCTGTTGTGTGATGTCATAAGAGACTAAACAATAATAGTTTCCATATACTGGGTTTCCGACTCCGAGCGGTGCGAGAGGTCTACTTATAGCATATGTCAGGCTGATGTTTTTTGCAGAGGGCTGAACGCCACAGAGTATCACCGTATACAGGGCTTGATCAAACAGGGAGAGTAATCTGCAGCGGGAGTTTCATGTCTGACAGCATGTAACCATTATTGTACTTAGAGATACATAGCAAGATAATGATAGGTTTTAAATGAATTTGGAGGAGCAGGCGGTACATGATGTTCAATCCTGATTTTAGAAAGAAAGTAAGATTAAAATTACACCAGGAATTATTTCTCATGGGAGATTTTAGGAATGGTTGCAGTCTGAGCGGTTAGATTAATTTTCAAGGTGTGCAATTGAAAATGATAGACCTTGTTGCTATGAATGATTGTGTGGTTCTACATTTGGCAAACACAACATTTAGCGGGGACTACAGTGAAAAAGGTTTGCAGTTTAAGTAGGGCTGGGCGATACAACCTCAAATCAATATCACGATATACTGAGCAGTTCACCTGGATAACGATAAATGGACGATAACTACCTCAGAAGCTGCTCAACCACTCCAAGAATGACTTCGCTACTTTAGCCGCCGCTCCAGCCGCCGCTCCAGCCGCTACAACTTTTGAACCGTCCTCCATCTCCTCACCTGTCTTTCCCTCTTTGTTGCAGACTGGATGGGGTGGAGTCTCGTCTCTAATGTAGGACAGCGTCTTAAAGGGACATGAGACCATTGCCTACCTACACACATCCAAAACCAACTTATATTTATCTATTTTTTTGACACCTAATTTACTGATATGGGCAGAATGACGTTGGTTATTGTCGTAAATTTCGGTTTATCGAACAGCCCTAATTTATATTTGAGGCTTACATCAAAAAGCTCAGCACCAGACAAGGAGAGAATGGCTGCCTTATGTACCAGTTGACTCATAGTAAGCGGGCACAATAGCAGGACACCTTTCATCAGCTTTCAGGCGCAGGAGTTTAATGTGTATTATTACAACAGCAGTGAGATAAGGAGAGGCGAAGGATTCCCCTCCTTTGCCTTTTGAAAGAGCGAAGTTTGAGAGGTGGCGCGGCCTTTCGTTTGTTACATTTGCAGGAGAAGGGTGCAGATTGAATTTGCTCTTCAGGGAGAAAAAGCAGTCAAAACACTGACGTACTCGACCTGGTCAGCTCACTGAGCAGGGGTAGTACTGCACAAGTACGAGCTTGAATCAATGCTTCTCATTGTTGGCTGGAGACGGATTTCAAAAGCACTCGGACTGCACACTTGAGGGTCTTTCCCACCGTTGCAGCTCCCACACTGAAATGCTGCTCAACTCTCTTCTTCATACCTGTACATTTCGTCATGTATCTCATCAGGTTCAGACACATTGGAGTGCATCTAAAGTGCAGGAGAAACTTGATCTGCAATTCTGAGCACACACAGCTGACGGTGCCAACCATATAATGAAGAGATTCATGAAGGTTCTCCTCATTTTCAGCTGTGTGTCCTGACCACTCCATACTGAGGTCATCACTGGAAACTATGTGAAGCACAATCTTAAAACGCCATGCGGGGCGTCCCCTACACTGCACTCTTGAGATGCATCTGGTCAACAACGCTGTCCTTTGTGAAAGCCTCAACAATTAACAGAGGAAAAGGAGGCAAAGATTAAAGGGTCAAGTCCAGGGAAGCTCTAATTATAAGTTACATTTCCAATCTTAAAGGGAACTCTTTCACCAGGAGTTGCTGAATGAGCCGTTGCCCCGTGTTACAGGTTTTGCTGTGGAAAGCGGGACAATGACTAGATTACTGTTTGCCCAGCATCTTGACAGCATAGCTCTGTCTGTCTGGGTGAGGAGACGGCTGAGGGGCAGCAGAATATCCACCGTTCAGGTCAGCCGAGGAAGACCCTCCGAATCAAACAGGAAATACTCTTTCAACACCAGGCAATAACAACTCAGCAGAGTTTACATAGCACTGGCCTGTCTGTACGGAGCACAGCAAGGGACACTGAGGCAGTTTGTTTAGCCGGCCACGTCACAACAAGGAAAAGTTAATGGCACACTTTAAATGAAGATGTATTAGGACTTGTCCCAGTTCCACGCCCTTTGCCCTATTTGCAGTTGCAGAGTAGCGGAGATTGTGAAGCGGCTTTTCAGAACTGAGTTTCGAGGGAAAGGTGTTGCGGTTATTAATGATTCAAATGAAACCTCTCACGGTTTCTGAGCCTGAGGGTATAGCTGTTTATGAATTATAACTTACACAAAGCTCTATTTAAATTATCAGCAGCAGCAAGTGCTCCGAACAGCTTCTTACAGCTATCCATTAACACAGCGGTGGATTTTTAATCGAGTTAAAACTTTTACATGATTATATAGAAGATCTGTACTTTTCTCATTGGACTTACTCTAAACTAGGGGTGTCCTGATACAACTTTTTTACTTATGATACCATACCGATATTGTAGCCTTCAGTATTAGGTGATACCGATATTGATCCGATATTTGCACAGACTTGTGCGTGACAAGTTTTGCACTCAGCTGCAATGTCTTTTTCAGACTTTAACGAAAAATACTGCCACACGGCCGACATCACTCCTGCTCCTTACTACTTTGTTAGTACCTTAATACACACGGTTGTTGTGATCATGTTGGCTGTGCATGCTGGAGCGGTGTCTGGAATGCACTGTTTGTATCGGGGTGCTTCAATCTGAGATATTAGATGCAGGCTGATATAATCTGATATTTGTTTTTTTTGCTGATATCGGACCAATATCCGATATCAATATCGTACTGGGATATCCCTACTCTAAACTATAACACCTCAGTTTGCAAAGAAGAGTTAGGGTAATTCCTGTCTACCTCTCTGTCTGGAGGCCTCTTCTACAAACCCTTCAATTTAAAGAGCTGTTTAGGGGGCTATTTGACCACCCCCTTCACCCTAAAAGGTCACAGGTCACCATGAAAACTGCATGATTGGATCAAAGTATGGGAGGTAGAATTGCACAACATGTTAGTTTTGAGAAGTCAGGGATGAAGAGGCTTCTCGCTTTGTATTTATATGAATCAGTTTGAAACTGGAGGGAGAGCTGGTACCTACTCTAGGAACTCGGTGATGTACTTGCGGCTGCACTTTGACCATGACCAGGGGTTGGTGTCATAGTTGAGGGTGGGAGCCATGACGTGATACTGGTGCTTAATACCAGCCTCCTTGCACTTTGGGTTGTCATCATGAGGCATGTTGAACCTGGAGAAGAGAGAGAAAAGGTGGCTGAGTGAGACAGAGGTGGAGGGAGGAGTAAAGGGAGCACACACAAAAGCATAAAGGAGGATAAATGTCAGGGTATATGCTCCTCCATTTTAAGCAGTGGATCAACCAGATACAACCACAGAGAAATCCTCCCCTGGTGCTTTTCCACATACCCTATCATTTATGTCCTCTCCTAAAAGCCTATGCCATAAAATTTAATATCTTCAGTAAAATCTAAAAGCTTTTCAGAAAATTGTGCTACATTTTAAACGAAATATAACTTTTCATCTGTCTGCATCAACCCCCTACACCTTCACGACAGACATGCTGGTGAAAACACCCAAATTTGAATTCTTATGGGATTTAAGGTCAAAATCTTACATTCTCAAACAGCTTAGTGCCCATCAACACACATATGTGTATACTAATCCAACTGAATCACCTAAAATATTGATGCATTTGGAAAAGAATCATAATTATGTACACAAACACAGCATTTGATTTATAGGTTGCTGCCAGCTTGTGCCGAGACATCAGTTAAATAAAACATGCTCTTGAATAAATTGCTTGCTCTGGCTTTAATGAGCTGTTTCAGGATTAGTTTCTATAAAAGTTAAACTTTGCGAAAGAACAGCTGTATAAAATGAAGCTCAGGGCATCTGCAAATGAATGATGTCATCCAGGCTGTCTGCTGTCTGCAGTCTCATAAAGTAAGTTGCCTTGATCATGTCCAGAATAGATCGGTCCAGTACAGATGTCCTGTTCTGTGCTGCGGTTTGGCTATGATCCCTGAATACAAGCACATACACACATATCCATTTACACACACAGGAACCCTTGCAGCTGTATGATGTCTGAGATGTTTACAACAGGATGTGGGCCAGTGCTGGGTTGCAGACTGTAGCTCAGGGTCAATCCATACCGGCACGAAAACAAGACCGAGCATGGCTGGCATGAGGCCCACCCTACAGGGGCCGAGGCCCCGAAGGCACCTAGGGAATAATTAAGCCTCTGGCACAGTAATGAGCTCTGCATGCACCAAGCTGTCGGCTAATGCTGACGTCAAATCAAACGGAAAGTGTGCACTGTGTTATGATGGTGCACAGGTGTATCCAGTGACAGTGAAGTGTGAATATAATCACCAGTTTATAATATTTCCTCCACTATGCTGACTTTCAGAGCCTGCTCCAGATTAGCACCATTAACACATTATGATGATTTAGTCGAGCCAGACCTGATGGACACTCATGAGGACATCCTGAGACAAAAGCCTTTTAGTGTAATTAAGTCATAAATCAGGGAGTATTCTGGCTCTCTGTTTGGTTGTCTCAGGGGACAGATCAATAAAGTGGTCAGTTCCTGTGTTAGAGTACCAACCCTGCAGTTTAATTATTGGCATTCGAACTCAAAATGTGATTACGTCAGGTCTATTCACTTTTCCTCTGACCTCAGACAAGAGCATCCCACTCTTACCACTATGCTGTCATGCAGCTAAAGTAGTTTTCAGCTGACAAAACAGCTTTTTCTGCTAAAACACCCATAAATAACAGCCTCAGGAGGACATATGAAGCCATGAAAACCTGGTATATAAATAAAAAGTTGCCAGTAACTGCTTCAATCAGCACTTTAACAGAGAGCAGTGACACTCGAGAAAAAAAAATAAGCAGCTCCTCTACAGCTCCTCTATCTATGACAAAAACGTGACTCTTCCATTTCGCTAGCTTGAAAACAAGCCAGATAATGCGAGTGAAGTCTTTTAGCATAGATGTCTCTGCTTCTTTGGATGTTGAAAGTTCCTTTTCAGCTGCAAATATATAACACTGAATTTGCACTGAAGGACATTTGTAGTAGACAGTAGTTCACCATGAAACTGGATCTACGTAAGGTTGTATTTTCTTTACCTCTACTTCTAAATATTGTCCTTGGAAGTTCTTGCCCTCTGTGGACCCCGAATCACAACACAGGGAGTGTATGTACATTATAAGAAAGCTAGAAATTTACTTAGAAGTCCTAGAATTGTTCGAACCTCATTAGATGTTTGAACAGCTATCAAGTGACACAGTCTCGTCTGAAAATCCCTACGATAGCTATTACTAACAACAAATCTTTGCAGCCATCTGAGACCGGCCTCCTATCCATTAACCTAAATCTTTCTTTAATCTTCGGCGCTCTTGAGTGGCTCCCACTACCTGACACTGGCTTTCCCAGCGCGCTAAACACTCAAGAGCTCATGCCTGTGAACACTGCGATTAACCACGCCAAGAGGCAGCGCCAACTGGGCCTCCAGCTGCTTGAACTTTAGCATAAACAGATCCACACGAGATGCAAGTGGAAAGAGGGGGAGGGAGACTCGTCCATCTGGCTCGCTCTCCAGTTAGATTTCTCCAATGGAGGAATGTGTGAGCGGGGTCGAGGAGGATGAAGAATATCGTCCATTCTTGACCAGTGCTTTACGAGCTCACACTGGACAACACTGTGGAGCCTTTTAGGAGTCCCACACAAATGCACAGACACACTGGAAGGAAAAGCTTTTATACTCTGTATGAGTGGAAGAATGGTTGAAACTAGGACGAAAAGACTTGCCTTAAAGTCTGTGGATGGAAAAAAAAAGACAGTCATGGGAAGGGTGACTTATAAACTGAATTGATTTACAACACAGTGGCTGTAATGAGTGTTTACCATCATTTCCCCTTGTGGCTGTTTGGAATAAACAGTCATGAGTTTTAACTTGGACATTTTGGATGAAGATGATACAGACGAGCCGTTTTTTTTTTCCACGTCAGTTAAGTGGCGAATAAGCTTGTTGTGAAAACAGTTAAAGAGTGGCAGACAGACTGTTGTGATAACACCTCCATCACTCGCATGTCAGGAAGCTGCATATGATGTCATTGTGGCATCATCAGGTTGTTATATCAGTGTGTGGAGCTGATAAAAGGAAAAAAAGCTGGGAACAAAAGAGCAGCCAGATGATAAAGAAAACCTTAAACTATCAGATAAAGTTGTACAGATTAATGCTCATGTGTCACTATGAAGAAATGAGTGGATAATTTCACTCTCTTCACTTTCATCTGTGTATTTGTGTATTTTCTTTTAATAAGTATTATACCATTTTTCATTGTATGTATTTTATTTGTATAGTTATAAATATTTTTCTTTTTTTTGTACAATCATGCAAATATATATATATTTTCTCTTTTTCCCTTTCACTTTTTTCTTCCCATATTAATTGATTTCACCATCAGAGGCCAAATTAACTGGTGTTACTTTTCTTATTACCATAAAAATAATGTTTGTTGTTACTCTTTCTCGCAGACAGAGATAAGAACCAGAAAATTGAAAGACCCACAAGACTGCCACTAGGGATGTAACGATTACCGGTAAAATGATAAAACGGGGTAAAACAGTTAGTGACACTTAGTAGTACTGTTTCAAATTTTAATTACCATTAAAACCGTGTTTGATTGCCGCACTCTGGAAAAGATCACAGACTGCTCAGTGTTGAGAAGAGCAGCAACCGTGATAATTTTGGTCACAATAATCATGATGTGAAATTTTCATATCGTTACATCCCTACCTGCTCCACGACTGTACGCTTTGGGTATTATTTATTTATGTATGCACTTATTTACTTATTTCTCCTTTCCTGTCAGTTTTTTCTGCTTTGTCCTGAATGTGTTTGTATGATTTATGTTTGGGAAAAAAATTAGAAACAGTTTTTGTTTACAGTTTTTATATATTTGTTTATTAAAGACTCTGCACTTCTAATTAAAAAAAAGAAAAAAAAGAGCAGCCAAATGATAAAGAAAACCTCGAAGTTGTACTGATTAATGCTCAGGTGTCACGATGAAGAAATGAATGGATGGTTTGACTCTCTTTACTTTCGTCAGAGCTACTTTTCGTCTTGAGAGACTCTCGGACACACACAGGGTTAACTCCCTGAGCATTACAGTCAGGTATTAAGGCAGGCATGTTATTAAAAGTCAAGTTTTTCACTTTATTATGTTTTGCACCTGTTTCAGCTTCGCCCTATAACTCTTGATAAGAGGGCTTTTGTTGGTCCGAGCTGGCAGGGCGAGGTATGTGTGTACAGTATGTGTGTGTGTGTGTTTGTTGGAATAGAGGTGGTTGAGCTGCCACTTACACATGGCCCAGTTCATGAGCGATGGTGAATGAGGCACTAATTCCATTTTCCTCACTGATGGAGCAGCTGCGGTACTGGTCGCACATGGTCCCCAGCTCCGCCAGCCCTGCAAGTACAGGGTCACGTACACAGAGAGAGAGAAAAAACACACATATAAACACATCCAGAGGCACAGTTATTAGAGAGAAAAAACACCCCATTGCCTGAGTGTGTAAAGGCGATTAAACCATCAAAACTTCTGTTCTGTAAGAGAGAGATTAGCGCCGCTACCAGCTCTCTCCATCCTCCCTCCCTCCCCTCCTTCTACCACTCTGTTCTGTCACTATAATATTATTAGCCGACAGCTTGCCATAAACTTATTAGGGCACAGTTTATGAGCTGTAGGCTACAGAGCAGAAAGTTAACTGATAAAAACTCAGAGTAGGGGTATTTTGGTAAAAAAGAGAAGTTTACCTAAAGTGTCACATTTATCTTTCGCTCTGCAGATGTCTTCTCTGAAAAAATAAAAAAACATACAATGCTGTTACATCTCTTTGAAGAGGACGGTTTTCTTAAGCAGCTTGGCTTTGCTTTCAAAGTGAGGGAAGGGAGTGTACCTAGTGATGAGAAGTGCGGTGTCATGGTGAGAGGGGTGGCTGTCGTCCTGGACGTTTTGGCTCTGCTGCCAGACACAGAAGTTGTGGAGAGTTGTGGCGGCATTGAAGCTCACTGTGGGCCCTTCCTGTTACGGATGAAAAATCAGTCGAGGGTTTGACCAAGAAACAGGACATATGAAGCTTTAAGTAGTAGTAGATATGTCTTAAAAGCCTACTCGTTTCTTTGTTTAGTCACTCTGACGTGCAGATTTGTGCAACATGGTGTGAACTCCCACACAGCTACCCAAAGAGCTTTAGTACAGACAACTGTGTAAAAGGCATTAATTCAAACCTAAAGCATTCACTGAAAGGGAACTGCTTAAGACTCATTAGAGTATTTTCCAGTTGACCTGTTGCGGGAATGAAAAAATATCAATGCCATAAAGTAAGCCAGTCTGATGATCTGGAAACAAATGAGTTGTGCTGTTCAGTGCCGCCCAGAATCTGCAGGACAGTTAATATGAAACTAATCAAAATACAGGTGCAATAACTCTGATTAAACCTTTGTGACTTAATCTGTGTATTTTACTAAGTTTTACTAAGTTTATCAATATTTTCTTTCAACCTTGTGTGTCTTGATAAGTTATTGAATTTCTGTAAAAATCTATTCATGCAAACAGCTGCAGAAAGACCATCACATTTACTCTGATAAAATGTCCTGAGACAGACGTCTGGTCTACCTTTTTATGACTGACAACCATAATTAACAATAAACATGTGAATATGACAGATTTGTATGACACTGAAAAGCCTCACAAGCCTCTCCACCTCTCACTGCAGGTGGCTGGTTGCCTCTCTATAGTTTCGTTTGTTTTCCAGGAAGACCTCTCGTGAGACTATAGACTGACAAGGAAGGCAGTGTCCTGTCTAACAGGCCCCACAGAGAAAAGGCCAGCCCTGTGAACACCTGCGCTGATGTCAGCCACACTGGACACGGCGATAAAGGTAGCATTTAATACGCCGCACTCACCTGTTCGTTGTGGATGACGACCAGCTTGACAATCATGATGTTGATGAGGTTTCCTACGCTGGGGTCCCTGTACACTGCCGCTACCTGTAACAAAGACAAAACACACAGACAAAAAATGCAAACCTCCACTAACCTGAAACAAGAGCACAAAGCAGACGGTCTACTTCTCTTCACTCATTACTTGGGCTAAGAAAAAACAGCTTCTTCTAGTTAAGCTCCATGGAGTCCAATCAAAATAGCAATAGTTCATTCAGGTCAAAAGAAACAAGAAATGTCTCCTTCAGGGGAAGTTTAATCAACAGGGTATTAAAACCAATTACAATTCCCTCATGGACCTTAACAAAGAAAAAATAAACCAAACTCTGGAGCCAGCAACAAATGTGATACTCCAGCAAGGCTGGAGCTCAGAGCCCCTCTGTGAGGACAGCAAAACATTCCCTCTGAAGATTCCCCCGCAACCTCACTTGTCTCTCTCTTGCACCCCAGTCACGGTCAGCCAGCACTCTCCCGGGGCTGTGTGCGGCCTCCTGACAGGAACTCATTAGTCCACTATAAACATTTGGCTGGCCTTAGCCTCAGGGAGGGGGGCGTGGCTGAGGCCTGTCCCCAGTGGACAAATGTAGCCTTTCCTTGCATGTAACAAGTCACAGGAGCTGTGATATTCTGCAAAATGTTTGCTGTCATGTGTGTAATTGTTTATCAGATTGAGACGCAAGGGAGGCTGCAGCCAACACTTGATGGATCACACAGAGCCAGTTAGCTCAAAACTAGCTCTAGAGGTGTAACAAGCTAGGGCTGTCCCGATACGATATTTATATCGGATATTGGTACAATATCAGCCAAAAAACAAATATCGGATTATATCGGCCTGCATCTATTATCATCACTGCGATACAAGCAGTCCATTCCAGACTCCGCTCTGGCACTTCTATCTAGCAGCGCCCGGATCCAGCATGAAGAGCCTCCATGATCACAACAACAGTGTGTACTAAGGTACAAACAGAGTAGCAAAGAGTTGGAGTGATGTCGGCTGTGTGGCAGTATTTTTCATTAAAGTTCGAAAAAAAATTCATTGCAGCAGAATGCAAAACTTTGTTTATCCAATTCGTGCCAATATCAGTATCGGCCAATACTGAAGGCTACAATATCAGTATCGTATCGGACATAAAAAAGTTGTATCGGGACACCGCTATAATGAGCGTCAGCAGGCTTATTGATGCCATGTCCTGAGGATAGCTCTGGAAATTTCTGAGTTTAAATGTCAAGAAAAGAAATTTATGATTATTTTCGTCAGTTAAGGAACTGGAAACATCAGAGTAAGATTGATTATTTTTTAATCATTTAAAAACCACACTCAGATCAAACTAAATAGATCTGCTCTACTTTGGCTTGTGTGTTTAATTGTGAGTGTGAGAGTGAAGAAGAGTGAGGGAAGAAAAAGTGTGTGTTTGTGTGTGTGTATGCATCACTGGTCTGCAGACATAAGCCTGGCAGAATGAATGTTTTGACCTAAAACCTGGCAATAAAAACTGGCCTGGCAGATTTTACAGTGACTGTGTTCTCACAACCTTCCACTGACAATCATTACTCCTTTATGCGTTAATGAGTGTTTTGAACATTGCCTGCCTGTCAAACTGGTGAGAGAAAGCAGAAAGTACACACAGTCCAGTATAATTGATAACCTGTCCTGCTTTGACACATGGATTTCAAAAGCATTTCCACTGCAAAAAAAAAGAGAGACCCTCAATCAGTTTTACTGGACTGATTACCAGCAAGCTTTCCCGGTCAGATACGGGGCTCATAAAGAGATCAAGTTTGCTGAGTCAGGGTTTTTCCAATTAACGGGGCCACTTTCATTGAAGCAGCAGTAAGCTCGGGTCACGCCAGGGTTTACAACCCAAATGTCAAACAGTAAACTGTGAGGCTAAACACGGTGAATTCTGTAGTGAGTGATTGGCTTTCCCTTTTATGGGGCTTTAGTTAAAAAAAAAGTACAAAAAAAACGACAGAGATTTTGAGGCAAAGAGATCTCTAATACAGTCAAAAGGATTATTTGGAGGTCTATCCATAAACTGATCAAAGAAAATAACATCTACTACATCTCTTCATCCAAAACCCTGTAATCCGTTTATTGCACAGAATCATTGTTTCAAGTTTAGCACAAAGTCTGGCAAAAGCACAGCAGGTTCAACAAGTTTTGACGAGGGCCGTCACCAAATCAGATTTAATCGCAATGTTTAAATCTGCTGTCACAATTCACATTACTTTTGTTTTAATGAAGCACCTGCCACTGGTTTGGTCAGCTGGTTTAAAACGGAGTTTCACAGCTCAAGGAAGAACATTTATGACCATTACTTCATGGAAATGAAATAAGAGTTCTTGTGTATCTTAAATGTGCACCGCAGACATGGAAGTTCTTCTGCCTTAGCGTCTTTGTCTGATTGCATTTCCATGAAGTAATAATCATAAATTTTCTGCTGCACTCAGTGATCGCCTCGTCAGGGCTCCCCCACTTGCAAGCGGCTACTGGAGGAGAGTGGGTGAGTTGTGTTTACTTTCACTGCTAAAGAAATTAGGCAAAGCTAAAAAGATGTTTGATGGCTAGTACTATGGCTGGGACCCTATATGTACTGTTGATGAAGTTAGGTGCCGTTCTGAGCATTATTTGTGGCTTTTTGGTTGAGGTTTGTGCGTGGAGACATAGACTGTGTATTGCTATCGTGCGGCCGTTGCTGAAGTTGTTATTACTACAGAAGCAAGCGGTCGGCAACATTCATCTCTCGAGGGGGTGTCTGACCATAACTTAAATTTACACCACAATAACCCTTCAACATCTGGTTCATAAGTATTACTTTGAATTGATTATGTGTTGTAAGCTTTTTTAAACGGCCCTTCGACTTTTATAATTTGGCTGATTTTGTCATTTGCTTTATTCAAAATGATTGACTCACACTTCAAACTCACCCTCACAAATTTTGTGCACATAAAACCTCTTCAACATCAGGACAAAATAATTTTTTAGAAACATTATTTTACTTACTACTGACATGATTGTTAGGATGTAGTGCTCTAAGTTGCGTCCATGATGACGGACCATTTTGGCATCAGCTGTCACCATCAGCTCGACGAAGCGAGGGTAGGAGAGGAAACGCTTGCGTCTGCTTGGAGATCGGGTGTGTGCGCTGGTTGAGTTGTCTTCATGAAAGTGTTGATCATCTATGGTGGCTCTGAGGGAATCCAGCTCCTCTCCCATGTTACTCCTGCTTTCAAAAGCAACAGGCTTCTCGGAGTGCTCTGTTTGGAGGAAAAGTGGATATGATCACAATCATGATGTATGTCTGCATTATTAGACATGAAAACCTTAATAATACAGGAAGTAGGAGTATCCCGATACAACTTTTTTACCTCCGGTACAATACCAATATTGTAGCCGTCAGTATTGTCCGATACTGATTGTCATCACAAACTTGTGCATGATAAGTTTTGCACTCAGCTGCAATGTCTTTTTCGGACTTTAAGGAAATACACTGCCACACGGCCGATACACTACTACTCCTTGGTATTTTGTTAGTACCTTAGCACACACTGTTGTTGTGACACACATGGGATCTTCATGCTAGATCTGGGTGCTCCTAGATAGAGGTTTTGGAGCAGTGTCTGGAATGGACTGCTTGTATCGGAGTGCTAATATCGGAGATTTTATATGCAGTTCGGTATAATCCGATAATTGATTTTTTTTGTTGATATCGGACCGATGTCTGATAGAAATATTGTATCAGTACACCCCTTAAAGGAGGATTTGAAAAACAAAAACTGGTAACACAATAATACAATACAATACAATAACCATAATTTCTAAATGGTAAATAGATAGTTTATTTAAATTAAATCATCATTTAAAAACCAATTATAAATGGCAGATAAATAGTTTATTAATGTAAGTTAATAGTTACTTTACCATTAATGAAATTATTATTAATAATTTTCATGAATTATTAATAGACTTCTTATTAAAGGGTTATATAGGGTTTAAATATTGGTTTCAAAACATCTAGATTAAAATGTGTGTCAGAAGAACTTTGTAAATGATTAATATTTGGTTTATAAACCATCTATAAACATTACTTAGATGGTTATTGTAAAGTGAGGGTTAGGTTTTTAAAACTGTAAAATTTGCAATTTATTAATGGCCTTTATGCTATTTATATATGATGATTAAACATTAATAAACTATCTGCTTACTATTTATAAATGGTCTATTTACCATTTATAAGTTATGGTTGTTGTAAAGTGTTACCCAAAAACTTTATTTTATACAGGCACGTCATTGAAAGAGCCTGGTACATCTACAGTTAAAAGCCAAGGGTTTTAGTTAAGCTGAATTCCAATGACATAACAGAGAGAGGGACGCTGGACCTCAACAGCAAATCCACCATAAATTATTGTGTCACTCCAGGGCTCAAAGAAACAGTCGTACCAAGAGACACTGGTGGAGAGCCAAAAGAGTAAGTGGAGAGGTTTAAGAATGAGACTTTAAACAGTAAATGTGCATTTTGCTGACTCACAAAGGGTCCAGAAAGAACATAAAAGCAGCAAAATCCTTAAATCATCTTGGCCAATACATAATCTTAAAAAACAACAATCTTGGTTACAAACAATCATGCTGAAAATGAAAAAAAAATCGCTCATTCCTGATGCCAGACTAAAACTGTTGCTTTAGTTAAAGGCTTTCATCAACAGCAGAAAAGAAGGGAAAAGTAAACCAGGCCGCCGTCAGCCACTGTTCAAAACCCGCCGGCATTCTCTCAGCTGAGTTGCACGTGTCGAGCTGGCTATGAGCGATAGATTCCTTCACCATGACAGAGTGAGGTTCAAAGAGGGAGACGGGGGGGTGTGAACAGCATGTTTCATTGAAGGAGAGGAAAAGAAAATAATGTAAAGGTTAAGGTTAAAGCAGGTTTAATTACACATGAGACTGTCCATGTCCACATGGATGTTTCTGATAAGACTTCAGGCCACAGGTAGGTCAGGGGGGAAACAAACCAGGTAGGATTTCGGTCCTCTGCACATCTTGTTTTGGACTGCAGCTGCAGTATAATCTGAGCAGTGCACCACTTCAAATTGAAACCAAGCGATGGACCCCTTTCAAGAAAAATCTTCAACAAATTAATGCCAAACACAACCATAATTGTGTCATCTCAAAAATATTCCAGGCAAGTTTGATAAATCGCAGGAATTTTCACAGGATCTCTGCTGTCTTTTGAGCGTTAAACATCTGAGGGCTCAGTACATGCACACGGACCGTTGTGTGGTACAGATTTGCAGTGATGCATGGCCACATGTGATACTATGTAAGGCAGATTGCTTGCAGTAGTTCCTACAATATGTAAGACAGGGGAAGATAGATTCAAGCAATCGCTGGCCAAATCTTCACATACCAACAGCAGGAGTTGACAACAAATCATATAAACACACAAACATAATGCTGAAACGGCACAACCGGAGATTTCTTACCATTTACTTTTAAAAATGTGATCTGTATGATCTCTATACTGATGGGAAAACAGGGCTGGGCGATATGGCCTCAAATAAAAATCACGATATATTGAGTAGTTCACTTCGATAATGATAAATGGACGATAACTACTCCACAAGCTGCTAACTCCCTCCCACATTAACTTCGTCTACTTCAGCTGCTACAACTTTTGAACCGTCCTCCATCTCCTCACCTGTCTTTCCCTCTTTGTTACGGACTGGATGAGGTGGAGTCACGTCTAGGACAGCGTCTTAAAAGGACATGAGACCATCGCCTACCTACACAAACCAACGTTTACTTATTATTTATTAATTTTTTGAATATATTGACATGGGCAAAATGATGTTGGTTATTGTAAATTTCGATATCAGTAAAATTTATTGCCCAGCCCTATGGCAAAGTAATAATCAAGAGTTTGATACATTTTTATGATAATGTGAACCCTACTCATTGTTTTCCTCTCAGTTGCGGACAAATGCACTCATTGAAAAATGAAGGATTTATCAGCACATACATTAAACATGAAATGACATTCAACAGCGTACATGAGCTACGCATAGTTTGGAGTCCATCATCCTAAACAACCTCCTCAACTTCAGCTAACCCGATTATAGTGAGGAGTTCCATTGTCTTCTTCACACTCAATCTTTCCAGACAGCCACACACAGAGAGAGATTGTGTGTAACTGTTAGGTCAGAGAAAAGCAGAAAAAGAGAATGGAGCTCTCCGAGATTATTCAAGCGCTGCCCCCAGCGGGCGCGCGAGGTGGAGCGTGACTCCCTGGCACAATGGCACATAGCTCTTGCTGCCGTGACGCCCAGCCCCATGCCAGCGCCAACATTCGAGTCAGCGCCAAGCCCGTCCGTGTCCGTGCACACGGCCCGAGCAGCTGGGCCAGAACAGAGCTTTGTATTTTCCAGGAAAATCTCTCTGAGGCCAATCCCACTACACTAAACCCCTCAAACAGACTCATCACTGCAGACAGTCTGACATCAAAGGGATTATCTAAGCACAGAAGAGTATCTACATCTTCTGAAATTGGTGTTGAGTCTTAGTGCAAGCGAGTGTAAGATTAAAAAAGAAGGGAAAAGGAGGAGAACGTGAAAATGTGGTCTCTGTTATAATAGCCTTTGAATCAGTGCAGATTAGCCATACACAACCTTTCCCAAATCTCCTTAGGTTCAAATCCGCCTCTCACTAGGTAGTGAGCTGCTACTTACACCATGAGTAGACAGGGGTGACTGCCCTGACCTGCCGGCACACATCTCCATCTCTGGATTTTACATATTGGACTTGATTACCAAACATCAAAACGTGTTGGATTAAATTCCTACACTAGAAAAACTTTCATAAGCTTGAACCCATAAAGCTGAGCTCCAGCGGCTCCTCTTTACAGAGAACAATAAAACCAGCCCTGCATGGCATGTGTGTGAGCATTTATAAATGCTGTAATTTGGTTGGCTGAAGTATGCACAAAGCTGAAACAGACTCACACCACACTCACTTTTCTGCTCCAGCGCCTCTCTGACTTGTGAACTTAGAAAAATCTTTCATCATGGTGCCAAAAGCTAATCAAACACAACAGCTTTTATAAGCAATGTTTATCCATCACTCGATAAAAGTGAAATTGCACACTGAGTACTCCATAGATGAACGCTCACAAGCATATTTCATGATCTCACTTGGGTTAGAAACTGTTAACACCTGCAGATTTTGTCTACATTTACTCATAAACATTTAGGGTTTAAGTGTTTGTATCTGCTTTTTTTCAATACATGTCCATCCAGCCCGTCTGAAGAGATCTCATTGAGATTTCCCTCTACTTCAAAGAGTTGCCCTTTAACTCTCCTTCAGCTTTCTGTCAAAAGTATCAATGCCAAGAGCCCAAACAATGAGAAACACACATCTATGATTGAACTAATTAACATTCTTTTACAATAGCCTGCTGAGAGTCAAAGCGTGTGATTCCCTGGGTGCCAATTAAACAGACTGTATACCTTACAGTGAGTATAGGTAATGCCTCGGCTCTATACAAGGTCAGACACTCTGGTTACCGCAGTTCAACCAAAGAGGGTAAAAATGTTGAAACTCCCGCAGACAGAGGCACAATTAAGTGCAATTCTGTGGCTAGACAGAGAGCAGCAAGACAGCTAATTGTTGCCGCTGAAGACGGCTTTTCAAAGTGAAGTGGCACGGCTTTTGACCTCATTGGAAGACGGTAGGCTTTCGTGCACTTACAGTTGTTATTTTGAGTTCAGAGACATGCTAGAGACAGCATGGTGGTCAGCTGCAGAATGTGTTTGGAGTAGCAGACCTCCTATGGAGAGACAAAACACTACTTATGGATCTGGATGCCTAATGATGGGAAGAGGCCTGCAGTGTTTTCCTTTGTCTGGATCAAACTGAGAGTTTCCCATCATCAGGTTTAAAGAAATTCACCCTACAGTTTCTGTGTTATAAACCTTTCTCTGTTTTCACGAGAGGGTGTAATGTTACAGCATAAAGTTGGAGTGGTAAGCTTCTGAAAACCACAGCATCATAAAGCCAACAATTAACATAGCTCTGTCTGTGGAGTCTAATGAGAACATGAAGACGTGCACGTGAAGGAAAACTCTGCTTAATTACATCTTTGATCTATTTAATTAGTTTTGGCCACCGTTCTCCTTTTTAATGATAATGTTGCACTCACAAACTTCTGGGAACAGAAATGCTGACAAACACACTTTGTTAAGACAGTGTTGTTAAAAAATGAGAGAAACTGTAAGTACAAAGTTGAATCCCCAGTTTAATAGAATTCACCCAGCAGGAACTCACAATTGTAAAACTACAGATGTGCAAATTTAGTTGACTAAACGGTAACTAAACATAGTAACTCTTGATAGCCAGCACCAAAATTAATAGTCTGTAAAACAAATTGTTCATTTTTTTTTTTAAATTGTAGGCCTGAAATGCCAGCCACTACCACCTGCTGCTAGCTTGGGCTTTAGCTTTTGTTAATGGCTCCTGCTGTAATGGCATTACGCTACACTGCACAATGTAAACAAGCACAGGTAACAGATGGTGTCTTATAGTGGGGTGCCGTTTGGCAGTATTTTGAAACAGAAAACCGGAGAAAAAGTTGTATGTAAGCTGTTTTTGGGTAAACTACATATTATTACTAAACTGATGAAATGGATAACCAGCACAGGCATGTGGACAATAGCCTGAAAGGAGGACTGAAAGTTGGTGGTGCAAGCTCTGCTCACATTAACCACACTCACTAAATCAACATTCTGGATTAACCGCCTCAAATAATCTGTGTTTAATTCTGTCTGTTTTCTGAGAGACCGTGAAACAGAAACGAAAAGAAAACAAGTCAAAACAGAGAAGTTATTCCTCTTTCCCTATCCCTCGTTTTTTTCAGCCCAACTATCAACTAATGAGTACAGTATTGCCTGAGGTTAAAAATAAGCCTCCTTGCAGCTGCTAAGTGTCTGCCCACTGGTGAATCAATATGTTCAAGCCAATTGACCAAGATAAACTGAAGTAAAAATTGACTTGCTGATTGATTGACTGATGAATTCATTGATTGGCTGTCAATAAAACCGTGAAGCTTATGAGTCTACGGGGTTAATACACCTCCCATAAATCAATATGTTATCTTCGGCCTCAACAAAAAAAGGGTCTACACTTCAGAGTGCTGTCCGGCCTTCAGGGTGATAAACAGCCTGAGCCATGGGTGATGACACTGATGTTTCACCCGCCAGCTTTCAGCACTGTCTCTCCCCGGTCAACCTCAGTGGGACACTGTCGCTCACCTGTCACCCCCTCTCACCTCTTCTGGTCACCCAAGCCACCATGCAGTTAGTCACTGTCACTCAACTTGCCCTAACTGTTCCAATCAGCCCCCATTTGTAAAGAATGCCCAGACAGTGCACAGTGGCAAAAAATAGCATCAGCTGGAATCTGTCACGGGAACTCCCGAGACAACACATCACAACACGTTGGGTCCAGTGCAGCTGAGGCATCCGGGCAGGCCGACACATGGCAGCTATTAAAGTTATGGACGATCTGTAGCTGCCCAGTCCTGTCCAGAGTATCTGTTATCCTAAAATCAGATGACAATGAAAGCACTGGAATATATTATTAGCTGCTTGCACTATGCATCAGCCTGTGTTTTGAACAGAGAGGAAATGATAGGATAAGGCATTATGCCTTAAGGTTAAACTTATCAACATGACAGTAAATGCCTAGCAAACCATATGTTGAACTCGTTGGACAATTGAAACATTGTTCATTGGTGTTACTATGATGGTTTCCAAACCAAAGGAAATTATTTGTAGGCTTTGAAGGCCAATAGCAAGGCAGTGAGTAAGAATGCTTCTGTAGAGGAGCAGGTGTAAAAGAAGAAAGGCAGGCAGTGAGAGTTTGGGAAAAAGTCTGGGGCCTCTGCCAAGCTCTGCGGCAGAATCAACAGGCACATGCAGAGCAGGCCGGGACTGCTCAGACCCATAAAGAAAGGAGCTCCTTTCTCCATTCCCCCTGCACTGCTTGCTCAGCAATTCCCAATTCTCAATGGCACACCTTGTCTGAGAGAGCTGACATGTACTCCCGATGGATGCAAACGCACTCACAAGTAGACGCACTCGCAAGTAGACCTTATCAATACATGCGCACAAAAGATCCAAAGCAAACTTTCCCCCCCAAGTAACAATAGGTACTTCCTGGAAGGGGGGAGGTTCAGTCAGCCCAGAGGGCATAAGGGCACAGGGCAAGTCTGAACCCTTTGGAGCCATATGACATTAGAAGCTCTTCACAAACTAAAGCCAAAGGTGACAGAGGTTGTCTTAGTGATCGGTGCCAGTCCATCACACCCAAGCTGGCCACCTTTCCCGACCCTTGTCAAGAGCTGCAGTTAAGAGGAACACAAAGAGCTTGATGCACGCAACAGCTCCAACTGAGGGCCAGGAAACAAGCCAGCAATCCCTGTAGCCACGCACCTCTAGAAGTGAAAAACTCAAGGTCACATCCACCCGTCCAGTGAGTGACTCCAAACAAAGAGGGAAGTGAGGTCACAATCAACAAGTGCTTCCATTCACATACATGAAAGCGCAAAGGGAGAGCGGGCAGTGATTCAAGTCGGCTAGTTCAAACCCCAGGCGGGGGAGGGCAGTTTTTCCATGTAAATGAACCCATTGATCAAAAACCTGAGGCTAGCATTTAAACTACCATGTATACACAGTGGGCACCGAGGGGGGAATCCTATACAATGAATGTGCTGAGGGTCAGGGGGCACTGATGCCGTGGGTGCCAAGTACTGCCACATCAAAGCCTGTCACTTTGATGTCCCCCTCCCCTCAGCCGGCTCTTAAGAAATTGGATGAAACACTCGTGAGCCGACACTGGAACATGGTGTCTGAATTTACAGCTGGTGATGTTTGCTGTCAAGCTAACTGTATTCGATTCACTGTTTCTAATGCAGACAAAATATGACACCCCACTGCTTGGGAAATGCAGCCAATGACTGTGAGAAAGAGACCCCGCTCTGCCCCCCCTTTCTCTGAGTCTTCTGCTCATCTTTGCTTGGACAGAAAGTGAGAGAAGAGTCTGCCCCTATCTGTAGCCACCCTCATCATTGTGGCTATCTCTAACCAAGGACGACGCAGGGATTCACATGCGAGCTTGGAGACAGATACCCCGTAGAATGTGTCATTAAAGGTCGGAGCATTGTTGTGATCTGAGCCTAGTAAGCTCCTTTCCCAGAGGCTTTTAAAAGCCAGAACCAGGCACAACAAGACACTTTGTGACTTTAAAAACATTAATCACCCACTCAACAGCTACCTTGGTATTCCCAACAACAGGGAAGCCACCCAGGTTGGCTGACACAGACTGAAGACTGTTACTGCTGGAAAAGTGTCCACCTTTAAGACCAAATTTCATGATTGTTTTGTTCAGATTTTTTGATTTTGTCCTACATTTTAGATTCACACTTAGCGTAGTCCTTCTTTTGAATGTTGTACAACACATATAAAGTTTAAATCTATTCAAAAGAGCACAGAGTGATGTGGTGGTGCTTTGTCAACAACTCATGAACACACACAGCGAAGAAAAGTAGCTGAGGACAGGTATATAGCCATGCCATGACTGCTGAAATAACAAAACATCATTCTCCATCGAGGTAACACTTGAAAAGCCCTTATCATTACGCCCATATTCCTGACACTTTACAAGCAGTGGAAGCAAATGTAGGAAAAAGTCAAGTATTTGTAAGTGTCTGAGATGACAGGGGGATAAAAAAACTAAGTTCATCCTTAATTCAGCTGGAAACATTGCCATCCTCTCCTTTCAACACATTTTCACAAAGATGTGCAGTGACAGACAGAACAAACTCTGGAAACTCTTAAAGCCTGAAAAGGTACAGAAGTCCCCCTTGTTGTTCTGGGGCTGTCTGCAGCACACACAAGGCACGACTATAAGGGAGGGAACAGCTTATCTCACCAGAGGTATCTTTCTGCTGATACACATTTTGTTTCTTGGAGGTCCGCTTGATAAAACACAGTTTGTTTCATCTCTGTTGGTTTCAAAAAGATGTTTTCTTTTATGGAAGAAAAAGAGACGGAGCAAAACAAGCGAGCAGGTTTCGCAGAATAATGTCTTTGCAGAGAAAATAAGATTAGCCTGGTTAGCAGATATGAGACATTGTTGGCCATTTCCATGTGTTTGAACCTACAAAGATAAAGAGTATGTTTAAGATCTGCTGGGCCTCTAAAGCCTCAAACCTTTTCAAAGTCCAAAAACCTTGCAACCCCCTTTCCACCCCCCCAATTTGATTTAAGACAAGAGAAAAGGCCTGAGACGACTGACCCAGAACTCTTTTATAGATCCTCCAAAAGGGGAGATATGGGGAAAGGAATCTGCCCCCTGCTAACACTGCTGCTTCCCAAGTCTATCGTTTATGTGATGAGATAAATCAGAAACTCCAGTGTCTTTCTTGCTATGAATCAGTTGACTGTAAAGAGTTCTACTGAATACAGATACATGCAAAGCCATCATAAAGATAAAAGATTTTAAGTTTCTTTTCTGTTAACCCTCAAGTTACCAGTGACTACAGGGTCTGGCTAAATAGAAAGCATCCTAATAAAACAAACATGTTACGCAAGGCCTAATACTTCCATCTGATTGGCCAATCACAAAAAGATGCTACTCCCTAGTAGCAAACCATTGTCATATCAAACCTTGTGTAAATTCATTTCCCCATAATAACCTGCTGTTTCTCAACTCTCAGAGATCTTTTAAAAGTTCAAAGGTCAACAGTTTTTTTAAAATGCTCCTGAGTTTCTTGCGATGTTTCTCCTCCTGGGATGAGGCTGTTTTCAGATCAGACACGTGCAGCATTTACATGGGCACAAATAATCGGAATATGGCCCGATCTGAAATAAAACATCTCAAGTAAACATATCGATCAGAAGATTTTGATCCAATTTGGCTCAATCTGAAGGAAATTGTATTCCAATTAAGAGTGACGGTAAATGCCAATCATTATTCCAAACTGCGTCCATGTAAACACTTATTCAGATTGTGACTCTTGGTTGGAGCAAAACTAACCTGACTGCATATGTGTTCCCTACGTCAATGTAATACATTTCAAGAAATTTTGCACATGTAACCATAGCTACTGATTAAATCTAATCAGGATCATAAGATTTCAGGGTTCACATGGCTGGGTATCAAAGATTTTGATGCTACAGCTTCAAGGAGTAATTGTACAATCCAAAGCCAAAAGCGACCACTATGAGTGTTTTTTTTTTTTTCTTTTTGACCAGAACAACACCGGCCAAGCCAGTGTTTATGCCTAACCTGCTCATGGCAGCATATACAGCACTCCTTCCCATAAAAAGTCTTGGTTCCACACGGCCTTCAAAGAGCCCAGTTATCGCTGCATCTGAAGAGGGGCCTATCTGATAAAGATGAGGAGCCACAGCCAGGGACACCTCACAGTTCTATACCGGCCTTGAGACTCTTTTAAAGCTGCTGCTCATTGTTTACATCTTGTCCTTTGATGAGTGCCAATGGTCGTTTCGACCCTGTACTACAACTGCTTAACACTGATTATAATTTTAACAATGAATATGAAGGTTCAAAGCAGAGGTTGTGGGATGGAAGCAACCGGTGAAGACATACGTAGATGATAGGGTAATGACAAAAGAGATATTTCAACCACATCTTTTCCTTACTGACTCAAATGTTAGATGTAAGAATTGGGTGGCACGCAAAACAAGGTGATAAAAAATCATATGAAAAATCAGTTAAAAAAAAACCACTGCAAACTATGACAATCGTTTCACTGCCACAAAGTTGTTTTATGCTTTTGTGCAATTAATTTTGCCCCAGAAATGACTTCAGTATTTTGGAGAACTAATCAGCTCTTCCACTGGCATATTTGCCGATACCAGATAACTATGTTGGTATCCATGCAAGTACTAGGTTTGGACCAAATCTAGATGACAATGGATGTTTCTAGGATGTCAGAAGTCAGGGGTCATTCGCCAAGTTTTCACCAAACACCACTCCTATAGGGAGAGAGTGTTTAAATGAGCCTCAGAGTGGGGGCTGAGAGACCCTCCAGATTTCTCAGTCACTGTTTACCACACACAGACTGAGCGATTGAAAAGGACAAAGCATATTAAGGGGGTATTGGCCTGGCCCTTCAGGTCAGCCCTAGTTCTTTAAACCACCGCCACCAACAATGGCCACCAACTGGCGACAAAGGCTGGGTTCAGACAACAAGCAAATCAAGCAGTCTACATATAAAAGATTTATTGCATCGAGCTACAAAGGCCGCCCATGGAGTACCCTGCGACGAGGACTCTGAGGCCCTTCATCGTTGGTGAACTCTACTCAGTTATCCCGCTTCTTCTCTTGAGGGCCTCTCCACCACCAAAAAGGATCAACCATAAAAATTCTAATGAAATCAGGGGAAATTATAAGCAACCTCCCAAGCAGAAAATGTCTCCATTCCTTTTCAATGCAACTGCAAACTACAAAAGTAATTATTCCTTTTTTTTCTGAGCTCCTGCCACAGATTGAGGAGACACTCCGGCAGAAAATGAAAGAAAATGCTGGAATCCAGACAATGCACGAACGTGTTTTCCATAATTAGGTTGAAGATTTTTCTGCAACACCCCTTAATCAAGGCAGTTTTAGTAGCTTACAAGCCAAAGATCGTGACTGAGTATAATTTATATTTCAAGCCAGGGTTTATTGCTATGGTTCAGAGTGTGAAGGCAGGTCATCAGAAGGTAAGTGTTTGTGGGCAAAAGTCAGACAGACGGTGGTTGAAGGCAGTGAAGGCAGTCTGTTACCTGAGGCAGCACAGGGCTTTGGGTTGTTGTCAGTGTTTGTGATGTTCTTCGTCCTCTCGTGTCGATAGACAAGATGAGGTTTGTTGTGCTCTTCGTCGTATTCCTCCCCAGCAGCATTTAAAAGAGGCTCCAAGAAGTATTCACCATACTGAGTGGTAAAAGTCCCAATCTAGAGAGAAAAAAAAGAGATGTCATTGATGGCTTAGATATGGAGAATGTTTGTGAGTAGTTTTTACTCACAGATTAGGGCATTGTTTAAACTGGCTGTGGTCTAACAACAGTCATACAGTCATACTGTACACACGCTCATTATTCAACACTTAATGACGGGCTTAGTTGACAACTCCCCATGTAAAAAAAAAACATGCTAACTAAGAAAGGTTGGAAATAAAAGCTGCTGAAACTGTAACTCTGAATTATCTCAAGATATCTAAGACATTTACAAAGATAGGTCTTTATAAGTTCCCCACTCATTTTCTCCTTCGTGCCGTGTGCTCAATCTAACAGTGGAAATGCACTTCCCCTCACAAACTGACACTGGAAGGAGTGACATCATCATACATGGACAGAGCTGCTGACAGAGGAATGCTAATATTGATTTGGCAGCTGAGTCCCTCACAAAGCTTCTTAGCTCACCCAGCCATGAGGCACAATGGTGTTTGTATGGTAATTTCATGCGCACACTTAAACAGGATATTGGACGCTGGAATGTTATCTTAAAGGCGTGATTATTCCACAGCTATTCCACAGGTGATGGACGTTTGACAATGGAAAACACACAGATCGGATATGGAAAACGTGTTCAAACTGTGTCTACTTTTCCTCTCAACCTTTCAAAGGCTGAAGGATTACTTGGCTTGCAAAACTTCCTCGAAAGTGCTACAGGAGTTGAGTGCTACATGTGTTCATCGCTGCGCAGTAATGCTTGTGAAAACATGACAGAGAAACAACCACTACAATGGACCTCAGAGGCTCAATCTGTCTCTTTGACCTGTGCCTTGAATACTCTTCTGCAATATGACTATTTCTTAAGTTCTGAAAATACTGCACGTTGACATTACCTGCTTAATTCAACACATGAATTTGAGTAGAATGAGGCTGCAGTGGCAGAAGAGTATTTCTAAGGGCTGTCAAATAATTCAATTAATCCCATTTTAATTGCATGTTTAAAATGACATTATTTTACACTTCAAAACTCCAACTGACATAGGTCTGATTAGCTGCACCTATAAAGCTAGCTCTCAGGTGGTATCTCAAACTTAGACGACTTTGGTGACATTTCTGTTCTATTTGACCCAAAGTGTACATCCTTTTGACATGTCTATTGAGCTATAAGGGAGTTTTGGAGCCATTTAAAGGCACAGCAGTGTCATATTTTTGCTGTATAGTGACAGATCCTGTAGAGAGTTTGTCTAACAGCTGAACTACAGTGTGCCATAAGTGACAATAGCATTGTCGACAAAAATGATCACGCTAATTTCAGACTTTGATTGCGTGATGATCGACACACTGACTGTAACATTTTTACAATTCCATCAAAAGTTCTGTCCCACCAAGAGTTACTTCATTCAGTGATTCTTTACTTCCTTTTCTCGGTTTTAATTTTAACAATTGCAACAGATTAGAGATGCATAATGTAGGATTTTTGCCAATATCCAAACTTTATCTCCTGCTCTCTTTTCCATGGTCTGATTTTTTACTGCTGCACTCGCTCTTTTTACCACTTCACTTACAGAATAGCATGTCTCAACTGGACTGTATAGTTCTATAGCATTTTTATTTTCTGCTCTCAATCCTAATGCAAACAAAGCTTAGCATGTTGTCCTCGAAGGACTCTATGACCTTCCTTTTGTGTCATTTTTTTTTCTAACACATGACACATTTGTTAAATGTTTCCATTCACATGATTTCAGGCATTTCAGTATGAGATAGCTGCATGTCTACCAGAACTTCTGTTGTCGTGATTAAATGATTTACACAATGTCACAACAGGTAGATGTTTACCTGTGTCTTGTAAATCACTATCTATGGGGAGTTAACTTTAATTGGATGATTACAGTTGAGCCTTTCTGAAGTTCTCATGTGGTGTTAACAGGAGGCTGAACAGACAAATGCTCTGTTTAGTCAGTGGAGGGGGCAGAGTTTCAGGGTTTCCCAGCATTAGCTCAGCAGCAAATCTGGCAAAAGTTTGGACAGACACAAAAGTTACTGTTCAGTACTGGGTGCTGAACTGGACCTTACAACTGAGGGGCTCCTTTTATGAAGCTGGGTAACTAACATGACATGGATGGAATGACTATTGGCAAACATCTGTTTTATTAAATCCCACAAAGACACTTTTGAAACCCTGTTGGTGCTGAGTCATGATAAAGTAACGCACTGTCACAGTCAATCTGAAAGTTGAATAGGACATAAAGGTGTCATGGGCCTGATCTTTACACAGAGGTACAGACCTTAGTGCTGGAATAAAGATCATTTCTCAGGACAGGCTGACTCACCACACACTTCCATTATGTGAGTGAACTGAGACAGCAAGCTCCTTCAGGAACTAACATTTCCCACGCTGTGAGCAATCCTTTAGTCCCAAACAACCTTTATTGGCAGTTGTGTCCTCTTCACAGTGTTTTTCACTCTTTTTCTGCCCATCACAGCTCACTTTGAAAAGGCCAAAAGCTCCTCACCCCCGCCTCCCTGATTCCCCCCTGGGGACAGCTTTGAGCAACTCTGGACCAAAGGGGAACCTGCATTTCTTTTTAGAGTGACCCCTTTGTTTTAGGGCTTAATTATTCCTTAATGACCTCATCCCAACAAAATGTGTCTGGCCATTAAGCCCCTGTGATCAGATATGGACACATTTATGACCAAATAGCCACTGGTGCTGTTCCTATTTTCCTGTCATTCTCAATGAGTGATGACGCAGATAAGCAGCAGAGATTGCTTGGAAAAGGATGCGAACATGTTGGAGTAAGTGAGTCATACATCACAGTTGGTCAGTAAGGCAATTAAGTACTTATTATCCTAATAATTCCAGCATACCTTCTGTCTAAAATTGGTTTACAAACACTGTTAGATTAAGCATCAACTTAACCTCACTGACAAGATAAGTATACTGACTTCAGACAAATGATAAAACATGATATTTTTTTATCATAACAGAGTACAATCCCTTCAAACACCGTAAATGTTCTAGTTTAGAGCCTCAAAGTTAAGCTGATACCCTGTCTGAAACATGCTATCCTGGCACTGTACACTGTGTACCTATCTAAAATAAGGATTATGTCACCGATAGGGGAGTTTGACTTCAAGGCTATGGTACTCCAGTCTATGTCCATTTGGCCAGCCAAACTCCCCCACCACACAAACCCAAGCCAGATTCCGGCTGGCGCGACTGAGGTCAACCCCCTGCCCCTGGACCAGTGCCCTTATGTGACCCATGAAGTCATCCCCTTCAACACCTATCAGATTCTCTCACTCAGGAGTCAGCAGACAAAAGGACCAAGGCATCAGGATCCTCATGTTGTATATGGTACAATGAGGTTGTAAAGTCATTATCATGCTGTAACTCCATTATGATCTTGTGAGACCAAACAGATTTAATGACGGGCAATCAGAACCAACAGCTGCTCTACACTGAATGATAAGATCTGTCATCTGGGACTACCACTTATGGAAAACTCCCAATCACAAGCTCACAGCTTGTGCTGTACCAACAACAATCGAAGTGAGGATTATGATTTCTAATTATAAAGAACAAAAACAAGTGGAGAGTCAAGTTACTGCAGTTCGAGTTGTCAGAACAGAGGAATCTTTGGCATGTATGAATGTTAAATTTCTCTAACTATCAATCAGTCGTGGGTTACCTGGCTACTGATACCTGATTTTGATTTTAAGAATATGTATTTGTCAGGGTATTCAGATGTAACAGTAATAGACTGATTGAATAGCTATCTGATCACTCATCTCAGCCTTTTTGCTGTTGATCGCCTAATCCATCAGTTGCAACAGGTTTGCAGTCTGCTGCAATTGCACTTTTAGGGATAAGATGGCATTAATTGTGTCAACATGATGACAGCTTGCGCAACTTGGCAGCTGCGTAGAAATTTGTACAAGTGTTGAAACTGACAGCAAAATAGCTATTTGCAATTTTTGTGAAGCACAACAGCAAGAGGGAGAAAACAACAGCCCTTTAACACGACTGGTTTAATTGTGCCTCTCAAGAACCTTCATACTGACTATGGTAAGAGTGTTTCTGGAAAACTGTCAGTGCTAGCAAAAACCTGTCAGAAACCTCCTTCTGTGAGTGTACAAACCTAAGGAATATCACAGTGACCACCCAGAAAAGAGCTCAACAAGAAAAGCCTCAACTGAATTCACTCCACTCGATCCTCAGCCTTTCAGCATGGTGGGAGATGTGGGCTTCTGCAAGCTAATGATGTACTTGGAGCTTCACTATGCTGTGCCTAGCTGGCAGGACTTCTCAGATGTAGCCTTAACCGAACTGCAAAGCTTCATCTTTATTCACACTGAGCAGCTCTCCTTACAAATGCTGTTCATTGTAGCTTTACCTTGGACATCTGGATATCAACTACAAGTCCTGTCACTGTCTGCATGTTAAGTGGACTGACAAGATGTAATCTACAAGAAGTTACATTTGGGATTTTCATCACTGAATGCTTACAGTTGATAAAGAATAACTGTTATATATCTTTTTCTAAATAGACAGATTCTAGAAAAGGAGAGACGTGGTGCTCTTTACGATAAAAACAAAATTGACTGCACTAGTATCAATATCTGTCAAAATGAGTTTGAAGATATCAGCAAGAATCTGATATTATGCCGTCTTTAGCATTTAGCTTTCCAACACATTTACAGATATTTCTTTAGCGGAGATGTGATTGGTCAGCTGCTAAGATGATAAATCAATTACCAAAACAGATTTGGTAAATGATTACCTCATTATTTGGCCTGTCAACTCTTGTAAAAGTTGACTTTTTCTTGACTGTCTAATTGCAGCTATGATGACAACGAAACTCTTGCACATGCAAGAGGAAAAATCAGTTTCGTCTGTCTCCAGTGGACACACAGCACCTATCTTGCTCAAGAGCACTTCCACAGAATGGCTACTTATTGCTTCTTCAGCTTTTCCCTCTGACCCTCACACCACCCATGATGCCAATTCTGCACCATGCAAGAACAGCATCACCCCACACAGGCACTGAGATGCAGCTCTACACGCTCTCCTCCACAGTGACATGAGTCCACTAACACTTGCTCTTGTTACACTCCTGCACACTTCACTAAAGCTGTGGGTTATGGGGGACATGCATGGATGGAATCCGTTGAAATGGGAGAAAGCTGTGGAAGCCTGTCATCATCGCTTGATTAAAGGGTCTAAAAAAAAAACTTTAGGGGCAGCGAAAAGTCAATACTCACAAGGCCAGTGCACAGGCTGAAGACGGCAGGGTACTCCGTCTTGGCGTTGACGTGTCCACGGAAAAAGCAGTGGCGCATATCGGTCGGGTCATGGAAGTGGGAGTCCGTGTCGTTGCCCTGTTCCAATCCCAAGTGTGTCACTGTGTAAGAGGGGGCGATGAAGTCGGAGTGTGCGCTCAGATTCAGATGAAAGCGTTCCCCGAATGCATCAATCCTGTAGTGAACCCGTAAGCCCGACAGGTCATCATTTAAGCTTCTCCGTCTCCTTCTGTAGTGCAATTTGTGGGGGAATGATTCTCCGAAGTCATTGACACGGAGCGGGGTGATGATTTCATACGATGACAGCTGCTTGATGAAACTTTCTGCAAAAAAGTAAGAGAAATTTCTGACTCGGAAATTTAAAGTAGAGGTCATATACATGCAGCTGCAACTTGACAATCACTGCAGTTCACTGAGCATCTATCTAAAACACCACACACTATGTTTATTACACGTCCTGCAACCGTTCTCATACATCAAAACACTACCTTGTTTCGGATGCAATCGGTGTTGCAAAGTGTCCCGGACAAGTGCTGACAGATGACACATTAGTCCAACCAGCCAGATTGCAAACTGCATGATTTCCTCCGCGAAGAAACCCCGGCGGTCGTCTCCAAGGCAGTACCCTCCGTCTCTCCCCGAACGGCTCCCCCTCTCCCCTCTCTCCTTCTCCGCGGCTTGTCAGCAACAGGTCGTGGGATCCGCGGAGGCTCTCTGCAGCGCAAGTCTTGCAAAGTGCACTGGCTTCATCGCATTGCTAAACATGCATCCACTACCCCTCTATAAACGCGAACTATCTATGACACATTCATCTCCCCCTGACCAAAATAAATGCTGCCTAATGTAAACTGCAGTCTTTACTGAAAGGAGGGATCAGTGCCAAGTACGCTTTCCCTTAGCCATCCCTAGAACACCCCGTGAACCCTGAGCACTCACCAACTGCACAGCAACGCCCCTATAGGCTCCAGAGCCAATGGTGAGTGCGCCTCGACCACCACACATGGGGCTGTCCTGAGTGCTGCAGTGTCAAAGAAGCATGCTAACAACACTGAGTTAAAAGCAACAAAAAAAATCTGCTTTGTTTGTCATCCAAAAATATCACTGCCACCCTGAAAATGGGAAACTTCTACTGAAAGAAATGAAAGCTAAACCATGTCTGAAACAGCCTGAATTTATTTCACAATAATAAAATAAAATCAGACTAATACCACAACATCATGGAGAAAAAAATGTTATCCAACCCAAGTCCAAATTAAGTCTTGGCCAGAAAAGCATAGCTTCTAGGATAAATACAGGGATGCTAAGGTTAGCATATCGCTAGGCAATGTTGAATAATTTATTAAAGCCTCTGTAATTCCTAAAGAGAAGTTTAATTTAAGCAAACAATAGATGGGATTTTGTGCTACATCATTGCAGGTATGTGTGCGCAGCCTTGGGGCAAAAAGCGGGACATTTTTTATTTGTTTACTAGACAATGACAAGGAGCTATAAACTGCACGAATTGGCAAAACAGACAATCTGCAAACATTACGATCCTGCTCCTGATATTAGAAACATCTAAAACAACATCACAACCAGGTAAATTGAGTGAAATTCATGGATATTTCAGCAAGTGTTTTTCTGGTTTTGATGCAGTAAAAGACAAAATTATTTAAGTAAAGTAGTTATTTCAAAGGTTGTTATATTTACAGCTACGCGTTGAGTTTTCTCCTCAGCTAGCAAACATTAAGAGCTAGCTCTGGCTCTGAGCTAGAAATGTGTTAACCTTCGTAGTATATATTTAAAATTGGTACATTTTTCTCACAATTGTTGTAGCAGCATATCATAACTAAGTTTTTTTTTTTACAAAGAATTGTTCAATTAAAGCGTTGGATACTACATTTTCCTGTCGCTAGTGCTAACTTCAAGCTAGCTGTTGATAGTCCTGGATGCTTGTGTATGCAGATATGGTTAGAAGGTTTGCAGGCACCTTCAGCCTTCCTGAAGCTACATAAATTACACTGATATCATACTGTAATGTAGGCTATCACTATTAGTTGAAACTGAAATTTAATCAAGGGGTTGATAATTTTGTCCAGGGCAGAATGTAATATCAGCTGCAACGTGTCCACACAATGGATGAAAAGATATGAATAGATTATAACAAAACTCTCTCAGGTTAGAGCCATGGTCAGGTCACTGTGATATTGTTGGAGATGTTTGTGGAAAGAAATTCAAAGGAGTTTAATCCCCACTTGATGTAATAAGCTGTTTTAGGAACATTTATTTTAGGGTTTAAGTATTTTAGGACACAAGATGCAACTACAGTATAAAAAGAGAGCTGAATATGTAGATTCATCAGCCCCTGGTTGCATTCATGTCCAATTTTCAATCTTACCAAAACAGCAAAGGGCTGTAAAAGGGTACATTTTATGAAAGAGATATCACCAGTGCAAGACAATGATTTCACCATGTATTCCTTTTTTTTCAGATTTCTCTCATCACTCAACCAAAAAGCAAGGACCACATTCATGTCAATATTTTACTTTTAATTTATGAGTTTATCAATTCTCTTTCAATATTACTCGTGGGAAAATACATGTCAATCAAAGTACAAAATAATCAACACACAGGGCATTGCGGGTCATTATTCACTGTCATCTACTGGAGGAAGTAGACTTCCTTGGCCACGATGTGGTCAGCTTCTCGTTAATCATTTAGGCATGTAAAGTCCTACACAAAGTTGATGGACATGTGAAAAGAGACTTGTTTTTCATGTCCTTTGAAGACTGATGTCACAGTATTGTTCGTAATTAGACTCGGTTGGCTCACCGGAAGCACTTTTGGATCCGGTAAGCTCTTTCTTTGATACAAAACATCTAGTCTCCACGTCATGGCTATTATTTCTTAAAAGTCTCTCTCACACTCATCCCTTTCTCTTACTCTCTCTTTGAACTTAGTGGTTTCATGGGTACATTTTTTCTTGAATTATAGTGTGGTCAGTGGTAAACCAAACACTGGTTTGGCTCAGAGACTTTTTCTGTTTATGAATATCACATATCGCACCAAAAAACAAAAACAAAAAAAAAAAAACACTAAAACCCTCAAGTCGTCTGTTTCTTACCATTTTTACACCATAAGTTAGTTCTCTCATAGGGACAAGTGCACAGCAGAATTTCTTGCGTGGGGTCAATTCTAAATGTTAATCGAACACAATATGCAAACTTTGATTATTTAATTTGCACAGACAACAACCATATTCACCCACTTTGACTTTTTATTGATTTAAAAATAAAAACATTAGTGAAAGACTCGACAGGATTCATTCAAATGCTCTGGAAGGGTCAGGGCTCAAGTCACGACTGGCTAAGCTGCATCTGGATTTGAAAGCTCAAGACGAATGTATTGTTATTTTGAGCAAAATCTCTCCACTGTAACTCCACTGATGCCTCCCTGATGTGTTATTCATTCAGTTCCTGAGCCTCCTGTGAGGCTATTCATTCCACCAAACCACTGTCACTGTTCTTGGACCATCAAGAGCCAAGTGAGAATGAGCAAAAAGAATTGAATATGACAATCTGAAACCAATTCAGGCAAAAAAGGAGTGTTATATTTGGCACAAGGTGCAAGCAATGACAGTGTGTGTAAAAGACATAGGGAAAAAAATCTCAAATGTCGTGTCATGAATTCTTGAGTAGATCATACATTAATGTACATTAAACCACCTGCTTTTTTTATCTAAGAAGTTACACATAACATTGGTGCAAAAAAGCATTTAAAAGATCAAAGTAATTTATATTTTCCCCACATGTTAAGATAATGATCAGCCCCAGATATGCAGCTTTCAAAACGATTGTAGGGTGGATCCTTCACTGCATGGCACATTTGTCCTGAAGCCTCAAGCTATCGCTCTAACTTCATTTCATCCACCAAGCCACTAACAAGCTTCCTTCACCAACAGCACATCTTAAAATCACCCATATGACTGCACTGGATAGCTAATTTAGCTGCCCATGTACTCATTAATCCCTCACAGATGCCACAGTTAATGGATGAAACCCACCCCTGCCAGATGCACAGCTAGGTCTTTGTATATAAGTTAGCTACTCTGCGAGAGCCTCTATACGTTTTTGAACCTTAAAATTTTAAGTGTGTTTCCAATGCAATGGGCCCAGTGGATCTTGATGAAAAGAATAAGTGGTTATGAGGAGCACTATTATTCATGAATCCCATTTCACTGGTGACATCAATGACTGAATTACACTGATTCAACGTCAGGATAATCAACACCAGAAATTCCTTCCCAGATTTCTCCCAAGTGCTCCAAGAATCATTACACAAAAGCACGGCCCAGTTATTCCTACTGTACAGACTAACTGAAAGCAGCAGTGGAAGCTCTTGCCTACTGACATGTCAGGTGATTTATCATCCACAATTTGACACCCTCCACCTCCCCTCACTTTACCCCAAACTTGAGCCAAGACCTGAGCTCAAACAGCTCCAGAGCCACTCTCTCTCTCTCTCTCATGGTTCAATGGGTTTGAACTCTGCAGTCAAAACAGCGATCTATACCTTTGATACACACCAGGGCTTTGCCTTTTAGTGTTACCGCCCCTGGTTTTCCTTAGAGTGTGTATATGCACATTTTAAGAGACTGTAACAATGGCACAGAGGATGACTTTTTACAGGTGGCTTACGAAGGAGTACAGTGCGCAGGCATTTGCTGGAATGTGTCTAAGAACATTTAATGAGATTATTCACAGGTCTTAAGCATATCTTCTTTAACCATAAGGATACAGATTGAAGGAATAGTATAAAATGTAGATCTTCACAACAACGGAGAAAAGAATGAGAAAGATAAGGGTTGTATACCCTACTTGCTAGTGGGACAAGGCAATCTTTCTTATTTCCCAGCCTTCAAAGAGTTATTCGCTTTATAGCATGTTGCATCACATCCAAATGTATCATGGACCATCCAGCACCTGGTGTGCACCAGCCTTTCAACTGAAAATCTTGTAAATCCATCTGCAGCACTTTAAAACACTCAGAGAGTCTCAGATACATAGAGAAAGTCCATTTGGGGAAAATCGATAGGCAACTACAACTTCAGTCTTCTAACCAAGAGGCTGGCTTTCAAGTCCTAATGTCAAGTTAGTGCTTTAACCTACTACATGATATTTGTTCTTACTTTAGCTGTCTGGTTGTTTGTGCCCTAAGTTAACCAGCCAAAATGTTATACACTTTGTTGACAAATGTTTTTGGTTGGCGACAGTCCAGGTTGAGTCGAGGTACAAAGTAAGATGCACTGGCCAAGGCAAATAAATGATCAAACCACAACCACAGGCTTTGTGGATGACACCTAACTCTACCCTGGCTCTTATATTTCCAACTACATAGCATCAATCGTCCCCACCCATTTCTCATACCAAACAGTACCTGATTAAATTCTGTCTATCTGCAGCTTTCTCTCCCTGATCTCCCGCTCTAGTTCTTCTACAACTTTCAACTGATCCAGAACTCTGCTGCGTGCATCATTAGCATCTTTCAGTCACATTACTCCTGTCCCAGAGTAGCTTCATCGGCTTCCAGCCAAAAACCTCAACAACTTTAAGATTCTGCTCAAAATTCTACCTTTAAGGCCAACCACAACCCAGCTGTACTCAACTCCTGTACATCAAGATATCTACATGTACTCTCAGATCTTCTTCTTTTGATTCACTTCACTGTCTTCTTGACCTCCACAGGGTATAGAACTTTCTTTCTCTCTTTCCCCAGTCTTGGAGCTCTCTCCCACCAGACATCCATAACATTTTGACTCTGTCCATTTTTAAACTCCATCTAAAAACTCGTCTTATTGAAACCAAATAGTGGATTAGAAATCAGTTGGGCATAAAGAGCAGGTTACTGTGTCACTGAGGGAGTAACCGTAACATACCGGCTACGCCTCCCCCTCCTCTAAACGCTCAGGTGGTTCTCATGGTATACCGATCAAGGAGCTTGGCCACCTGAGACCTGTGTTGGTTTGGACTTCAGATTAAGTCCTCTCTCCGCTCAAAATGAGGCTTCCGCTCTCCATTGCCGTGATAAGCCGCTGAATTCTTAGTGCCCTTTAAACACAGTGCTCTGTCAAGCTCTTTCCTGCTCCTATTGAGTGAGGGATCGTCTGTCTTAGCCCCGCTGTAAAACAACATCAAAGCAGCGCCCTCTCACCACTCTTTGCACAATTTAGTAATAGTCATATTGTGGCAAAATAAAAAGGCACTGACAAATAGGTAGATTCCTGAGACTGTTAACTTTACATCCTGATGACTATAAGAAAGAAAGTTTAAGTAAATATTGAGGTTGTTCTGCTTTCACAGATATAGATCTTGTATTTGGACTTCATTGTAGGGATGGCGTTTGCTACTGAATTGCATACATTTTTCCATTTAAATCTGTCTATCCTCTACTATTTAAAACCAGAGTCTTTCCTGCTAACTCTGAGGTGTTAAATGGCCTCCTTTTGGCTCTCTTTTTTCATGTCACGCCAGCTTAGATTTACACCATATGTGAGCTCATTCAGTCAATAAATAGGTTTAACCTTGGAAGTGATAGCCTATTTCCAATTATGCGCCATTACAAACTCCTTCATATTTACTCTGTGATTCCTCAGCTGACCCTCTCAAGGGCCCAACACTCCCTTGACTCAGTCCTCTATGCCAATAGCTGCATGTATTTTCACTCCTAGTACAGGGTAACAGACTAGAGAGGAAAAGCAGGGCTTGGTCTTTGCGTGTGTACGTTTTGGAAAAGGGTGTGAAGGGGAGAGGTTTGGTGTCATTAAGGCCAAATTTAATACATCACATGGCAGTATCAATTACTCTAAAATGGAGAGGTAAAAATTAAATTTAAATGTGGTGAGATCATTTAATAATTTTGAAACTGCCTTTAAAAAGATCACCAGGAGAGGAGTCATAAACTGTAACTAACCATCACTGTCAAAAGCGATGCAGAGAATGGATGATGATCTAAAAAGCAGCTATGCCAGCATTTCATGGCCAGGACGCAGACACGGTCATTCCACTGACAACATGCTGCTTGCTAAGTCATGTGACCTCTGAGTTATTAGGTTTCACTCAGAAATGTATTTCCTTACAGCACTTGCCCGCAAGCAATCCATGCATCCTAACCTCATGATGGAAATAGTGAGTGCTGATTTCCTCTGACATTTCTCTCACATTCTTCACAAGCAAGTGCTGATTTTTCTTCCCAAAGAATGCGCACAATGTCACCAGTAGGTGGAGATATGTTTAAAATCTGCATGGCAATTTTCACTCAAGGAAGTTGAGCCAGGAAGGTCTATCAGATGACTGTCAGATATTTAATCAGTCTTGTTGACAAGAGGGAACATTTTCCATCAAAGAACTTCCTGTGACTTACTTAATTTTCCACCAGTTATAAATTTATTAAATGCAGCACACACTGGATGCTGTCTCAGACAAAGAGAATACAAAATGTTGTTAATGTCACTCTGTGAAGCTTTGCTCTTACTAGTGTCCAATAGCGGAATAATCAGGTCAGGATAAGTGGTACAAGCAATGCCAAAGACAGCTGCCTCATAATTTGGGTCTCAGCAGCTGTGTACTTAAGTCGTGACTCATGAGGTTTGATGACAGTCCAGTAGGGGGTTCTTGGATCTTTCTTCTGCTTCTTTTTTAGTATAGTATACACAAAACAACCTGGAGACTGAGCTGTGTACATGAGGTCATAAGTAAAGATTACCCAGGACTGAGCCCTTTTTTTCATGCTGTTTCAAAAGAGCAGAAGTCCCCCAGTGTTGAGCATTAGTACAGTAATAAAGAATGATAAACATATCAATTATTTGAGTAATGTAAGGATTTTTTTTATTTGAAATTCAGTAGTTCAATTGCTGAAGAACTTATAGGTGTTTCCCATTTGTTTTGACTGCACAGGTGCACCCCCATCTGCCTGTGCCGACAGCATGTACTGGCTGACTGGACTCATTTATACAGGCATTTTACCACACAATGTAAATACTGGTTTCTCGGGTATAGGTACATTTAATTTTTATGTCCTGCTCTTCTCTGAGATATGTTATGGATAGTTGATTTGCTATCTTAGATAAGAAGCCAGAGATATGCTGAGAAAGTTAGCTTTTATAAAAAGAGAAAAGAAAATAATCAGCCAATTTTTTTTTACACATCATAGCTGGTTGCCTAACAGGTTATTCAGATTGTGAACCCTGAAGTGTCATAGAGAGGCTGTTTGTAGCCTATAGTGTACAACTTAGCCACCAAGGCTAGCTTGCTGTTAGCTTAGTTACATTAGCTTGAACCTTTAGCTATGGATGCGAGGCAAGCATCTACTAAGAGAGAAATAAAAGCTTACTCTTCACTTTTATTCACATGTTGTATTATTTCAAGTAAATTTAGAAATTAGCTTGTTTTGTAAAAACACTGAATTCTTAGGACTACTAAAGTAATGTGGACAGTAGAGCTAGGGCTACGCTAGCTAACTATGATCAGTACATACATTTTTTTCTCTCTTTTTATACACATCAAAATATGTAGCTGGGGATGAAGATGTGATAAAGAGTTTTTTTATTATTATTATCATAACTCTTAAAGACCTGTGTTAAGTATTGTAGGTCATAAATTTTAAGGGCAAAACACTAGCTTTAAGTTGCCAGAGCAGAAACCAGTATATTGTCTTTGGCTACGGCTAATGCTACATAATTTTAAGTTATGTATAAATAAACAATGATGGCGTTCAACATGAATCTAATGTGAATGAAGTCTCAACAGATGTTACCAAAAAATCTGTATTCAAAAAAATGAAAATGTAAACATACCCACCCAGCCAGTGATCCTGCCAGTCATTCCAGCAAAGAAAGAGTTAAAGCAGAAACCCTAACCTTAAACCAAAAATCAGCATTTGTGCAATGAACAAAATCAAATGTAATGTAATGTATATTTAGTAACAGATGCCAGAAATAACAGTCATTCTTCCATGGAACCCTTGGAAAGAAAGCTGAAATGCACTTCTCACATGTCTTGTGCTTCCTCTTTTCTCTCTTCAACTTTTGCCAGTTCCGTTTTCACCCCTGCAAATCTCTCATTTTGACCAGTATCTGGGTCAGAGTTACTTTGCTCCTTCAGATTCTAATTTCACGGCTTCATTTCTCAAACTGCCACCAAGTCTCTTTCCACTAAACACACATCCTTAAATTCGTCTTCAACAACCTGCTCACATGAGGTACAGTATAAACCACAGTGAGGGTTAGTTTTCAGGACAGCACTTTGAACTGGTCTTTTAAGCAGACAAGTTTCACATGTATGTCAACACTGAGCATTGACTGTGCTCAGAAATATCACATCAAATTGACCTGTTATTTCCTTGTGTTGCATAGACGAGGAGAAATGACAGAATAAAGACATACTGTAAATCCCCTCACACCACACACCAGAACAACTGCTGCACTATTTGTGACCAGCAACCAAATATAACACTGAGGTCACATGGGGGTGGAAATAAATAACACCAGCCAATAAGGGTTAAGCCAGGGTTTTTTATCATGGATGTCCAGAAGAGCTGTGATTCAAGCTGTGGTTATTGTAGGCCAGTTTTAACATTATATCTCCTCTCTACACAACTTTCTCAGCAACCATAGTTAAGTTTCTTGCACTATTACTCCATCCCGTCCCTCAGAAATGAGGATGTGCAAAAAAAGGAAGTATTAGTCAAATAAACAGATACTAGAAATGACACAGCCCAGTTCATCTGAAAATGGAGATTATTACGATTGTTTATGGCAGAAAGAACAACCTCTCTTGTTCGTGCTCTATGTGCTGCTGCTGTTATCTTGTTTGCTCCGACCAGTTTTATCAAGGGTCATGAGCAAACGCAGAGCATGTGTGATAAACAGTGCCTGTTGTTGCAGAATTTCCTTTTAGTGATAAAAGTAAAATCAGTGCTAAATCCAAATTATCTTATATCATGTGATGTTGTATAACATCAGCATCAAGAAAATCTACGTCATTCTTTTAATTAAAGTGTAATTCTACCTTCTGTGAAAGCTGTTTCGCTCTGCTTCTCAAATTGAGCTGCAACTTTGAGTTAATGTTCAAAGTATCTTCAGTTGAATCTCTGTACAGAATATGTTCATAACTGGCCTTCTATTTTTTTCAAAGGGGGTATATTTGTATTTCTCTAAACTGCAGCCTCTTTCACAGTATGAAAGTCATCCTTTGTGTGTGTGCGTGTGTATAAAAATATCGATGACACCGACATTGTGACATACCACTTCCTATTTCTTCACTTAAATAAAAAACAGAACTATGGTTTCAGCTGGGCGGAGCGGCAAAAGCTTTGACCACCGGGACCATTTGTGAGCTGTTTTTTCAATTGAAAAATTTCACCAGTCCTCAAACTTAAAATGAGCCTTTTGGAGTTAACTGGGACCAGTGATAACATCATTTAAACAGAAACCAACTTTATTGGCAAGGAAACCCAGGGGTGAGTATGAAATAAAGTTTACATGTACATAAGAGCGTTATAAATGTGACTGTACCTAGTGAAAAAGTGTAAAGGGGTTAAATTACTCAAAAGTAATATTTGAGACTGGATCATTTGTTGCAATAAATCATATTATTATGTATATTCTGTACACACGTAAATATGACCCTAAAATGAGTTTCTTTACCCTTTAATTTCTCTTTTTTATGTCTTTACTATGCTGCTGTAAATTTGAAATGCCCCCCTGTGGGACTATTAAAGGAACATCTTATCTTGTCTAATCCTGTTCCCAGGCTTCCTCCAGAACACAGATATGGCTCTAGTATACATTCTGATTTTCCTCCTTTCTTTGATGTTCAGGAGCTGCCAGTTTCAGTGTGTAAAAGGTTTGATTGTTTATCTACCTGCGGCAAATGTAAAGAAATACATCCAGCACTGAGTTGAATTTTGGAGGGTTTATGATTTTGTTTTCTTTTTGGCAGAAATGGTTCATGGCAGTGAGTTTTCAATCAATGTGACCACACATATTAAAGTGAGACCAGGCGACTGCATCAGGATCCCTTATGAAATTACCCTTGAAAATAAAAAAGTAAGAGCCGAACATACAATGATTTGGTTCAGGGGAGATCCTGAAAACACAGTTTCGTCGAGACTTGTCAGAAATGCAGAACGCAGGACAACAGGTGTTTTCAATATGGATGGTCTACCACATGGAGAGTATGAGTTTGGCATCAGATTGGAATGGGGGTGTAATCAGACGTTCATTTTCCCAACTACGATTCGGGTCTCAGTTTCTGGTGAGTGACGGATGTCATTTTTGCATGAGATTGAAAAGAAATTAAGAAATATGAAAAAAAAAACCAACTTTTTAACACTTCAACCCTTTTAAAAATGCCTCACTTGAATGACATAATTCAATCCTGAATCTGAATTCTGTGTTTTGTTTTGTTTTTTCAGGATTAATCCAACCACCATTTGTGCTGGTTCCTATGTTGACAGAAGGAAAAACTTCAAGACTCAGATGTTTGGCCGATACTTTATGTTCCGCCCCAACAAGAATTACCTGGACTGGGACAGCTGTCAGAAAAGAATGGCCACCGTTTGACAGATATGATTGGCGGCCTCATCACAGAGGGTTTCCCCTCACACCAACGGCAGATGACCACAACACTAACGTCACATGTGTGGCAGAGTATGAAAACAACATTGTTTCTGAGAAAACCGTCACATTAATTGTGAAATGTAAGTATGTTACAGTATGTTTTATTACACAACCTAAACTTTCTTTAGAATTGAACTGCCGTCACTTGGTATTAACACAATCAGTATCATTTTATACTGTGATGTATTTTGTAATGTTAGGAGTTTCCTACAACACAGATCCAAAGGGAGCCAGACTACAGTGACAACTGAAACTCTCAGTGCTTTTTCTGTATTTTGTCTTGTAGTTGCGCCTAGATTCCTGAATGGTTCCCAGTGTGTGGTGAAAAGAGAGCTCCTGGTCTGCTCCTGCATCAGTTGGGGGAATCCTCCACCTCCCATCACCTGGCCTGTGGACTCTCTTACAGACTTTTCCATTAAGAGCCACAGTAAGGCTGAAATTGTGAACAGCACCCTCACTTTTAATGCAGCTGAATTCTACAATACCAGCATCAAATGTGTCAGCAGCAATGAAGTGGGCCAGAGGAAGATTGAGATTAAGATTCAGAACTACACAGAGACCTCGAAGAACTCAGTCAACCGTGAGTAGTCAGTCAGATCTGCTGAGACCAAATATATCTCCTATGAAATTTGATGGTGGATTCTTGATGGGTTTCGTTGGGTTGACACCATTTATAAATATGTATAAACTCATGTATTCCCATAGCAAATACATGGCAGCCATGTACTGCCCTTCCCTGGGTAACAGCTGTGTCCGTTTGTCTGAACCTGGTCCTTCTCATCAGCTTGATCATCTGCATTCACAAATGGTAACACTCTATGTTTAAACAACTGAACAAAAACGTGCTTAGTTTGTAACCCGAGGATAGCAAAATAATTGCAGTTATTTCTTCTATCCAAACCAGAAAGAACTCAGTCAAGTATGGTTTTAATTTTCCTTTGCAGGTGCAAAAGGTCGAAAGAAAAAAACAGCAAGGAGGAGGACACATACATGGCCCTGAACAGAGCTCAAATTGAGACAGAGTACAGTGTTATTTCTCCACGGCGAAGATAAAAAATGTAAAGTTTTACTTGTCAGATGAATCCCTGTTGTGAATGCACAGAGGAAGAGCTGGACTGAAAATGGGACCCTTTTTTGCCACAATGGTCTTTTGTTAATCTTGTAAGAAAGATGTGAATATAAACTAGATGAAACTGGTTTTTGCATCAAACAAAATTAAAATGTGATTCTCAATTCATTATTATCAGTCAAGGTCTAGAAAGAATCTCCCTGATTATTATTGAGAAAAAGAAAAAAACTAAACTTAGTTTAGTGACTTTTAAATTTGTTTTTTCACAGACGTATACAGAACATATATCAGTTTCCTTCCAGCACCATCACTCCATCCTGTGTTACTGACACAGGAAATGACATGCAAGAAGAAGGAAGTGCTGGCCACAGGAACCAGAAAGAGGACAAAGTTCAATTGAACATTTAAAAAAATGAAAGAGTACAAAATTAAAACGTTTTTTTTTTTGGTGGCAGAAAGAAAAGATTCCCCTTTTTTTGGTGTCTGTGTTACCCATAGACTGTGTTAAACATAGAAGTAATCACAGTGATCACCACTCTGCCTGTATAATACCATTTCAGGGGTGCAATATTTACAGAGTCCACCTGTAGAGCTCAAACCTGGAAACAGCCCAACACTTACTTATCCTGGAAACAGAATTGAGGCTGAGGCAGGTTTTGGTCTATGTTATACTTTTATCTGAAGTTGTATTATATCTGTAATTTTAATATACTTTATATTTTTATATCATCATACTTTTATGACATTCTGCTTTTTTGTAAAGGGAGGGATGGGGGCTGTACATACTGATGCTGCTAGAATTTTCATTTCCCCAAAGGATTAATAAAGTTCTGTTTAATCAAATGTAATCTAATCTACTCATTTCTGACTTCAAAACTACCAGAAAATATTTTATATCAGTCATAGAAAGAAAAAGTATGGAAATTTACATTTCTTCTCTGACAGTCTAATAGTCACACCCTTATCTTTCCATGCTTTAGTATATACAGTATACTACGAAAAAACATGGATGACACTGAAATGATAACATTTCCTGCTAGAAACCACTTCCTGTTGGAGCACTCAAAAATAACAGAACTGCATTTGAAGCTGGGAGAGCAGCAGAAGCTTCAAATCCATTTGTTTAAACTTTTATTGTGAAGATAGAGAAGTTATTATCCAAGATCAAGACAAACTGAGGAATACTAAACAAACAGCAGAGACAGTGAAGAGAGGGTAAGCACTACTACCAATACTCAAAATAACAGTTTAAATGCTGCATTCCACCGTGATGGATGTGCAGTTTAAACCTAGAACTTACTAATTTGGAAAATGTAAAGTAATATTTCAAATTAATTTGTTTGCTCCCAGGTTTTTACCAAAACACCGCTATGGCTTCAATCTTATTTGCGACTCTCTTATTCTTGTCGAAGCTCAGGAGTTGCCAGCTTCAGTGTGTTAAAGGTTTGATTGTACTTTAATCGATTGTAATTTTAAAAAATATACTGAATTGAATTTTATGCACAATAATAACTTGGTTTCCTTTTTGGCAGAAACTCTAGATGACAGCGAGTTTTCTATCTTCGTGACCACACATATTCAAGTGGTGTCTGGTGACTGTATCATGATCCCTTATGAATACACCTTTCCAAAATCCAAAGTCAAGGTCCCGCACAAAAAGATTTGGTTCAGAGGGGATTCACAGACGACAGTTTCTGTGACAGTTGTCACAAATGGAGAAGAGACAAAAGATCTTTTCAAAATGGATGGTCTACCATGTGGGGAGTACGAGTTTGGCTTCAAATTGGAATGGGAGTGTAATCAGACATATGTTTTTCCAACGAGGGTTCGGGTCACGGTTTCTGGTGAGTATTTATGGTTGCATGCTGTTGTAGGATTTTAAAAATATCTTTGAAAACCAAAATAGATATCTTGTGACTCTGAAGTACTTTGCCCCTATAATTGATGATTGATACAAGATGATCTTCAACCTTGATTCTGTTTATTTCAGCCTTAACCCAGAAACCAGCTGTGTTGGTTCCTCCCTTAAAGGAAGGAAAAACCTCGAGACTGATATGTTATGCTCTTCCTTTGTGTTCTGCCAGAGCAAAAATTCGCTGGAAGTCAACAAAGACTTCTAAAAACACTTCCCTAATGTATAGCACTGTTCATATGTGGCAAGATGAACAAGATTTATACCTAACACCATCAGCGTACGACCACAACACTGCCACCATCACCTGTGTGGTAGAGTATGAGAACAACATTGTTGCTGAGAGGACCATCACGTTGAATGTGCAATGTGAGTTTGCAGCAAGGTTTGTTTTACACTGCATTTGAATAGGCGGACGTGGGTATTTTGGTGCCCTCAAAGAAAAAGGAAAATATCTTATCATGGAGAGATGTACATTTCACCCTATTGCAACAACTGTAAATGCTATTTTCCAGCATTTTTAAACATTATGGCACACTAACTTATAACTCTGTGACAAGGAAATACTATATGTTGCTAAGATGTACTGGAGATGAGAATGGCCATGGATTCTCCTTTTTTTTTAATGCACCGTTAACACGTGATTTTTGGGGGGAATTACGAATTAATTAATAATGTGTTTGCCATAGTTACCGTTGTTGTCCGATTTGCGCAGGGAAGTTAAATGCATAGGTATCAACACTAGATACCTCAAGACCCATGTAAGAAAACAGCAGCACATACATCAAGACCGCCGTCATCTCAGAGGGGTATTGGTGACTGCTGGTAAGCGTGGTTTTAAATATAAGGTAAACCACAGGCTTCCAAAACTTTAATCCATAGGAAACCAATAACAAGCACCGCTCCAAGATAGCAGCGGTCTTGACGTATCCTGGGCAGGGTCATGAGGTATCTAGCCACGTATGATATCTACGGTTAAATGTTCCCACTTTGAAAGTGTAATCCGCATGCCCAAAGTGAAGCGTGACGTCAGTGTTTCATTGAAAACCCCCAGCTTGCTGTTTGCAACCATGGCTGCAACATTTCAGAAATATCTCAATCCGTTTTTAAAAGTTATAACTGTAGGTCAACCATAGACTGTATATACTATGGACAACTTGGTCCCGCCTTCCGCCAGTATAGATTTGAAGCCAAAAAGCTCTCTGTAATTCCTTGTTTTTTCTCCATTTCCTGAAACCAACATTGCGCAGTAGCATTGTACGCACTCCACCACTTGCGCAGTAGCATTGTGTGCATTCGGCGGGAGAGTCACCGAGTTCCGCTGTGATGACGCTTGGCTCAAACAGCGTATCCCCCAGGTACGCAATCCTTATACACCCATAGGCTAAATTTATAATTTTGTCCACAGCTCCATTCATTTAGCTGATTTATGACCTATACTGCAGCCCGTCACCAGAGGGTGCTGTTCTCAGGGTGGCTTCACCCAGCAAGGAGGGAGACGGCGTCCATTCTATATACAGTCTATGAGGCCGACTAAAGCAACATTTCTGTCATCATAAGAAAACAATCCTTGTTATGTTGTTTTAGTTGTTGTTTTAGTTGGATATTAGTTGTCACAAGAAAATGAACTTTGTTTTATCGAGATAGAGAGATAATACGTTGTTATCAAGAGATAACAGTTCATAAACAATAAGTCCATGGCCACTCTCGTCTTCTGTACTTTTGCAGTACCAACCAAACCTCTCTGTGTTTCTGTTCCCTATTATCTGTAGTTGAGCCTAGATTCCTGAATGGTTCCCAGTGTGTGGTGAAAGGAGAGCTCCTGGTCTGCTCCTGCATCAGTTGGGGGAATCCTCCATCTCCCATCACCTGGCCTGTGGCCTCTTTTACAGACTTCTCCATTAAGAGCCACAGGAAGGCTGAAATTGTGAACAGCACCCTCACTCTGAATAGGTCTGACTTCCTCGACACGAGCATCAACTGTGTCAGCAGCAGCAAACTGGGCCAGAAGCAGATTCAGATTCAGATTCAGAACTACACAGAAAACATGAAGACCTCCAAGAACTCAGTAAACTGTAAGTAGTCACTCAACCTGCTCAGTGCATGTGGTAAATACCTCTAATGAAAGAATGAGTTGTTGGCTCTGGAGGTTCTTTTAGTTGATTTGTTTTATATCAATTTCCACAGCTAATAAGAAGCAGACACTCAAAGCCGGCTTTTCTTGGATACTAGCTGTGTCTGTTTCTCTGAATCTGGTCCTTCTTTCCAGCCTGATTTTCTGCATTTACAAATGGTAAGAGGCCTTATCAGATAAAGAAACATGTGTTGCATTCATGTTAGCTTAAGGAAAATAACCGCTTATCCATCTCTGTCTGACTGTACAGGGGCAAGAGGTTACAAGAGACACAACTAGGAGAAATGGAAACCTACACTGACCTAAACAGAGCTCAAGTTGAGCAAGAGTACAGCGTCATTTTTCCACAGACGGGATGAAAAATGCCAACCGTTCTCTTGAGTTACTCTAAATACTGCACACTCTTCTTTTAAAGCTCCCATGAGAAGCTTTTCGTTTGTATTAAATATGTCACTTCTACAAACAATGCAGTTTTTCTCATCTTGTCTGACATGCTCGAATGATGATTAAAAAATCTCATCCTACTGACTTTTGACAGTCAAATGCATCATTTATTGTGAATATTTGACATGACACCTACCCCCTAAGGTATTAAAAAATGACAGTATAGAAATTATAAGTCTTGTCTCTGATTGTTTTGTTTGCTTTTGCATATCACAAAAAGGCACCTTCACGAGTTTTAGTGTTGTTAACAAAGATAAAAAAACCTCCTCATAGGAGCTTTAAAAGGCATTTTCTTATGTTGTGTAAAACCTCAACAGTCCCTCCAAGTGTAAAATCATGGGTGTGAAGTTTTGTCTCGGAGATAACTTCCTGACACTGTGACTTGAGCAGACCCCTCCTCTTTACGTACAGACAGATATCCCTTTTTTTGAGTTATTATCGTCCTGACTGCAGGTCTTAATGTCGGCCCTTTATGATTTTAAAGCTTTATTCAGTGATCAGGCTTTAAGGAGAGCACCGGTTGTCTGCGAGGCATGACAGATCATTTGTAGGCTTTAACAGTGTCAGTCTGTGTAAAGCAGGGCTCATCCTTTTACACACCCACTGAGCTCTCTGCTGTTCTTCACTCTCACAAAGGATGCCTCTGCTTTTCGCCTCATTTCATTCCCTTACAGCAGGATTAGGGCTATGAAGCACAAAGGTGTTGTGCGCACACACAAATACACACATTCACGCACACACCCGAAGTTTAGGAAATCCACTTCAGGGCTTTCTTGCTTAAAGTTAGAAAAGAGGATTGATATAACTCTTATCTGTGTTGAATTATTAACTCAAGAAGCTCGCCTCACCCACTTTAGATTTTAAAAGACACTACCAATATTAAAATTAATCAGCATTTATTTGTTGTTTATCACTTTTGTTTTATTACAGTTATATTCAAATACAAATTTATAACCACACTATTCAGTCTCTGCTTAAAGTGTCTGCGTTTCTCTGTGCTTGAGGTGTCTCCTGATGAAGACCTGGTTCTCCCACAGTGAAAGATGGCAGCTCAGGGAACTCTCAGGGACAGATAACCTTTCTTTCCAGATACCGGAGCATCTAAAATTAGTGTTGTCACAGTGCTCCGGGATAAGAAAGCTTGAGATTTCACACAACACACTGGTGGTCACTTTGTTCAAGTCTCACCTCTCTGTGGGGGCAATGAAAGGGAGACAGACAAATAAATTAAAAGTATAGTGAGTGAAAGTGTCTGTGTCTTTAAAGATTCTTCTCTCATGTATTTCTCATCTTCATATTACTGTATTAATGAGAGTTAAGATTGAGGAATGAGAGCTCCAGACTTTGCATATGGTAGCATCTATTTATAGATCCCTGATCACATGCACACTCCTGGAAATTTCTGATAGTTGTTGCCTTTGTCTTGTGTGTTAAGTTGTATCCACAGCATCAATAAAGTAGTAAAAAACTAACTAAAATATGATATGCAGAAGTTTCAAACATAAACTGTATATTTTGCTGCATGCTCCTCTGTCTAAGAAGAGCCTGCCGTTTGACTGTAAGCTGACTTGTTTCCTTGAGAAGCCAAAGCAAAATCATTAATTCAGCCATTATTCATCTAACTGCATGCCGAAACGTTATGAACATTTATGATCTTATTCACTTTTGGGAGATGGTTGCATTTCTTGGTGCGGTTAAAGTACTGAACTTATACAAAAGCTCTCTCTTTGCCAACAGCAGTGCCAAAACTATAACATCAAGCTTCCTCCAGAGTCTGATTCAGGAGCTGTCTGAGTGTACTTGGTTATCTGAGTGCTGAGTCCACTTGCATCCAGAAGGAAATGGGTACATGACTCAATGATCTGCTGTCAGTTTTGGCAATAATACCAATGTAGACATTCAATCTCTTTGGTTTTATTTGCTGTGATTATCTTTGTTTGTCTTTTTCTTTATCTGCGCATGTATCTGATAGGGCTGGGCGATAAACCTAAAGTTTACCGATTACAAAATTTACGACAATAACCGACATCATTTCGCCCACGTCAATATATTCAGTGCCAAAAAATAAATAAATAACAGTTGGTTTTGGATGTGTGTAGGTAGGCTTTGGTCTCATGTCCCTTTAAGACGCTGTCCTACGTTGGAGACGTGACTCCAACCCATCCAGTCTATAACAAAGAGAGAAAGACAGGTGAGGAGATGGAGGACGGTTCAAAAGTTGTAGCGGCTGAAGTAGACGAAGTTAATGTGGGAGGGGGTGAGCAGCTTGTGGAGTAGTTATCGTCTTTATTTAGTGTTATCAAGGTGAACTGTTCAATGTATTGTGATATTGAATTGAGGCAACATCGCCCAGCCCTATCAGATACCTCTAGATTGTTTGTAGCAGCTTCAAAATATCCTGTAGTCACAAGTTTAATCTTTCTTTATTGTATCAATTCTCTACACATTCATTTGGGGTTACAATTGTATCAAATGGTCCAGTGATGTTCAAACAGATATGTTTTAGTCAAAATTGCACAGACATGAATGTGAAACAAATGTGCAGGAGGAAGTGGATGAACATTTTTGTAACAAGAAGCTCTGATCCCTTTTATTGCACAGTTTTTCCAGGTCACAAAATCTTAATCCAAAACACACACCAGGGTTTCAAAGACTGAAATGAAAACATTTCATAATGGTAAATCCATCAACGATAACAACCACTGATCGGACACACGCTGGAACTTTCTGCAGGTTCACAGCACCAGGGACTCACAAGAAAAGGCTCAGTTGCCCCTCCATCCAAAGAAGAAAAAAGAAATAACTCAGAGGCCTGTTTCAAATCCAAACTTGTGTAAATCCTGTGGCATGAGTCCATGACGTGGGCCTGGGGAGGAGGATAGTGTTTGGGGGATTAACCCCAGTCCAGGTGGTCTTCATTTACCCCCCCTACCCCCATGAAGCGGCTGTGAGCTGCTGTAAGAGCTCAGCACGTGGTCATCACAGCTTCCACCAGGTTCTGATCCCCATCAATCCTCACTGGCTCGGCTTTTTTATACTTTCTTAAGTGGTATCCACCTTGGCACTGCAGCACATTAAACACCCACCATGTTTCCTTTTTTAAGGATGACAAATGAAGAATGATTGTTGCAAAAACACCTTGAGAGAAGGACAGATAATAAAGTCACCAAAGCTATGCGACTAAAATTCAGTGCAGCAAAGAACCGCAAAAACTTCTGACTCCTCACATCCATGCATTAAAGGGATATTACGGCGTAAAATTAATTTAGGGTCAAACACACTGTAACACCGAGTTAGACACCCTGTCAAGAGATGAAAGTTGCCAACCGCTTGCTTCTCTGGTTATACCAACTTTAGTAACGACAGCACGATAGCAATACACAGCGGTCTGAGGAGCCATCAACAAACCTCAACCAAAAAGCCACTCTATAATGTTCAGGACAGCACCTAACTTCATCAACAGTACATATAGGGTCCCAGCCGCAGCACTAACCACCAAACATCTTTTTAACTTTGCCTAATTTCTTCAGCAAAGAGACTAAACACAATTCACCTACTCTCTTCCAGCAGCCGCTTGTTTGTAGCGAAACCTTAGGCCAGTCCATTACGGACTACAGTGGAGTGATGCAGCTCAAGGAAGAACATTTATGATTATGCCCTATGAATCTTGTAATCAAAACAACCACTGTTCCTGTAGACATCATTAGCTGGACAGTGTGTTTACTCCCAAATCTGCTGCACATAAGGGAGAGAAAACAGCTTGTGAAAAGAAAGTTGTAAAAGTAAGAAAAACATCTTTCTTCTGATTGTTTCAATGAGTTTAGAATTCAATATGCATTCCCACACTTCACACAAACTTGCAAGAGGACACACTATTTCATTCCCATGCAGCTACTCTTTGTCCTTCCTAGTTTGTGTATGGTATGTACGTGTCTCTTTCTCTCTGCACTGCCCTCTGTTTAACCTACAGCTTTTACACAACCACTACACAGACCTTTTGAATTTACAGGACAGCAAATGTCTGTGTTTTATTACGTCCCTTTTGCCGTCTCATGAAGATTCTTGAGTAAAATTTGCATCTGTTGCAGACTGACAGAGGAGAGAGACAGCGCTGTCATCTGGCCTCCACAGCATTGCACAAAACTTTCTAAACTTTCTATCTTAATTGAGGAAAGGCCGGATTACAGTGGAGCAACACACTGAAGTTTTTTCACATTGATGAAATAGACTGAAAATTATATGGCTGCAATTCTATGATATTCAAGGGCAAACAAGATTATTAGCAAAATGAGCGACTATTTCTATATTGGGTTTTTTAATGCCTGAATCTGGAGCAAAACGAGTAGGTGTCAGCCATGTAGCTGATGATGTAGCCCTGTTTTTACAATTTACACCAAAATATTCACAAGACATGATAAATTTGACTGTCAAAAGTCAGCAGGGTCAAAGTTTTTTAAATCAAAAAACTTTACTCTGGGGCGCGCAGATGGCTGAGCGGGTTAGCGCGCCCCACGCTCCCTGCAGTCGTCATGTGTTCAAGTCCCGCCCCGACCATGTGCTGCATGTCCTCACCACTCTCTATCTCCCCACATTTCACCCTGTACTATCAATTAAAGGCAAAATTGCTCAGAAAAAAAATAAAAATAAAAAAATTACTCTAGCATGCAGAGGGCAAGATAAGCAATGACTGCTTTATCCACAGGGGGCGCCAAAACTGACTGAAACTGAAAGTTCCTCACAGGGGCTTTAAGATGTTCAGGTTATTTATTAATCCACAACACTTGCTCTGTGACTGAAAGGAGAGAAAGAAGAGACTCCTTCACAAAATAATTGTGATGCTCTTATTTTGATATTTTTCTTTCATGCTTTTAATTTGAAGTGAAGTATACACTACTTCCAACAAATCATGGGGTGCAGAGCTGAATGAAAACAGCTAAAAGAACAATGAAAAACATCGAAATTATTAATTTAATCGCGCTATTAACAATAAATCATCTGACCGTTGAGGCAACCACCGGTTATGAGAAAAAGAAGCCAAAGCACGTGAGTCCAAAAACGCTGGTTTGGACTCAAAAGCAGCGGCAGCGAGCTTGCTTTCACCAAATTGGTAACGCTGTCTTAACACAGCTTTTGCTTCCTGCTGTCACTGTACGCTTATTTCAGTACAACAGCAAT